TAAAGACAGGAGCTTGCACCCTTCAAATGTGCCAGACCCGCGATTTCTACCTTTTACCTCAGAGCTTGATTGGAGGATTGCGCAGTGGGCTGTTCGGGACGGCCCAGGCAACAATGCCTTCGACAGGTTGCTAGCTATTCCCGGGGTGAGGACATTTTCACTCTATGTACGTCTTCACCTTCTGAAGCACCCTTAGGTTGTCGACAAGCTAGGACTTTCATATCGCAACATCCGCGCGCTACATAAGAAACTAGATTCTATGCCTGATAAGGCTGGCGAGTGGCAAACCAAGCATCTACGATTTAAGGATAGGCCTGACGAAACCTTTACCATCCGTCATCGAGATCCTGTAGAAGCAATCAAGAGCCTTTGGAAGGACCCAGAGCTGTCGCCAGAAATGATCTTTCAACCATGCAAGACATATACCGACGACACTCGCGAGGATCGAATATTTTCTGAAATGTGGACTGGCCGTTGGAATGCGGTGCAGGTACGTTCTCTTTGCGTTATGCCCTAATTTTTTTTTGACATTCTTCAAGAGCAAGCTACCTGAGGGGGGGACGCTGGCACCCGTTATCGTCTCAACTGATAAAACTCAACTCACTCAATTTACGGGAGGAAAGTCTGCCTATCCTGTCTATCTTACAATCGGCAACATACCAAAAGCTACAAGATGAAAACCTTCAAAGCATGCTTGTGTGCTTATTGCATACCTCTCTGTCGACAAGCTTGACCGCACAAGACTTTCAGAACAAGACCATCACTCAAAGGTCCAGCGCATCTTCCACGAATCCATGCGAATCGTTCTTGAACCTCTTATCAATGCTGGTCAGACAGGCGTCCTCATGGATAGCTCAAATGGGGACACTCGAAGGGTCTTCCCCATTCTTTCCTGTTACGTGGCGGATTACCCTGAGCAGTGCCTTGTCACCTGCTCAAAATACGGCACCTGCTGCAAGTGCAAGGCAAAAGCGACGGAGCTCCAGGACCCAGAACCAGCAGAAGCATGTACCCCAGCATGGACAAAGTCTGTTATGGAAGAAGCCAAGTCCCAAGCTGGAGGGAATCCACGAGCCTTTCACACACATTGCATGGCCTCGGACGTTGCTGGAGGGGTTTTCCGACCCTTCTGGGATGGTTTCCCCCTTTGCAATATCAATCGCACCATTACTCCTGATGTTCTACACCAGCTCTACCAGGGTGTCTTCAAGCATCTCATCTCTTGGTGCCAACTTATCCTTCCTAAGGGCGAGCTCGACAGACACATTCGCTGCCTTCCTCCCTCATTTGGGGTCCGCCATTTCAAAAACGGAATATCTGCTTTATCTCAGATCTCTGGCTCAGAACGCAAGAATATGGCGAAGATTCTACTAGCTTGTCTTGTTGGTAGTATCCCTTCAGCTGCGACCAAGGCCATCACAGCTCTTCTTGACTTCATATACATTGCTCAGTACCCGACACACAACAACTCCACTTTAGAATACCTGCAAAACACCATCGAAGAATTTCATGAACATCGCAACTATTTCATTCAACTAGGCCTTCGAAAAGATTTCAACATTCCTAAGTTCCACTCTCTTCTTCACTACATAGACGCTATCAAGGATTTCGGAACAACAGACAACTACAACACTGAAATGTTTGAAAGGCTCCACATCAATTTTGCAAAGCATGGCTGGCAGGCGACCAATCTTCGCGATGAATTTCCCCAGATGATTCGCTGGCTCGCCCGTCAGGAGAAAGTTGCTGGTTTTGAATCTCTGCTTAAATCTGCTGGAACTCCTATTGCACCTGTCAAACCACGCAACCAACGCCCAAAAACAATCGCAAAATATCCAAACTTTCCTGGTTGTTCTTTGTCAGACGTTCAACAGAAACATCATGCACCCTCCTTTGACCACCACCTCAGGATTTATCTGAACGCAAAATCCCCTGACAGACTTTCTGCTAGAAACCTAACAGACACTGCACTTCCATTTAGTAAGGTTAACGTCTACAATATGTTTCATTTTGCTCCTTCTAGTCTTCATGATGATGATGACGAGAAAGATGTGATCAAGGCTATTGGCTCCTCTTCTAACATGCCAAATGGACGGTTTGACACTGTGGTTGTTATTGTCAGTGAGACGGCACATGCCACTGGTATCAAAGGTAAGCGCAGCCTTGTTAGATGTTGTATTAGGGACAGGCTTCTAATATCTATATTCCAGGCACAAGAGTTGGACGACTGCGGGTCATATTTACTCTTCCCCAGAAGTTTGACACAAGACTAGGCCCAAGAGAGCTGCCTTCCTACTGGCCTACAGAACCTCTTGCCTATGTGGAATGGTACAGCCCACAGGCTGCCAATGCCTCTGCTGCCAACGGCATGATGTATCGCATTAAGAAGCTTGAACCTGACACTGCGGGCCACATTCCAGGTGCTGTTGTTCCTCTTAGTCATATCCGTCAGAGCTGTATGCTCTCTCCACTATTTCCTAACGCGACGCCTTCTGAATGGACCTCAGATAATGTACTGGATAAATCCTTGGTATTTTTAGTTAATAATTGGTCAAGTAAGTATGCGTATCAAACTATATGGTAGTAGAAATATGTTCCTAGCCATCTAATAGCTTAATCACAGTTCTTAATTCATGATTTCGGAGATACTGTTGGTGGGAGGATATCAGACCTCCCCAGAGCTTCCTCAGAGAGCTCGGAGGACTTTGTAAGTACCGCTGATCTCTGAAGTGATGCCAAGGCAGCGTTGCTGCTTCAGGATTGTGGCAGTGCGCTCAGGTAATGTGAGATCAAAAGTCATTTTCCTGATGGAAGTAGCGGAATGAAACATACTATCGCTAGGGATTCCACATTTGCCACGACTATGGTTGATAAGGAATCAGTGCGGCGAGAGTCAATTGAAGGCATAGATGTACCGGACAAGCCAGTACGTAGGCCATCGTGATCCTCTGCTCGCAGTAGCTCTATGGAGCACTGCGGTCCCTATAGAGCTCTTAATAACCGGGGGTCCTCCTGCGATCTTCCAATGCGAATGAGACTGAAACCTGGCGCCCCTCACCGAGTGTAATGGGAGCGTGAGCACGCACTAGATGTTGGTACAAATTACTGATCAAATCAGTACCAACACAAGGGGGTGACGGAGGGTGCGTACCTTGACACCTCCTTCGTCAACGACGTAGATGCCAAGTTTCGGGCTGTGGTGCAGGTTAGCAATATTTGCAATGTCGAACCAAGCACACGAACAGATTTTGAATCCTGTAGACACGTCAACAAAATGCACTCTCAAAAGTCGATGAGCTCAGGAACAACATACCTGCCTCACAAGAGCCACCCATGGTATCATTTGCTCCTTCTCGCAACTGGTCTTTGCAGGAATAACGCTGTGAGTGAGTACATAACAGCAAAACCAAAGGTGAGCTTACCTTCGCCTGGCGCTGTCTATAACCACCTTCGCTTTCGATGTGGTTTCTATACCATGCATGTGCCCTACGGCTTCAGGAGCCATCCCTGCCAGTTGTGCATATGCCAATGATGCCATGCTGAAAGTTAGAGAGGGCTGGTACTCAAGAGTAGCTTCAACTTGCCAGAGATGGGGCCACAGTGGACAAGTCGTGGATGAGCAGCATCACTTCTAGACACGCTCAGGCTCCAGCGGCGATCCGATTCGTGATCGGCCAGATCGGAGGGCAGAATTAGTTCGTTCGGGTATTCCATCTAGTTTTGAGGTAGTTATACGGCCATCTGTGCCCACAGATAGAAGATCAGGCGTGGGGAGGGGGTGGTTGGGGTGCAAGCTGCGGAGGACACGTTGCGGCTCAAAACGGGACACATACTGTCACGTGCTCAATGTTGTTTGGCATCGTCTTGTTTGTTCCAATAGGCGTCCAAACAAAGTGGGGAAGAAAATCTCACTTTGTTTGGACACCTATTGGAACAAACAAGACGATGCCAAACACTAGTTGAACTGACCCCCAAGTCCGCTGTCCCTTGTCGGCATGCCAAGCTTTCCAGGTTTGCGCTACCACCGCCGATGCTGCCCATTCACCGGTGCCAGTGTGTACTCTTCTCCTCTGTGTGTATCCACAAGTAGCTAATTAAAGTGTCACAATTCCAGAGGTGTATTCGGTGCCTGGACTCATACCCCAATGAGCTGTTCAACCAGGTGCAGCTCAACGACGACCAACAGTCTCGCATTGATGAATGCCACCTGCTCTTGCAGGACCAGCTACATGAACTCCTTCACACTACCCCAACAACAATGGCCAAGTGTGGCTTGACGACTGGCAGACAATGGCGTGAGCAAAGGGTTTTGCAGAGGTGATTAGGCCCATCTTTTCACAAGAAAACTACAAGCTAATCATGCCATTTGCCCACATCAGACTCAACCGCAACCTCAACCTACCCACCTTCTCTCTATCGTTCCACTGCCCCTCTGTCCTAGGACTGCTCCACCACCATCAACATGACAACATGACAGGAGGGAGCTTATCAACACACAAAGGTATCACCCATGGCAAATGACGAGGTGTATTACAGTGCATATACAAAGCTTGAAGGTTGTGAATGTAGGCATATTTTTGGTGTATCGTTGAGCTATTTTTTCGATTCTCGACGTGAGGATGAGGACAGTTGGAGGGAATAACTATGGAAGGCAAGATGGTGTTAGAGCAGCAATAAATTCCATTATTTTAGCTGGATTTATTTGCGGAGATAGCTAAGTGCCAGAATGACTACCTCGTAGGGCATAGGCAGGCGATTCACCGAAAGAAGCCATAACCCAGGATTTTACCTGCCCTCCATAGCAGGGAAATAGACAGTTGGACCCATACCAGGAGATTTTAGATATGGGTTAATTCCCGGTCGCCGGAAAACACCGGAAATACCTGCCTTTTGGAGGCAGGACGACCGAAAGCAGGGAATTTCATGTAATTTTAGATACAACTTATTTACCGGCTACTGAAAATCCCCGGAATTCCCTGCCTTTTTGGGGCAGGACTCCCCGAAGCAGGTATTTCCCCGGCTCCGGCTTCCCACAGTGCTTCATTGCAATTAACGAAGGGATTTACTGACGGACCATTCACGACAGCTCGCTGGAAATCTCGTCGGCCTCGAAAACAGGTGGTTGAACATGATGACTATCTCCTAGTAAGTCTCTGCTGCTTCGGTCCCACGACGGAAAGATACTGAGAGCTGCTCTCACAAGCGTGGCTTTGAGAGTTCTCTTCAACCATATCTACATCGACTACAACCACCTTGGGAAAGGATCACTGCGGTGAGTAGTTTTCCGTGGAGTGTGACCTTCAGCAGCTAATAATGAATCCCAGAACCATGATTTACTTCGTTGGTCTTTGTGAGTCGAGTTCCCTGCCAGGTCAAGGTCTATCTGCTAACTGCTATTTCCGTGATCGACAAGCGTTCCCTTTGCGTATTTTGTGGAAAGCAGCCCAGAAAGCGACGTACGTCTGATGAAATGGATGATGTCTCGCTTGTTACACTTATATAACCACGACCTAGGATTCCTGGCAATATTAAATAATGTTCGCTGGTCTTATCGAGGTATGATGGGCGCCAATTATGAACCCATGACGACCTGCCAACTTAAACCTAGCCCCGTGCTGCAAGACGTCTTGATCTGGTAACATCCTTTCCTTTCCTGTATTAGAAATATGGCCTTCTGTGACGCAAGGGGAGGTCAGGCCCAAGGGCTATTCTCCTTTCCTTGTCAACGCTCGTGGGTGCACTGTTTCCATTTGGGATCAGATGATGTGGTCTCGGCGGGCGACGCGCGAGTCGCGTGAGGAGCTGACAACGGGCCGATCTCACACGCGGATCGATATAAAGGCTTTCACTTCTGGAGCTCCATTCCGAAGGACTCCCGATACGCAATGGTTGACTTCAACAGCCCACTTTCTCTCTACTCCATCCCCGTTATCTGGTTTACCAGCTTCTATCCAAACTTTTGGAAGGTAATACCCTCATCCATTGACCCGCGTTGTGTTCTGCTAAGACTCTCCAGTTCCTCATTATCGATAGGAAAGTCGGATACAACAAGTACATATGACGTACGCGCTGGCGAGCAGGATGTTGACTTGTGCTTGACTCGCAAGTGTCCAACCACGATCCAACCTCAATCAGGCAAAGACCGCGAAGGACAAGATTTCGCCTGAGCTTGCAGCGCGCCTCGAGCGCATGGAAGGAGCTCATTTGAATGGGAACGAGGCTCTGCCACTCTGGGCTGCTGCGGTGGTGCGTCCAGTATTTCGGCTTGCGAGTCAATAGGTAACATCGGGCGAATATGAAAGCTCGCCGGAAACCTTGTAGGCTTGGACAATCATTGGATGAACATCATGTCCGCATCCTAGTGAGTCTTTTCTCATTTTTGTGGTCTCTGCTAACGATGTCATTACGTTCCCCCCCAGTGTTGTCTCGCGATTACTCTTCAATCATCTCTACATCAACTTCAATCATGTCGGAAACGGTGTCCCCCGGTAAGACTCTCTTTCAGCATGACTTTATGTGTTGTTGAATGGGACACATATTAGCACCATCGTATTTTTCATTGGACTTTGTGAGTTTATTTATTGTTTCCCGAAGTACCGCACTAACTGATTGTCCTTCATCCAGCGTTCCCTTTGAGGATTCTCTGGAAAGCGGCGGAGAAGGCGGCCTCTCGTTGAGTGCGATACTATACACATCCTATATAGTACCAGCCATTTATACTCGCTCCTACCGGTGTGTCAGTAAATGGTCAAGAAAATGAGGCTTCCTCAGAAAGTTACATATGGGAGGTTGCGGTTAACATCGATCCGCGTGCCAAGCTTACTAAAAGATGACGAATTTGAATGTGAGCATCAAATTCGGAGTGTCAGGGCGCTCCAGCCACCCTCCCACCATCAGTCTTCAGCTTCAAGCTTCAAGCTTCAACAATGCCGCGACGCGTAATCTCGCGGATTCTTTTTCCCGTGACGCATCAACGACTTGGATGACCCATCCAAATGCTACGTGGAAGCTCGTGGAAGCTCACGGAAGTCGACGGAAGTCCAGCGTTTCCCAAGATCACTTGCAAAGGGTCCTTGCTGACCAGAATCTCGACGAGGAACGCATATAAGAGGTCCTGACCAACACCAGAACATCCCAACTCTTGAAAGCCTCAGAACCCCACTTGATCTCATCTACACGTCTTCGCATTGCCTTTTAACATGGTGTCGCTGTCCGAGCCGCTCTCATTATATGCGATCCCCGCCATGTGGGTGATCAGCTACTATCCCATTTTCAAGAGGGTATGTCCTCATAAATGAACTCTCCGTGAACACATATTTATTATTTATCCGTTTCAGGCTGCCTTCATAAGAAAGACGAACGCTGTTAACCCGTCAGTTGGTTCCGATGGTCTACTTTTCTCGTCGCCTTGAACTGAAGGCGCGGCCCCCACTTAGCATCGCGCCACGCGCGACTGCTGCCAATCTCGCAAAGAACAAAGACCTATCCCCGGAGTTTGTTGCAAAGGCTGCACGAATGGAAGGTGCTCATCAGGTATTTGTCATCTTTGCTAGCATATATTCGCATCTTAAGTCTCTTGCGCCGTTATCCAGAATGGTCTCGAGAACCTGCCTTTCTTTGGCCTTGCAGTGATCGCTGGTAACGTCGCCGGCCTCCACAACAGGACTCTGAACATCGCAGCTGGTTCATAGTACGTCTAATCCTCAACGTTGTCTAATCAAAATTGACGTTTTTTCCCTCATTTCTAGCCTTGTCGCGAGAATGCTCTTCAACTACTTCTACTTTGTTCAAGAGACGAAGCGTACGGCCCGCCTCCGGTCAGTGGTGTCTTCCATCATGTATCAAACATTGAATGACATTCGCTCATTTCACCTGAGCAGAAGTTTGGCTTGGATCACCTCTCTTAGTACGTTTCTGTCGCTATAGGGAGGATGGCAATTGAACCCACCTTATAGCGTTCCCGTTCTATCTATTGGTCAAATCAGCACAAGTCTTTGGTGCTAGATCGATGCAGAGTTAGGGATCGAGTGGTTGAGGGTCTGTCCTTTATTTCCTTTCGTTTTTGTTGTTTCGTAAGTGGACAATATAATTTGAATCCTAGCAAGGGTTTCGAGGAATTCTTCGCTTGCGTCTACACAACCCCATGTCCCAGCTATGCTAAGCACTTATAGGGGAAGAAACATGACCTCGAAGCCAGGAGATCAACCTCAAAGTGGCTATCACGCACTCACAGTATCGCGTTCCAATTTTGAACACGACAATAAAATGATTCTTTTTCAAGAGGAGTCAACTAACTTGTCTTCGAATATGCATGTTCCCACCCCTTCCACATATCTTTGTACGTTGTGATGTCCCAACAGCGCCCAAGATAACGTGCAGGGTCGTTCCTAAGCAGATTTCCTTGATACGCCGTGATCGACCGTACACAGGAAGTGCATATAAGGTGGCATGCTCAACGCCGGGTTTTTCAGCGTCACTCCTTTCTCTGCATCTTTCAGGACCTCTGGGCGACATCACTCTCGGGATGCTTTCTCTCTCCGACCCTCTATCGCTATATGCGATCCCGGCTATGTGGTTCATTAGTTATTATCCGGTCTTCGCTAGGGTATGTTAACTTTTCTCTCAGCGCGTTTGGCCAGGATGCTGATCTATTGTGTGCTGGTTCAGTCATACTTGATAAGAACGACGACTGGTTTCAACAAGCAAGTTCTATTCCTGGCCTCTAAGCTCCTAGGGCTCTAATACTGGCCTTCAGCGTCGCGCCGCGTTCGAACGTTGCTGGCCTCGAAAAAAACAAGAGCGTCTCTCCAGCGTTTGCAGCTCGTATCGCGCGCATGCAGGGTGCTCATGAGGTGGGTTTAGCGCTATACCGCGGTAGTGGAAGTACTTTCTACACTGTTAATTCAGAATGGTCTCGAGAACCTCCCTTTCTTTGGCCTCGCAGTAATCGCAGGCAACGTCGCGAGGCTTGATAACGCCATTCTGAATATCGCGTCTGGCCTTTAGTACGTTCGGTTACATTCATTTTGTTCTAGTGCTATCTAATTTATTCCTATCCCGGGCGTCAGTCTCTTATGGAGGATAGTGTACAATTACATTTATTTCAACCAAAGCACGCCTCGTATGGCTGGTCTCCGGTTGGTGGACTCTTACTGAATATGCCATCTACTAACCCCGTATCGCCATTCATTCAGAACGTTGAACTGGCTTTCCTCGCTCGGTGAGCTCTCTTCACAATCAAGTCAGCAGTAACAGTGCAGTCGCTGAGTATCGCGACCTTCTACATAGTGTTCCCATTCTACATCCTGTTCAAATCGGCCAGCGAACTCGGCGCTAAATCTCAGGCCTGATACACTCACGAGAGGACTGCATACTAGAGTCTAATCTTGTACGGTGTATATATTTCTCTTTCTCTCCAAAGAGTGCATGCCGATTTTGTTTCCGTCTCCGAATTTGAAATTCCCCGCACCGATTCGAGGAACTGCTTCCTGCTTCTCTGCAACCAACGACGATCAATCAACATGGCACACGCATACATTTCTCAGGGGTCGAAATTTTTTTGAAATCTTGTGATAAGTAGCCTGCGGCTTGAGCTCACAGACGTCGGATAGCAACGTAACCGTACCGGTATAAGAGTACGTTGGTGGAGGCGGGGACGACGCACGCGCAGCTGCTCCGAGAACCCACCACTCAGAATCTGGCCTGAAGGAAACAAGAAAAATTAGGACTACAATGCCCTCCCTCGACAGCCCGCTCTCGCTCTATTCCATCCCTGTGATGTGGCTCATCAGCTACTACCCCTCGTTCCTCAAGGTTGTTATCCATCTTTCACGGACAGGTCGCTGATATTGACGCGTCGGGCGCACAGAACTATATGCTTGTCGGGCAGAGGGCGTTCACAAAGTGCGTTGGTTCCGCTCCTCCTGTCTGATACGTATGAGCATTTCATCTAACTGTCAACATACATCGTCAAGCCTACAGCCACGAACGAACATAGCACGGATGCAAGTGAAGAATGTTCCTGCCGACCTGGCCGCAAGGATTGCGCGAATGGAAGGAGCGCATATTGTACGCTGGTTCTTTCGACTCTTGTTATAAATTGTGCTGACTTGCTTTCGCCCCTGTAGAACGGCCTCGAAAACCTCCCGTTCTTCGGCCTGGCGGTGCTAGCAGGGAACTATGCCGGGGTTGACGATAAGGCGCTGAACATCGCGTCAGGACTTTAGTACGTCGATTATGTTCTTCGACTATGGGTAGTGTATGCTGACAGAGACGCTCGACGCGCCAAAAGTCTTGTCTGGAGGATCGTGTTCAACTACCTGTACTTCAACCAGACGACGCCAGGTGCTGCGGGTTTGAGGTGCGTGAAGCTGTTTTAAATCGTGAAGGTGCTTCTGTGCTGACGGGGGGTTTGCGAATAGGAGTATGACCTGGTTGACCTCCCTAGGTGTGTTGTTTTCGCTGCCGAATGAGTAGAGCTGTTGTTGACAACGTGTTGTAGCATTCCCGTTCTACCTTTTTATCAAGTCAGCACAATTGTTGAGCCAGAAGAAGGATCCATAAAAGCCCGCTAAGGGCTTTTAACTACGTGGTGATTTATCTTACATTGAATGAATACATACGTAGGGCTACACGAACCGTCGATGGTCGATGTTAGGTATAGGTGTCAATCATGGAATTCCTTTCCATCTATATAGGACGGTGCCCTACAAAAAATCAAATTAGTCAGAGTACATAAAAGTATAGAGGTGGCGTACGGTGCTGTTGTCCTTCTGCACGACTTTCCGGTTGACAAGGGCAATGAGGCATTTATTCACCCGTGCTTGATTCAAATCAGGCGGGGTGATGAGGTCGGTCACTGTTGTTATATGGTCAAGAGGGAAATTCGCTTCAACGGCGAATACCTACGTTTGAGACCTGGCACGGTGGAGTACATGAGCCCTTCGATGACCATCTCCATATTTCTGCGAAGACCCTGGACCAGATAATAAGGATCAGAAAACATAAAACAACGATAGAAGGACTTACTGGATCACTGCCTCGAAATTCGAGAGGAAGACATGTAACGATCTTCTCAATCTCCATCAGTACAACGATTAGCTACCATACCACAATTTTCTGAGCCGTTGCTCACGCTTCGTTCCTTCTTCTCCTTCGCCGTCAACTTCGCTTTAGCAACCTTCTTCTTCGGTAATCCTGTCGACTTATTCGAAGAAACACCCGTGGCGGTGGTGACGTTTGCCGCATATGTCGTATCTGCGTCTGTCGCTGTCGTCTTGTCTGCAGCGCCGACTGCAGCAGCGATCTCTATTTCGCGGGCTTTGGCATCGTTCTTTGTCTGCAGAGCTTCTAGAGCCGTTTGTGCGTCTTCCTCTGAGAGTGTTTCTGGGATGAGAGTTCACCTGCGGTAGATGAAAGACGCGTACCTGCACGTTGCTTCGCTCTCTGGAATGAAAGTGGGGTAGGAGCCTGATATGCAATCGCGTCAACTCTTGCATGGTCACAGGCTAAAACTGAGGCTCACCTGGGGCCAATCCGTCGTCAACGCGTTCATGTTCATGATATACAGCCAACTGGCGAAGGACTCGTTGAATGTGGCGAGAGAATCGCTGAGGTTCTTCATGCCAGCAATGTTGGTTTGTAGGGCGTCGGTTTCGTCGAGGAGCTCCGCCATTGCTGGTTCAAGAAAGCCCAGGCCATGCGGGGCGTCTGGGTACGCGCCGGAACGCGAAAGGCGGAAGAGGGAACCCTGCGAGACGCGTCTTAAGGGCGTCCGGTGGGGAGTTTGCGCGGGAGGCATGAAAGATGAACTAGAAACTTGATCCCGTCTGGTAGTCTAGTTGAATCTCAGCTTCGTCGGAGACTAGAATTTATGTCCTTGTACGGACCTTCTCTCGCTTTCTCGACTCACAATCTCCCTCGACAGGTTTACGTCTCTCCACTATCTTTGGACGGTCCAGTTTCTAGTTATTCATGACAGAAATTAATCCTTGTCGAAGAAGGAATGGGAACGCGACTCGTGACTCATTTATTGAATACCCCGTATGTGTGCATACATTCGGCATGGAGCTCATGGGCGCTGGCATACTTTTCTCATGGCGCTGCTTTCCAGTGCCTTCCTTTACGCAATCGGAACCGATCTGGAACCTGCTCTGACTCGACTTGTTTTCGCAATGTTTATAAAAGTCTTCACTGGTGTGGGAACCGACTTTATATGCGGTCAAAAAGGCATGATAGGGGTGTTAAACTTTATATACATGATTTTTTGTGTCAAAAAAGTTCAAATAAAGTTACAGTAAAATCTTCCTTTCCCTTGCTCATAATTTTCCGAAAATCATCACCTTTGAGGTAATTAGTAATGACTAAATTTACCCATCCTTTTGTTGCTCCGGAAAAGACAATAAAAGCGCGGAATTTGGGACGACAAAAAGGATTGACATAAAGGATTCGGGGATACTATAAAAGGAAAGCCCGAACCCTTTATATCAACACTTTATGTCCGTCTATAATTGTTAGGCAATTGATGCCTTTAATTGTGAACAAAATTTAATATAAATGGCTCGGGCTTTCCTTTTATAGTACTGTATCCCCGAATCCTTTATGTCAATCCTTTTTGTCGTCCCAAATTCCGCGCTTTTATTATCTTTTCCGGAGCAACAAAAGGATGGGTAAATTTAGTCATTACTAATTACCTCAAAGGTGATGATTTTCGGAAAATTATGAGCAAGGGAAGATTTTATTGTAACTTTATCTGAACTTTTTTGACACAATATATAAAGTTTAACACCCCTATCATGCCTTTTTGACCGCACATAAAGTCGGTTCCCACACCAGTGCTTCTCAAGTCTCGCCTCCCACCAACAATCCAGCGGCGGCTCTGACATAGTACGCGATGTCTTTCACCTACGTCAAGGCCACTTGCCACTGCGGCAAAAATGTCTTTCAAATCCCATTCGAGACCTCCAAGCTTCCTCTCGCCAGCGACCTCTGTCACTGTAACTCGTGCAGGCATGTCACTGGGACTATGGGCGTACACACCGCCCATATGAAAGGCCGCCCTCTCACCGCCGATTCTGGTCCCGAATCCCAGAAACCCGCCGACCTGTCCAACCTCAGCCAGTACAATGTCAGTTCAAGCCTCACGCGCCACTTCTGCTCCACCTGTTCAGCGTACATGTTGTACGAGACGACCCACGAAGACGGTCCATCAACTTTCAGCGTTTCGACGGGTTCGTTGGAAAGAGTGGAGGGGATCGTCAAGGTTGGCTATCACGCCTTCCTTGGAGATACTCTGGACGGCGGCATGGCGGACCATTACCGCGTCTTGGATGGAGTTGAGATTCCTCGCTATGAGGGCGAGGAAGGTGGTCCCACTTTACCTCTTGGGTGGAAAGCGGAGAGTATCAGCAAGAAGACGGACACTTCAGCCGAACTCGATGATGAGAAGCTCGCCGCCTACTGCCACTGCAAGACGATCTCCTTCTATCTCACTCGCGCGACACAGGAAGCTGCGAAGGACGAAGCCACCTTTTGGCTTGTCCCGGCCAAAGATGATGACCCGACTTCCCGCCCGCGATTTATGTCCGGCCACTGTTTCTGCACATCCTGCAGGTTAAGCAGCGGGTCTACCATACGAAGTCACTCGATCGTCCCACGTGAGAACATTATCGACCCTCGCACCTCCCTCCCCATATCCCTCGCCACGGAAAGCAAGCGTCCGGAGGGGCTGAAGAAATATGAGAGCTCTCCAGGGACGTATCGTGAGTTCTGCGGGACGTGCGGAGCGAGCGTGTTTTATTGTCCGAGCGCCCAAGGGAAGGGGCATGGTTCGGTCGATACTGATGGCGAGCCGAGTGTTGTGGGCATCGGGGTGGGCTTGCTCGACGAGAACGACAGCGGCGCGAGGGCGGAACGGTGGTGCTTCTGGTCTGAGAACCTCTTTCATCCCGAGGATGCCATCGACAAGGCAGGGTTGGAGGCCGTGAAAGAGGCGGTGAAAACTGCGGGCTCGGTGTCAGCGTAGGGGATGCACTTTCTGCAAATGGCTGTTCTTGTAGCATTCAAAATAGTTCGAATCTTGTACATAAATTTGAAATTACCATTACCCTATGTATGTACGAAATGTATATCAGGCGAAATACAGAATACCACTATCGTCCCTGGACCAGTGTCGGTCTGTTGGTTTAGCCTTTGCGTTCCATTCCTCCATCGCCTCTCGAGGAGCTGATAAAAAAAGCTCTCAGAATATGGCCGTAAGATAGAAATAAAACACAACGTACGACTACATATGTGAAAAAGGTATGACGCGTACCCCAATGTTTCGAGATCCTTGGCTTTTGGGAAAGGCAAATGTTGAGCGATCAGTTCGGGCAGGGCGAACCCCGTCGATTCCCAGTGGAGAGTGAAGCTCATGAACGACTCTGGCACGAAGCACGCCTCCCTGAAGTCCATCGTGTAAACCTGACCGTCGGCACCCACCAGGAATTTCTCCAAGTCGATGAAGGAGAAGCAGAAGATCAGCTTCTCCCCAGAGAAGTTGACCCCCTTTCTGTACCTCGAAGGTGCTTTGAAGATTCTAAGCAGCTGAGGAAAGTCTGAAGTGTTAAGCCTGGCATAGAGCAAGGTGCTGGTGGCATACCTTGTTGATATCCTTCTCCAGGTGTTCAATAGAGTCGTATAACCTCCACGCTCCCGTTACATCGTCGAAGAAGCCATGCATGCAAACCCCTCCTCCAACGGCCCCAGGGGTTGCGTCTGGGGGAACCTCAAAGAGGGTCATCTTCTCCAGTTCTTTGGCTACCTCTGCGGCGAGCCTGGAAAGTTGACCCTTATTGTCCTTGATCCACTCAGTCGCGGGGACACCCTCGATATACTCATCGAGAATGTATGCCCTTCCCCTCGAGTTTTCGAAGGCGTGGTAAATCTTGGGTGTTCTTGACCCACGTTCGTGTGCAAATTGTTGGGCACGAGCAGATGCCATCGTCGCGGAGCTGCCAAATCTGATACGTGCGAGAGGACGTCCAGTGGAAGGGTAAAGAAGATAGTCCGTCCGTGTTCTAACTTTGCCGCGGTTGTCACTGCAGAAACGCAGAATTTCTTCCTTCGTGGGCTGTTTCCCAGGGAAGCCGTCGCCATAAATTTCGTCGTTGCTTGTCATATGGAAGAGAGTAGCAGAAGAGGATGAGAGGTAGTCATGGACCCCTATTCATGTCTGAGTTCTGGCCGGCATTTACCGCCGGTTTCCGGAGCCCAATGCGAAGCGCTCATGCACGTGCCGATGACGCGAGCGCTTGTTTCTTCACACTTCCACAGATGGCATATCTGCGCAACATACGCCTTATCGATGCCATTCTGTCTCTTCACGGTCCATGTATCCGGTCACCAGACCTACTAACCAAACACCTCCAAAGCGTGCAAATGCCACACCTTCAAGTCGTGGTGAACGCATGTTCCTCCCAGCCAGCCAGCTAGGTGCCATCGACTCACCTTGACTATCCACAATGGCTCCCCAACGAGTTGCGGACGCAGCCAACATCTCCCCGTATCCTTTCGTTGTCCGTCAAGGGCGCCCCGTGATAGACCCAGTGCCGGAAAATCCGGAGCCGCCGTCCAGGAGCAGCAAGAAGGCCATGGCGAAGGCGAGGCGGGCGGCGGAGAGGAACGCCCGCCAGGAAGAGGAGAAGAGGTTCAATACGGGACCCAGGAGCCTCCGCTTCCCACCTTCGAATAAGGGCGGTCGTCGCTTCCGCCTCCCGGGAAGAGGGTATGAGGATCGAGGTGAGGTCTCTCGCTGCCTACTCCTGACCACTTACGATTTATAATGATGTTATGGCTATTATAATTTTTTAGGAATTCCTGATTATCCTCCCCCATCTTTTCAGGAGGCAATGACGAGCCCGCCCATGTCCGGGTGCTCCAGTACCACGTCGCTCGTCCAGCAACAGCAGGCGCCTATGGCACCTCTCGTCGTCCCAGAGCGGATTCCTGAGGTCGTCCTCGAACACACGCCAGAAGAGGCTGTGGAGCCCACTGACAATGCTGCGAACACCAACGACACCAACGACACTGCAGGATCCGATGAGAACGAATCGGACTCTGACGAGTCGATATTCATCATCGACAAGAACTCTGTCCCAGTTGCATCCACCGATCTTCCGAGAGGCGCTGCCCTCGAAGAGCGGGTCAAGATGGACTGGATCAAGCGCCGTGGTGTAGAGTTTCCCATCGCTCCTTCACCCGAGCCTGTACGCAAGTCCAACGAATCGCAGGAGGATGCGTTCGGGACTCGTGGGCGATCGACGACAAGGCTGCCTACTCTCAAAATCGATCCTGACCCTGTAGAGGGTGAGAACACTACCGGCGCTTCCTCACCATCTACCAGCGCTAAACGCCGTTTCCTCTCCTTATCCCCCCTCCGAACCATCTTCCCACCTCGCTCTCCCGTTCATCAAGACCGTGCCATGTCAGCCCATCCTTCCCCTTCCGCATCATCTTCTCCATATTCCGGTTCTCGTATTTTCTTCCGCAGCACGACCTCCCTCACTACTGCGTCCTTCCTACGCCTACCGCTCTCTGGTTCAACATTCGGTGGTAAGTCGGAAGTTTCCTTGACACGCAAGCTTTTCAGCCACAAAGGAAAGGAGCGCGCGAAGTATCCGAGTAGTTATAATGAGCCATGGGAAGTGGTGGATGAGAGCGAGTGTGATGACGCCGATGAAGAAGACATTAGACGCCGTCCAAGTCTTATGGCTGCCGTCGAGGCCATTTCCTCGAACACCTCAACTACATCAGCGAGCCCTGGGACGTCCCCCACGAGGTGCCAAAGCTTCACCTTCGGCTCTTCACACGTCTCCGTCGACTCAATGCGCACTGCGTTGCCCAAGGGTCCACACAATCTTCCAGGCGACGTTCTCGCGCGCGATTTCCAAGTACCCACAACATCTGACTCACCATCCGCAACGGTGAAAGTATGGAAGGCCTCTTCCACGGCCTTCATCGATCGTCCCATTATTCGACGTCCTGCAGCTGCGAGCGATCCACCCACCCCCACGTGCATCCCGGAGGCACCGGAAATGGCGAGAACACCTACACCTCCTCCTGCCGCCGTACACTATCAAGACAATGCGCCGTCGACGTTGCAACTTATCGCAGGAACTCCGTTCTCCTCCGTCCGGAGCCGGACGAACGCGACACCTTCTCTTACTCCACCGCCCTCACTTTTGACAAAGCAATATACAGCCCACGGACCCTCACCTCTGCGCGCAGGGAACGCCAAGCTGAATATCACAATTGTGAGCGACCAGCAGGCAATGGCAGCGGCCGCGATGCACCAGCGCGCTTTAGAGACGCCGCTCCCTTCGACGCCCGAGTTCCAGACCCATTTCGACTACGGGTCCCCAGCGGCCTCCCGCAGCCTTATGGCGGTCCCCCCTACCATCCTCCCTCCGCCTTTGGTACCAAGTCCCCCACCCGCGCCGGTAGCGGCCCGATCGGCCCTCGATTTATTGTCCGATTTGAACTCCGCGCCTGCGCCACTCGCCCAGCCAACATGCCTGTGTCGCTCGGCGTCGCCTCCAGCGGTGTTGAACGTCTCCGTGCATCCTTCTGGCAACCAGCTCGTTAAGAAGAGCAATAGTTCGGGCTCTGTGGAAGAACAGCCACCGATGACGCCTACGAGGCACCACTATGTCGGACGCCCTCTTCCTCGCCCACCGCCATCGACACCGCCTTCCACGCGTGCGGGGACTGTTGATTCAACGTATGCAGCACCCGAGGGTTCTCCTGAATGGAACGTGGATAGTGAGGGAGGAACTGCTCCCCGTAGGCTGAAGGCTTGTCCAGAGGGGCTGCTGATCGACTTGGAGGATACATCGTTGGATGGGTTCTCGGCGAGCGGGACGTCCACCCCACGTTCAGACGAGGGGCGCTGGAGATCGCAGTCGCACCTGCATCTCCCGATGGATCCCTCTGTAGCCTCTCTTGTCGACCTCAGCCCGGAGCCTCCAGCATCAGCACCCGCAGAGTTGTCCTCCCTTTCGTTCGCATCGATGCAGGCGACGAGCACCCCGCTCTTCCCAACGGCGCCTGGACTGAACAGGTCGCCATACGCGCAGCATACCAGCCCGAGCCTCGCAGACCTCACAGATCTCGATCTGCTGGTGTCTCGCTTGGAGGATGGGCAGCGCGATGGGACCGACTACGAAGTGAGTCCTACAGGTCGTCAAGCCTGGCGCGACCGCAGCCTCAACGTGCACCCCTACGCAGACCCTGCTCCTGGTCTCCGAGATAATTGGGCCCGCGAACCCGCTTCAGCTGTCACAGGACTCGACATCAGCCCATCCCCACGCGTCGTCAACGTCAACGTCGTCTACCTCCCCGAGAGCCAGTACCAGCGACAGCACCAACATGTCGCTCGTTGGGCGTATTGAGGTGACGCGCCGGCGGGTCCTGGCTGACGGGCGCGTAAAGCTCAAGTTGCAGCTACTCGACGTCGCCGTGAATAAGTGTGGTATCTGTCTGGCTCAGTTCAAGGACGGAGACATGGCGGCGCTGACCTCGGTCTGCCGACACTCGTTTCACGAGACGTGTCTTTCGCGTTGGATTGCTAGAAGTAAAACCTGCCCTATGTGCAGGGTTCTGTTGGATACAGACATTCGATAACTGGTTATCGACGTTTTTCTTGTCTCTCTTAGGTTCTCTCCATATTTCTTTACCCTTGGGGTCAGTTAGGCTGATAGGGTTTTCTTCATGTAGCATAACGGTCATCTCTCACATGCATCCATCTCACTCATAGACACTCACATACATCCATGTACAACCTCTTAGGGACTTTACTGTAGTTTTAGTTCTGTCAATCCATGTCTGCACTGGTGCAGAGCGGTCGAATGACATCAGATCTGCGTTACGTAACAACAAAGGCGCAAAGCGCTGCACCGCCACCGACATTTAGGGGACTTCCTAAAAAGGGAATCCTTCAAGCTTGACCGTTGTCTCTGTGCCACTGAACAGCACAATCTCATTGTTCTCGCAAAACCCTTCACATTTCGAACCCGATTTGACATCATCTGATTCACAGAATGGCGACCCTTCATTCTTGGGCCAACTGGCCCCGCGCTTTGGCTTCCTTGCAGACTCCATCATCCCCGGCAGCAGCTACAACGTGTTCAGTCAAAGCGCTTGACGTTCAGTGGCTCAAACACTCGGATCCTTTCAGGCCGTGAATGCTGTATTTAAAACTAGCCACGGGCTAGTTTTACCCCCCACTTACCTTGCTTCTTACCCCCACGTCGCCACACAACCTTTCAACCCATCCCACATCCTTCCCCACCGTTAACTGCGATGCCTCCCAAGAAGAACCCGAACCCCTACAAGAACGCCCCCGCAAAGCGCATTCCATCTCTTATCTCGCGCATGGGGGCCAAAGTGTCGAACATGGCGCGTCGCCGATCGTCGTCGCCACCATCTGAGGTTGAGGCCTCCACTTCTACGATCCCTTCCTCCTCAAGCGCGTCGACTTCGGCTCAGGCGTCGACATCGGGCCAAGCATCGACCCCTGCTCAGCCATCGACCTCTTTCACTCGATCGCGCTCGCCTTCGCCCTCTGTGCCACCCACACAAGCACCCGCACCTGCACCCACAGCACCGGCCAACGACGATGCGATGGACGCGCTCACCGCGGCACTCGCTTTCGGTATGTCGATCAAGAGCCAGCAGGAAAAACCCGGCCCCAACCCTCCCTCCACCTCCGCGAAAACGCGTGCCGGGCCCACCACTCGCTCAGCCTCAGCGGCCAAGAAGAAGGTGCACTTTGAGGATTCCCGAGCAAAGATCGACACCAAGGCTAGGGGGAAGGCCACCACTACCTCCTTGCACAAGGCAGCGATGGCGAAGGCGGAGGAGATGGCCAGGGCGAAGAGGCAGCGCGAGTCGCGTGCTACCCGGAAGTTCGTGAAGACGCCTATCCCCCGTGTCTGGCAAGAGGTTCTCGAGGGCCAGAAGAAACGGTCGCTCCAACGGAGTATAACCTCGCATGAGATCTCGATCCTTGCTCGGCCCATCGCAGCTGCGATTCGCCGCCAACGAGCCATCGACACAAACGCTGATTCGGCCAAGTAAGCACTTCCTCACTCTCGTGTTCGCCGTCTGGAAGCTCACATTCTACACTCGTCTAGGTCTAGCGCGGTGGTCGAACAGGACGGAGACACCGATAATGAGGATAACGACGACCAGGACAACCCGGTGGCCTGGGAGAAGATCGTTCACCTCGAGCCAAGAGTCTCCCTCCACCACTTCAACCTTCAAGAGAATATCAATGATATCCTCGTCCACGAGTACAAGCAGCACCCGTGGGTCTATCCAACAAACCCGACCCGCAGCAGGAAGTACACACTCGAGGAAACTAAGGAGGAGAAGAACAATCACCAGCCCATCGTCTCCAAGTCGCTGTCCTTCAGTAACTGGGATGCCGACGACTTGTTCGAGAAGACTCCCAACCCTCCACCTTCCGCCCCCGCGCCTGCTCCTCCTTCGGTTCCTCCTTCGTCTCAACCCGTCGATCTTCCACCACAACCGGCCCAGACCACCTTCCCCCCTCCTTCTTCGACCGCCTCCGACGCCCCATCCTTCATCCCTGCCGTTCCGTCCTACGCTACCCCACCTCCTCAGGCGAGCCAGCCCGTCCAACCTGAGCCTGTCCAACCGGCCTTCCCCCCCTCTGCCCCGCCCATAGACCCATATTTGCTCTTCTCTGCGGCCGCCTTCCAGGCGCAGATGGCCCAGACGGACAACGTCCTCAACAACCTCTTTGGGTCGACGTCTGGCACTTTCCAGCCTGTCAATCTGCAGCCCGGGTTCGGGACGGGCTTCTCGATGCACACTGTCGACATCCCCGACGGCTTCATGGCCGACGATGAGGGCGACGACGACGACATGAACAACGGCGGGGGGAGCATGTTCAATATTGGGACACATTTCTACCATGGCGCATCTCAACAGCCTGAGGCGTCGACATCGCAGTCGACGTCTTCAGCCGACACACACTTTATACCCTCCTCACCCTCTTCGCACCCTTCTGGGTCGGGGATGGTGGGGGATAACAGTGCGAGCAGCGAAGACGACAGGACCGGTTCCTCGTCTCAAGCTGCGGACCCGGCCTTCACCAGCAGCGCCAACCCTGGCGCGAACTTCGCCGTGTACCAGGGTGAAGGCTCGGAGACGTCATATGGTACACACCCTCTCGGGTCTTCCGACCCGCCTGCTCAGCCCGCCGACGCCATCTACGGCGGGTGCTTCCAGCCCCAGCAGGCACCCCCTACGCCCGCCCAAGACTGGGCTCAGCAAAACCAGGAGAACATCCCCCCTCCTGCGTACTTCCCTCCGGCTGCCGTCGACGCATCCAACCTCCCGTCGACGCTCCCATCCATCCCTACCGGCCCACTCGACCCTTCCATTCGCTCTGCACCCTCCGCCCCGACCTGGCCCAACTACGACGGCCAATGGGCCGGTGCGACCTGGAACACGCAGGCGGACACTTCCGTCGTCTGCGAGGAGGCACCGATGGAGACCGAGGAGGACCGCTGGGTCGTCCCCTGCGAATTGAACTGGACGTGCCCGGACTCGGAGATGGCTGAGCCCATGGAGGAGAGCGACGCCTCCTTCTATGCGGCGCCGGAGCCTCAACTAGCGTCGCAAACGACGAGCTCGAGCCAGGAGATTCCAGGGGTACAGATCGTGAGTTCGCCCTTTCGTACTTACCTTTTGCTTTGCTGATGCTTTTCTTCTTCAGACGAACGACGCCCCTCAGAGCCAGTCGGCTCACCCGAGCATCCCGCTTCCAACCTGGGTACAGAGCGTAAGTCGCGTATTTTCCTGGTCCAATCCGCGCTTACTGACGTCTTGCTCAGCAACCGGCCGCCCAGCAGCTGCAGGAGCAGACACCGATGACGACGACTTCTGGAGAACAGCAGTGGACCTGGGTACTGAGGGTAAGTCTTGTTCTATCTTTGAGCACTCTTGATTACTTACCAAATGCTCGTAGCCGGATTGGCACGCCCAGCAGGAAGAGGCCGCTCCACGGCCCTTGGACACACCCCCGCAATCACCCTGGGTACAGACCGTAAGTCTAACTATTCTTGTATCCTTGAACAAACTTACTGATGAGTGACTCGGTAGAATGACGGCGCCCAGGAAGGTCAGCCGCGCGATTCAAGCCAGCAGCAAACCGATTCTGTCACCTTGGTAAGTTCTCTTTCTCTATTTGAAGCTCTCTGTTCAACCGCTTACCCTTGTCCTCCAGGAGACTGAGCAACCGCAGGAGGAAGAACGCCAGCCCGAACCGGCACCGCAGGGACCCAAAGTCGACGAAGAAGCGCATCGCGAGAACGAGACCGAGACGGCCAATGCCTGGAGCCAGCCCCCGTTGGGCCCCACTGGTGTTGCGGCAACTCAAGCCGCATGTAATTCCGGGGAGCCCGTGTCAGAGGCGGCTCAAGATCATCAAGCTCCAGCAGCTTACCCGACACCATCCCCCACATCCTCGCCCTCGCCCCCCACCACGCGTTCTTCCCTTCCGACCCCTGCACCTCAACCCGCCCGCTCGGCCTCGCCCCTTCCCTCTCCTCCCACCTCTCCGGAAGTCGCACCATCGTCCGCAGTCGAGGAGCCGGCCCCCGCGCCGTCTCCTATCGAGCGAGATGCGCCTTCCGCCTGCGAAGTTCCAAGGGAGGCAGAATCCCACCGGCGCGTCCAGGAACTACGCCTCGACGCGCCACCAGCATCCCCAAAGAGGCCCAACGCGCCTCAAGGAAGCCAAGAACACCAGGCCTATCGAGCAGTAAGTGTTCATTTTAGCGCATATATTCATAGAATTCGGACTGACAAACGTACCTTAGGCCTTGGAGCAGTACTTCGAGCTCAACGCTCGGTACCACGCCGTCCTCGAGCAGCGGCGATTCTGCTACCTCGAGAACCCATGCGACTCGCGAGTCCCGAACGCCCACCGCACCAAGCGCCGACGCTCCTCTGATAGCAGGGATGAAGAGCAAAGGCCGAAGCGACGGCGCCAGGACTCCGATGTCCCCACTTTACCACGCCCAGCACCCCTCGAGCCTACACCAACGAAGCGCACCCGCGACGAGGAGGGAGACGAGGAGGCGGAATCGTGCGATCCCGACGCCAGGAGGAAGCGCACGAGGCGCTCGGACGAAGGAGCAGCGCCAGCCGCCTCCTCGTCCTCGCGGCCCTTCACGTTGCCGGCAGAACCCCTCCAGGGTTATGTGCCCGTCGCAGGAGCGTGGAAGAAGCTCGAGATCCCCCAAGCCCAGCCCGACCCGTCTGCCCCTTCGCCATCATCCCCTCCCTCGTCGTTGCGTCGTCCCGACTCTCCTCGTCGCAGGACCGGCCGTGCCGTCCGTTTCGCCCGCAAAGACGACGTGAGGGTGTTCGACCACAAGCAGCCGGTCATCCCGTCGACCCGGAACACGGAAGCGTCGACTCTGGCGGCAAGTAGGCAACGGAGGGCACAAAAGGCGAGGCGGATGTGCTCCAACTTCGTTGGCGGCGTCGCGAGGTTTTTCGGGCTCGTGTAGTGGCATTAGGCGTGTTTTTCCTTTTCCTTTTCCTTTTTCTTTTCTTTTCTTGCTCTTTTCCTCTCCTCGCATTTGTATTACTTGGACTTCATCTGCATCATCTCTTTGTTCATCTCTCTCCTCTCCAGCTCATATATTTCCTGTACTTGTACGTTGGGGTTTTGCGTCTCTCCTATCTCGTTTAGCCATCATCTCATCATAGATAGAAGTGGGGTAGCCGTACCGCATTTGTTCGCAATTGCATCTCTTTTTGTTGTCTGTCCTCTCATCTCGCCTTGGCGAGGTGAGCAGGTCAACAACCTCGGCTCCTCCACTTGGAACCCTGACGGAAGCAAATTTGCGATCTTGGAAAGTGAGGCACCCGACCCTTATCGAGCTGCTCGCTAGTCTTGATGCGTATCGATGCATATGGATGGGCGCATCGGGACCATGATCGGGGTCGGTTGGGACATTGTCCTCGACAATCTTGTTGAAGGTATGGTTGGGTCGTTGCTCGCGCTCAGTTCCTGTCCTGAAGCCCGTTCATCAGGTGTTGCGATCCTTTCCTTTCCGACGTTTAGGCTTATGCACGTTCGCAGGGAGGAGTCAAGTTGACTGACTTTTGACCAAAGGAACCTCGCGAGATCACGCTGTTTCCCCTACGATGTAAGTTCGTCCCCTTTCCTCAGTCGAGATCGAGGCCATCTTCATGGCTTCTTCCCTTATCATTCCCTGGTAAGTCGCTGAAAAGCAGATTCGTCATCAAAGGGAAGTCCTTCAATTTACCTCCAAATTTTTGGAGAAAAAAGGTACACATTGAAAGAGAGACGACGTACGTCGGATCGCGATATCAGGACATGACACCCATTCTTTGGGCAAATATAAGTAGTGGTAGAAACTCGGAAAGTAAAGACTGGTGACAGATCGCGAGCAAAGGACGCGTGTATTTTGGCATCACGCGCCTTCGGCACTTGCCCGTCATCATCTGGATCCTGTCGACCTCGAGACTCAATTTTGGCGGAATTCATGTTTCATGGAGCTAAATATTATGAAAATACAAGTATATTTCTCTGCTGTCCTGAAAGTGTCTTCGCCATTTCTTCAAACCACTGGAGGGGCTTCTCGCCAACTCGATTCGCTGGAGAGAGCGGAACCGGTCTCCTCAACTACATCCTCATTTCTGCTTTGCTGTACTGAGGCGCTCGCTACCAGGCTTTCGAGTTGATACGGTAGCGCTCACATCTGAAGAGTTCATGACTCTATTGCCAGCACCAGGGCCTTGCCCATGTCCTGGGATCCAGTTTTCTATCAAAATCAATTCCTCTGTAAACTAGATAAACTCACCATACGGCGATGCTTGCCCTTCTCCTCCTTTGATATCTCTTCCCATCACATACATTCCGCCCAGTAGAGCTGCGATTGCTGTACCACAGGCTGCCTTCGAATTCAGGGTGACAAAGATGGCATCAGCTCCTTCGTGTAGAGCTTCTGTGGCGCCTTACCATTGTTGTTCCTCGACTTCCAACGTTTCTAGCTGTCGGCGTTGCCATTAAATTGTGAGTGGCTTGCGTATTTTATGGTTAGAATAGATCTAGAGTAGAAGGCCTGGCGAAGAGCATTTTTATAGGGACAGCATATGACGTCATATCACTGACGAACTTCGTGACGATGCGCCACACACCCCATCCCCCCAATTTACGGATGTAACGAGATCACAGACAAAAAGAAGAATGGCCGTAGTTTAATATTATTTTTACAGACGACGAGAAGCCTTCAAGCTTTGATTATCATTAATTACAGGAGCGAGACGGTGATGCAGAGAGAGCTGTCCGTAACCGTCCATGATGACATTGGAAGGGAGATCTGTGAAAGGCATTATATGACGTTAAAAAAGGGTAGTGCGTTGATAGAATCCAATCCCAGAATTATTACGAGTCACAGAGGACAGGAAGGCAAGGGCCGCCCGCTTCGGGGCGATATGGCCGAAGACTGACGCGCCGAGAGGGTATGGTAGGCAGGCGGAACATCGTCCTCATCCTCGCCGACATCTTCAGGCATGTCGCGGGACCCACGACGCCAGATGGAGGTCAAACGAGGAAACAAATTGGCCAGGGGTGACGAAGGCGTCCGGCTCAACGACGCCGGCGCGCTCGCGGGAGGCTCACACACGAAGGTCCGTCGCACTGGCGTCAATCTCGTATGCGTAGACAGCGGCGCATTATCCGCCAGACTGGGATCGATGCAAGGCGGTGACTGCGACCGCTGGGAGTCGACAGATCCAGTGCTCGGAGGCGTATTGTCTGCGGGCCGCATTCCGACCAGTACCAGTGGAGGTCGCTGGTAGGGCTGCACGGTCTGCTGTGTCTCCGCCTCCCGTCGAACACCACGAGGACTGGCCTCTGACACTGAGGTCATCCCGGAGCTTTGCAGGAGTTGATACGCATGATGAATTTGAACCGCGGGTGCATCGCGCGATGAGGAAGACTCCGAGAAACCCCTTCGCACGGGAATTGATGTAGTGGAGGATCCAAATCCACCAGGCCGCGCTGTGTAAGTTGAATGGTAGCTCGCAGATCGGGCGCAATTCTCCTGGGATCGAGTCAAGCTGTCTGCGCTGGTTGCTGGTCTTATTGTATCGCCCATGCGTCTACAAGGCGATGAAGATCAGTGCATGTCGATGCTAATCATTCTTGGAACAACTCACGGTCTTGCTCCCGCTGGTGCTGCTGGAACCAGTCCTGAAGCTAGGCCCAGCTTTCGCCCCGCACTCGAGGGTGCACCTGCCCCTCTTCGGAGAGGAGCGAATCTGGTCTGTGGTTGAAGTGTATTTGTGACGCCATCAGTTGGAGGAGCCAGGGCGGAACTGGCCGGCCCAAAAGCAGGTCTTGAGGCACTATTCGTCAGGATTGGAGGTATTACCGGCCGCGCCTGTGCCCTTGGTTCATGTGAACGAAGTTCTGGTGATTGGGAGAAGGTTCGCTGCTGGGCAGTCTGAGGTGCCTGAGACGTCCAATTAGTATGCGTCTGCATGTACGGCGTGATGGTGGGCCTGTAAGGTCCGAGTGAGAGCCTGTTCAAGAAGCTGCGCCGTACGGGGGGAAGCTTTTCTGAAATAAGTGGCCGTGAGTCTGGCGAGGTCGTTAGCTGCAGAATCGCTGAGACAGAAAAACCACGTACAGTCATCGCTTGCACACTTTCTGTGTCCCTTCTTTACCCGTCGCCTCAGAATGCAGAATATAAATATTCCGATCAATGCGAGGAACGCCAAAGCTCCAACAACTATTCCTACGATCGCTTCAGGGGATATCTTTTCCCCAGTCGACTCAAAGTTACTCTCAGGCGTCGAGGAGGTCTTCGGGTTGTATATCCTTCCGTTACTCCCAGAAGTAGTAGTCAAAGGTTTTGACGACGACGACGAAATGGACGGGGCCGGCACCCGAGAAATAGAATCAAAGGAAGGAGAGTACGTTATGAAGTCCAGAATGAAGGATTGGTTGTCGGAATGCGTTATCTCGATGTCTAGCTTGTGTTCACCGGGAGATAGTCGATCCATTGAATAAAATAGGAAATTCGGTGCTTCCCCTACGTTGTTGAGATATTCCGGGGAACTCGCTGTGACCGAATACGTTTGCGAAAGAGATGTTCCATCAAGGGTGTACGTGGCCGATAACAACCCCAACAGATCCCAGGAGAAAATCCCGTATACAGCGACTGATGATCCTACGAGGCTGTTAGAACACCGAGGACAGAGATCGCGCCAGAAAAATACCTGTGAAATCAAAGGAAAATTTGTCTCCTACAACCCAAGATCGGTGGGTTCCGTTCTGAAAAGGGGTGCCGCTGGGAATATGACCTGCCTTGAACTCGTCCCCGTTTCGTACCCAGTTTCCGCTGTAACGAACGGAAGGATCGTCGTCGTCGACAATGACTCGCTTGTCTCTAAGTGAGGTGCTACTACTTGCTCGTACGACCGCATAATCAATAGAAATGCCTTCGACGCCGGATATTGCAATCGTGTGCTCTCCATCTAGAAGTTCTGGTGACTGGTACCATTGACGATAGGAGCGTAGGGCGGGGTCTCCGAATCCTGAAGTCGTAGGGGCTGCTCCATCAATAGACACTGTTATGTTCTGAAGGGCTGAAGGCGAAGGCGTAACGCCAAAAAATGCAGCTGACGTGCCTAGGTAGACCGTGAATTGATACTTCTTCAGCTACCGTCGCCAGTGTTCTTACGAGACGCACCTTCAAAGTCGAAGCTGAAAGACCCCGCCTGATCCGGATAGTTTCCCTCCTGCAACTGGCGAGACGTTCCGCCATACCACTGCACCAAGCTATTCGCAGCCCAACCTCCAGAGAAAGTAAAGTTGCCAGAGTTATCGTCCACGACCAAGAGCAAATCCGAAGCCATGAAGGAAAGAGTCAAGGATGGATATCAATCATGGGGCGAAGAGGGAGACAGAGCCGTCGAGGACCCAATCCAGTATGCATGGACGGTGCCGCTTGCCTGGCTCGACGCTTTAGACCTCCAGAACATTCAATTATAACCCCAGCCAAGACCTCCTAGAAAAGGTGATTTTGATCAGGAGGAGACGCGGAATGAATTGGTATGCTGGGAGTACTCCCATGCCAATCCACCCGCCGTCCATCATCTCTGTGTTTCATCGATCTAAATCCGCACATGACTGGACAGCAAGTTGAAGTGAAGCGTACGAAAAGTATTGGATCAGAATGGAACAGGGAAACTTGGGTATGGGCATCTCCATGTCCTTCATGCTTATGCTCTGGTGCCTCAACGCACTCCTCGAAGGGTTTTCAGAAATAATCCAGCGGTGGAACTGGTGCTTCTACGTCATCGAGCACGGAGGCATAGCCTAGCGGAGTGTTGCGAAAAGCTCGAATCAGTTCGATGCATCCATGTATAGTGAGTCCTTGGACCGCTGTCGACCAGAAATAGTCGCCAAAGTTGAACACTGAGGGGCACAGCATCTCCAATTCAGTCCAACTAGTGCCTGTAATGTTACATATGCTGTAAATCTTGAGAAGTGAAAACCTTCGTTTCGACCAGAGAGAATGGCGGCCAGAAGTGCAGAAGGATGGACGTAAAGATTCAAAGGGGGCAAGAGGAAGGAGACCCACGAAAATGCAGTCGCCGTCAGCGATAACCGTGATTCACACGGACGGTCCGGTCACACCGGATGACTTAGGCCCAGAGGCTCCCAGAGGCTCATTGAAAAGATAAGAAAACAACCGCCAAAGCCCATGAGCTGAAACAGAAACGGCGACAATACTGGACTACAAGCTACATAAGATAAAGCAAATTGAGGTCATTAAGGTGCACTCCAACAAAGAACGGTACGTGGTAGCCTGTAGGGGAAAGATAAAACAAGGAACCTCAAACTCTTCAACTTTTCACAGCGACGGTGGGAGGTTGCGGAGACACGGCTTCGTACGATGGAGGTGCCACCTGCCATGAAGTAACACGGGCTTCAGGGGACATACTCCGTTGGGTTGCATCAGTGGGTGTCATATCACCTGAAGGACCCGACGAGGGTGATGATGCATTTCGCTGAACTGTCTCGAGCCTCTCTCGCTTCGAAGCCTGCACGGATCCAAAGCCGTGGTTTGCTGGCGGCGTTTCTTGGAAAGGAGAGATAGTTCCACTTGAGACAGGCGAGTTCACAAACGTTGGTCTGTTTGGCGAGAGGTGCTCTTGCATGTGTCCTGAACTGGGATAACTTCCATTGGCGCCTAATTGCACCAAGTGTTAGCCCATGGTCGACTTGGAGCAAATTTGACACTCGCTGCCGCTATTAATCAAAGACGCATTGGGAGCTACCCCGTATTCATTGTCGTGCGCTTTTCGTCTGCGAAGCCAGAAAAATAAGAAGACAGCAAGAACTAGAACGCCTAAACCACCAATGACTCCGCCGATAATGGCGCCAATGGGGGTTGAATTGGATTCTGAGGCCGTTCCTTGGTTGCCCAACTGTGTGCCAGAGGAAGTCGAGCCTGATGATATCGACGGACTAGGCGCTCCAGAACTAATGTCAATGGGGGTGCTGACGGTGGTAATAGGAACCCCGCTTGTCCCAGTCACAACGGTCGTGATACCTGCAGGTGCAGCTGAGGTGCTGCCTGTTGAACCGTCACTGGTGGTAGGATCGGGGTTGGTGACGGGTCCTACTGGGAGGTTCGGCATAGACGCAAGCGTTGAGAACGATGGGGCATAGGTGATATAATCAAGCATGAAATCCTGGTTGTCGCAACGAGTAATAGTAATAACGAGAGTGTGGTCCCCGGCTGTAAGATTGTCGCGCGAGAAAAGGAGGAAGTTCGATGCCTCGGCGTCGTTTTTCACATATTGTGGCGAGCTGCTTGTGACCGAGTAGGTTTGAGCGTCGGTGCTCCCATCCAGGGTATATGACGCTGCAAGGACTCCGATGTTAGCCCAATTGAACAGGCCGTATAAAGACGCCGACGTTCCTACATTGATGATTGAAGTGAGGCAGAAAAATGGCGCCGGCGAGAACGACTCACCGGTAAATCTGAAAGTGATCGTATCACCAACTGTCGATCCACGATGTGTACTACCGCCATAAGGATAACCGTCTGGCAGAGTCCCGGCATCAAACCTACTTGGAGTTCTTCTCCAATTGGACGAGTAGGATATAGCAGAATTGTCGTCGTCGACGATAACGGTCTTGCCGGATAGCGCGGTGTTCCGACCAACTTTTACGACGGCAAAATCGACTGAGGTGCTGCCTATACGGCTCACAGTGATTGTATGCCGGCCATCGGAGAGCGTAGGAGACTGGTACCACTGCATGTACGAAGGTGGTGAATTATCTCCATAACTGATATTCGTGGGCGCTCCTCCATCGATAGAAACCAGAGCGGATTGTGATAGCTGACGGACGGGCGTATTTCCGATGAACGCGACAGAAGAGCCTAGAAAAAAGAGCACCGTCATCCTGAGCGCTCTCTGCTGAGATGCCAAATATTCTCAAGGCTCACCTTCAAAATTGAATGTGAACGTCCCAAAATCTACCCCGTTTCCAGCGAAGGCGGGCCACCAAGACGTCCCTTTGTACCACTGAACGAGCGTGCTGAGCGTCCATTCCCCACCGGAATATGTGAAATCCCCCGAGTCGTCATCCACAATTATAGACAGTTCGCTGGCCATTCTGAAAGGCACAAAAGAAAGGCAGGAAACTGCAAGTCTCACAGAGAGGGTCAAAGGTTGTGAAAGCTGGAGAGACGGTGGTTGAAATAAGAGGGAAAGAGCTCCCTTTGGATGGTCAATTGACGATCTTCGGCGGCTGCATCATTTTTGATTGTCGCCCTTTTCTTCTCAGCATCCAATTGGTCCCGATTAATGTGAGCCAATCAGGCATCAGTTGGGAGCGCTCTAGCGGGGAGTCTACGGAGGATCCATTAAAGGTGTAGGAAATTGTCGCCATGAGCGCCGAGGACAAAGTCCGTCGATGTCCAGTGCTCACTCAGAGGAAGAGATCGATGAATCTTGTGCTTGAGGGAAATGCTTTGAGCGCCCGGCGCCCAACGTTTAAGCTGAGAGTCTAGAACCCAAGAAAGGATCAAACACATGTCCCACCGGAACGGGATGGGGTGATGGGCTGTCAGAGAATGTCAGTACGAGAGAAATCTCAAGTCTCTCTGCTCCTCCATAAACTCAGATAGAAGTGTCCAAATCAAACACCTTACGGGAGAAAAGATGGACCTATCAGGCACTACTGAGGTGGTTTTCACAACGGTTGCATCGCGCCCATATTGATGGTGACCTTCACTGACACTTATCAGCGAGGTAGACTTGACCCTGAACCCGAACATACCGAAGGACATCCAATTTATACTCGAAGCTCCACTGGACAATTTACATCCCGAACTTCGAAGCATTGGGTATCACTTCACGAGGCTTTTGGAAGGGCTCTTCCCATCCTCGAATGACGCCTTCAAATGACTCACGCTGCGCTGACTATAAATGAATTTCGACGACATGTCTAGGGCCACGCCCGGAATTACATGGAGTCGGAGAACATCGCAATGCTAGACCGAGTATTGCCGGAACCATCGACGAGTAAATTGTCCTGTCAAGCCGACCAGTCGATAAGCAATAGCCTACAGGGATATCAGGAATAGGTTAACTTACAGCACATCCTGATCCCAAGTTCGCGTTACCGATCCACGCCGGTTCCCAATACACGATCCCCTTGCCACGACCTCCCGGCAGCGACGAGAGGACGTCTCTGATCTTAGCCACCCAGGCAGATTGACCAGCGGCTGAGATAGGGACAGACCGGTCGCTCAGAGTGACACCAGAGCACGAGACCGGCCAGTCGGTTTCGACGACCCAGACGTCCTAGTTGGAAGACTGAGCCAGGGTGAAAGTTCGCGAGACAAAGCGTGTTACCTTGCCGTATCTATTTACCATAGCCTGAAGATTGGACTGAAGAGCGCTCGTCGTAGCGCCCGTTCCGTAGAATGGATAGATCGAGAATCCCATGACGTCGAAGTCACCAGTCTCGAGTTCACCCGGACGGAAGATTTGGTTAAAGAACGAACTGACCGCGGAGCCGTTCCAGCCGTTGGCGATGTGGATCATAATCTTCGTGGACGAAGAGGCTGCTCGCACCCCATTAGCGGCCGAATGGAGAAGTTGGGATAACGGGGAATATCCGTTCCTGGATATCTGGCCTGTGGGCCATAACATTCCATCATTGATTTCGTTGCCGATCTGCAGATGGAAACGCCGCGACTAAGAGAATAATACATCGAGACAGGCGTAAAGTGGACCTGGATGAACTCAGCAGGAGTTCCTTGGTTTGCGAAAGCTTGAACAACATCTCGGGTATAGCTTGAGGAGGTATCATTTGTTACTTGAATTCTTTTCAGGAAAAGTATCAAAAAAAACACCTACGTGTAGATCCTATTATTCAGTCCGTCCAAGTCCCGAGGCCAAGCACTAGGAATGCCCTGCTTGCCGGGGTCGGCCCCTACAAAGGAAGGAATTAGCGAAGGTGAGAAGAGGCGACGAACTATGCTCACAGGTATCACTGTAGTGAAGGTCGATTAACAAAGTCATGCCGGCGGCAACGGCGCGCTTCGCCAACGCTAAACCATGTTCGAGGCTGTATTGAGAGTAACTGGTACTGGTCCAAATCCTGATGCGAGCAAGATTGGCCCCGTGATTTTTGAGAATCCATTCCAGTTTATTGGTAGAGCCAGAGTCCCTGTAGACGATCCCAGAGTTCTCGAGATTGATCAGAGAACTGAAGTCGGCGCCTCGGTACTGAAGCGCCTGGGTGATGAAAGGCAAGGAAAGCAGGGAAACGATGAGCGTACTGAAGAGCCGCATATCTGGTTGGTTCGAGCATAAACCTACTTTCCTTGTATTCTTATGTATTGGTGAGACTCCGAAATTGAAGAAAGAAGTGTGTCCAAGAACCCGAGAGAAGGAGAAAAGTATGGTCATAACGGGATTGATGGGCCGCTAATGCAGCAGGTGACGATAGAAGAAGAGAGCGGAAATGGCCCAAGTGGGTCCGGTGGGACATTTTGTATACTCGGAGCGTCTTTCCGACCACAGGGTGTTTGTCACGAGAACTGAGAAGAATTGTACCAGCTCTGAGCAACGTGGGTCACGGGTTCGTATAATTGTCGGGAAATACTAGTGATGAGCATGCAGGCGGGGGGCCTTCTTATGGCAGACTTCTCCTGAAGACGTGAATGAGAGCTTAACGCCCTTCGAAACATTTTGGCAGAGACCGACAATTTGCGACGAGGTGGCTCAATGAGTCGTAGGAGAGGATGTCGGATAATTAAGACGTTGACCTCCCAAGTCATGCTGCCAACATCTCCCGAGGTGCGCTGCTGTGGCGGCTTAAAAGACCGAGAACGACAGATTAGGCAAGGGGTGGGCGGCTCTTTTTCCAGTTGCAGGAACTTGAAGCGAAAGGGGCGACTAGAAGAGTGGGTTCTTCCGTTAGAAGCAGTTCTCATGACGTCGGTACCGTCAAACTTGTGTACCGAGAATACACAGAGGAGAACAGTCTTCCCCATCGCAGGCCGGACGAAAGTCGGTCGAGTACAACGGCTGCCGGAGAGCCTGCAACTCTTCAAGACTTGAGAAAGAAAGCTGTTGAACGTCATGGTTCTTGAGTCAGCATGGGCCTTTTGACAAGAACTATCGCGAGGACGTCGTGCAGGATTGTTAGGCCACAGTTCGTATTCAGAAACATAGACTTACCATTGACCAATTTTGCCATGGTATAGTTGGAAGGAAGTATTTACATCATAGTTAGTCTTGGCGCGTGAACTCGGAAAGTCGTGGGCGACCGGCACTGAGCTTGCCGTACGCACCCACAAACGCCATACGCCGGCACAGCCCACGGCATCAGACGGTAGAAATGTAGTACTCAGCGTGTGTCACTCTTACTCACCTTCCCAGCATGCCGTTAGAGTTACGGGCAAGAGTACGGGCAGCCGGGAGGACGTGGCTCTCCGTGAAATGGTAATTGAGTTTACTTGAGAGCTCTGAGAGACCAGAGTATCTAACTAACCAGCGACTACGGATACGCGCTCAAGCCATTAAAGGTGTAAGTGCTGCCAGGCGTCTGCAGATGCGACGAGAACGACTCATCAGGAACTACAGGAGCTACAGTTTCAAGGGAAAGCCATAAGGCCACCCTCGAAAACGTGGTTTCAATCAAAATCAGTGAATCAGGAAGCCATAAAGCCGTCCAGGGCCCCTTGGAAAAATTGACATTTATAATCCCCTTCCGTGTGTCGATGAACCTTTCTGGAGATCACTCGCACCCCGCCATATATAAAGGGATGCACTATCCAAGATCCCCGCGTCCCCACCCTTGCTTCATACCGTCACTGTGTGCCTACGAGCCTGCTGATATCTTGTACCACCTCTTTGCCTGACTTCTGGGATAAGAATCAAGATGTCTAACGAGCAAAATACTGGTGGAACTTCAAGCACCCCCTCAGTCACTTCCGAGGTACAGTTTCATTATACCTCCCTCTTGTTGGCTCAGGCCCTAATGAAGTTTTCATTTTGCGCTTCCCGGATTGACCGCCTACAGGAGAGCCGACTGCAGCCGGCTGCCTCTGGAAGGTAAGCCGTATGGAGATCATCCACCCCTGACTGGCTGCGCCTAAGTACTTACCTTCTTTGCACCAGTGATATCGCGAAAGAACCGACTGATTCTTCTGATGCGTGAGTATCCAAAAGGTCCAAAACGTTACCTGACAACGTGTGCTTACCCAGTCTGTCCTTTTCGTCAGGAATTCCTCGCCGAGCCAGAGCGTGTGGGTGTCTTCTCGTGCCTTTATCGTCCCAGCGCTCAAATGTACGAATAAGTAGAGAGACCCAGAATGATGTCAATGAAAACCCAGTTGAGGAGCTAGTATCGTAAGCGTCTTTTGTACAAAATATCCGTCGACCGTAACTCACTGAAGTCTGACCAGTTTGTACGTCCAGTCGCTCGTGAAAGCAATTTTGATGGGCCCTCACACACGCTTTTATCAGGCCCCCACCACCAAGAAAAAAGGCGTCGAGAATGTCAGTCGAAAGATAAATTCTGGCAAGCCTGATTTTTATAATGTTGTTTTTCCAGATTTCCCAAGCCCCAAGTCCGTCCAGACGCTCCATCCACTAAAGCCCAGGCTCCCAGTAGTCTGTCCAGCGTTGGCTCCAGAAGGCACTCCCGCACGGATACCTTCGGACAGATAATTCCTCCAGATGGTAGGTTCACTTTTGTCCGCTGTAACTTGATGGTACTTATCTCTTTCTATACACTGATTGATCCCGGCGCGCTGTAGGATTCCACCGTGGGCGCTATTGATGAAAAATAGTGGTCAGGAGCTAAAAAGGTGTTCAAGCCCCCAAATTTTGCGTTGTATATAGTTCCGGCGCCTTCTTACTGCTTGATAATAGTTCGGAGTGTAGTTCTTGATTTCTTTCGATTTTGCCGACCTGGTAGCCAGTCTGTGGCAGTGCTATCTACTTGTCATTGCTTGGTTATAGTCCTGCCGAACCTGCCGCGTCAATGGCCTACAACACCTTGGCCACTGACCACACCTCACGATTATTGTTCCCCCCCCTATGGCGCGCTTCACCGCCTACACTAGCGACTCAGGCAGCGACGATGAACAATTGGAGCCTCAAAATGTCACGACGTCTGAAACACCTCAACATGTGGAACCAGTAGCGGACTCCGAGAGCGAAGACGAAGAAAGCGAAGAGGTAGAGGAAGATACCTCTGAATCCAGCTCTGAATCCTCGGAGATGGATGAGGACGAACTTGTATCATCGCCCCCGGGGCGTCAGCGACGGTCGAAGGATCAGAACGCGCTTGTGGAGGACGACAATGGCGATATACAATACGCGCACGAAGTTCCTGCCGTTCGCGTCTCTCCCCCGTCGACAGGAAGGAGATCTCCTCCAATAACACGTCCCATCGCCCATGGAGACCCGACTATCATACCTTGGGCTCAACATGTAGGGGTCGACGCGCAGAAGATGCATGTCATGCAGACGTCGTTGTTTCGGATGCCGGAAGAGGCAGCTGCGCTGAAGGCAATGAACCAACCTCCAAAAGCGAAAGGGCCTGCGATTCGATTGGATTTAGGGTCGAAGGGCCAATCAGTAAATCGGAAGCATAGTAGAGACTCGGATGGAGAGGGGCTGAGGATGGACTCTCGAGAGGTTTGTTCTTCCTTTCCCTTCCCAATTGTGGTGTTGAACGACAGACAGAGGGCATCATTCGCGCACGACATCGACCCTCCAATATTCCACCCATCGCGGAAATATGCACGCGTCGAAATAACATCTTCCATCGCCAACGGGAACGAGGGGTCATATTTTGATGCTGGGCTTGCTCTGGGTCGATCATTCCGAGTGAGCTGGGGCCCTGGAGGTCAATTACTGCACTTCGGCAGCATATGCAGCCCAACGTCAACATCGTAGGTCTCCATTCCACCCCCAATGGTGTCGTACTAATAGTTCGTAGTATCACGTCCTCCAACTCCTCCATCATTACACTAACGAAAATTCTTCCGACACTCTCACTAGCTCGTTTCGAAACTGATCACGCACCATCTCCGTCTGCTCTCGCTGCAAAACTTCTTCAACACCACCTCAGCCACACGACCATCACCCGCGACGATGGCGGTATCCCTCATGCCTTCCCAACCACGCTCTCAACCCCAATAGATCCCAGTGCGACAAGAACGACAAGTCACGCTCCAGCCTCCTCCTCCGACCCCCTCAACTTCTCTTCCTTCGTTTCCTTGTTCCCGTCAACAGAAGGTTCCAACCCAGCGCCAGTGTTCAAACTTGGAAGTGCATTGTTCGACCCCTTGGACCTGCACCTAGGTCGCGCAAAATCAAATATAGGTGTTATGAACGGGACCGCCATCACTCCCGACTTGAGAAATCGTGTCCGCATCTTGCGGAGAAAGAGTGCTCTGAGCAAGTGGCTAGAGGAAGCAGTCAAGACGAGTGTAGATGGTGATCTGAGGACGCAGGCCAATGGGTCAAACGGTGCATTTTCGTTTCGTCTTTTCTCTCCTGTTGGTTCCTGACCCTGTATAGTGAAATACACTGCTGCAGACGCCGCGTTTACACATTTGACAGGACACCAAGTTAGCGAGGCATGTTCAGCGTCGGCTGATGGTGGCTATCTCAAACTTTCGACGCTCATCAGTCAAGCGGGTGGCGATGAGCAATACAAAGACGATATCCTCGCCCAATTGGATATTTGGCGATCAGAAAAGCTGTCGCCGGGATCAAATTCTAGCCTGGCGAGCTCACAAAACGGCTTGGTTGGACGAGGCGTGTGGCGTGTGTACAAGCTCCTTGGCGGTCAGCTGCACCAGGAAGAAGGCGAGGAAAGGACAGAGGACGATGTATGTGCAGGCTTAGATTGGAAGCGTGCCTTCGGGCTGTTCCTTTGGTATGGGTCCAGTGTCGATGCATCTATATCAGACGTGGTCAACACTTACCAACGGATCCTACTTCTCAACTCGCGAGGGGAACCTGGCCCTAATTCGATTGCGCGACCTATCCCAAAGTGGGCGGCGAGGAAATCTGACCAATTACCCCTCGGTGCATCACGTCTCGGACTATTCATAGGCTCTACACCGCAAGAAAACACACCAGATGATCCGTTATATGCCCTCATCAGGTTACATGCAGACCCAGCACTATCCCTCTCCAATGCCTTAAACCCTCTATCATTCGCTCCGTCGGGATTGGATTGGGGCGTTGCGATGTGCTGGCACCTGTACATCATACTCTCCCGCGTCATGCGCGTAAGAGACTTTGCCGACCGCACAGATGCCATAGTGCGAAGCAACAAAGAGAAGAATAGCTCCGGCACGAAGACCAAACCTCGCTCTAGTTTGATTAATGGGTTTGGAAGTGGACGAGGAGCGGGTGTCACCGAAGAAGGTAACGAGGCAACCGCGGAGGACTTACGGGCAGATGGACATAGTCCGACAGCGGATTTACTTGCAAGTAGCTACGCGTTTGAGCTGGAGAGCTGGGGGATGATACAGGAAGCAGCATTTGTATTATTGCATATCGAAGGGGGTATTGGGTGCGTCGCCGTCGTTCTCTTGCATGTATTGACGCTGATGGTTGTTTGACGACAGACGAGAAAAGGCAATCAGGGACCTTTTAGCACGCAGCGGGCCAAAACTTAACGATTGGATGACTCGGGGTCTTGTTGGTAGCCTGAAGTTGCCCATGTCGTGGGTGGATGAAGCAAAGGTGCGTCACAACCCCTTGGAAAACCCCCGTATGTTGCCATAATCAACTCTGTTTATTCCAGGCCATGTACGAACTCGATTGCGGGAACGTCTATGGGGCATACGAACTATATCTCTCTGCCCAAAACTGGAATGCGGCGCACAACCTGGCAGTCCTAGAACTGGCCCCTGATGCGATCATTAGGAAAGATTTCGACCTTCTACGCAATCTTTTCGCCCCATTCACGAGCGCTAGTCGACGGGATAAGATCGAGCAGTGGTCCGTTCGTGGGCAGGTAAAACTTCTTTCCTGTAGCCCGCGGGACTGCATCATTGACGAGCTTGTGTTGCAGGTTGTCCTCGACTACGTCAATGTTATGACCCGCCTGCCCAAACTGCTGGGGGCCGTAGCCGCTGACAACGAGGAAAGCGAGGCCATTCACGATACTAGTCAGGCGGCGGAGATAGATGAGCTCTCAAAACGTGTCCCGAAGATCATAGGGATCCTACCCGACGCCCTACACAGGAGTCGTACATCCGACGACCGCCATGTTGCTGCTCTCGAAGAAATGACCAAGGATTTGTTGAGCCTAGTAGAGAAGGCACAGCCTCTGCTCCTGGTGCGTCAATGACGGTCTGTCTAGTTGGTTTCGCTGAATGATACTGACATGCTTTCTTAGTCACAAATCCAACAGCCAACATTGACAGTGTTGGACGGTGCCACCAAAATTAACCTAGTAAGGGGAATGGGATATGCGCGATTTCTACAGAGCATCGAAGCATAGGATTGTCTGCATTTTGTTGGGTACTTGTATTTCGTTATCGCTCTCTAAGTCATTTTGTGACCACTACTTTGGAATACCATTCGTACGTACCGTCGAATAGATGTCGAGGACCAGGGTCACCAGAGTCAACCCGTTGCCATCGGTATAAACGATATTCGCAATACATTCACAAAGCTACAAACATACAAGGTAAGAAAACATACAAGTACAGATAAGGGACCGTCGTGTTACGACACATGGCCATGGCCATGGCAGAACAAAATACAGGAACAGATGATCCTCCTACAAGGGAACACACCGCCCGTCCTCACTGGTAGATTTTGAGCCAGGCAAAATCAAAGTAGGCGTTGGTGAATGCAGATGGGTTGTTATTCACGTAGTCTGATCATCAGAGAAAATTGGTTAGAAGGTAATCAATAGGTACAAAAATGATGGGATACCATACCGATGCAGGTTCCGGGACAACCAGAAGAGCCATAGGCATTGCCAGCCCAATCGCCACCTTACATGTCGGAGAACTATCTCAACCAGCAGTCGTACTGAAGGATCGCTGGTACTTACAGAAAGTCACTAAGAAATTTATCAGCTTTGATATTAGGTGAGCAATGCCCAACGTACGATTTATGACGATATTATGAAGTCCAAATTTGGAGGAAATTGGGCAGTTTGTGTTCGGGAAATACGCGCGTGGAGTGCCCTAGAAGGGTGGCGTGTGAGGCGCGATACCATGTCGAGGAAATGGTTCTTACCCAGTTGTTGGTGTTAACTGAGGTTGCACCGTTCAAAACGTCAGACGGGATCATCCCGGTGGCAGCTCTGGACCAGAACCAGACTTTGATGAAAGAGTTGGTCCGCTCGACAGCAAACCTGATCGCACGGATAAGATTAGAACATGAAGAGACTGTTATCAGTACATTGACAATCTCACCATCCTCCGCCCTTGTTGTTGAAGATCGATCCATAGCTGCGCGTGTCAGTCATCCTCACTCCACAGCCTGCGTTGTTCGAAGCAGCTACGTCGCAGTTGTTCAGAAGCGCCGTTCTATAAATTTCCGAAGTGAGTATCTAGGCAAAGCGACTGCATATTTGTATTGAAACACACCCAGTCTGCGCACGAGAGGCTGGCATGGTGCAACCTGATTTTTGGGGCGGGTTAACAGACCGCCAGAGCTGAAAGGATGGTCGAACCCACCGGAGCTGGTATGTAAAGTGACTGTGTTAGGTCCCTGATTGTTGACACCCTCCAATATGTCGATCTCGCCCTAAAAATATGCACAATGAGGACAGTGCAACGGGGGAAAATGATCAAATATACTTGATTCGGCCAGTTTCCCCCAACCGTCCAAACTGCAGGCCACGTTCTATGGAGAGCGCGATTAATAGTCGGGATTAGTGTGGAATATCATCTACATACCCGCATCCCACAGGCATGTGCCTAATATTGAATCTGTAGAAGGATAAATTTGGGCCCAGTTCACGAGAGCTCTAAATTCGGCACGTACACCATAACTCCATTCGTGTATTGCTTGTTAGATAGTAGTCTTACGGAGTTGCGGCCTGGGCCGCTGGCGCTCAGTGTCGTCTTGCTGTCGGCACGGAGGATGAAGTGATCGCCAGACGCGAAAGTCAGATTCTGAGCGGCAGCGGTTGCAGAGTCGACGTATTTTCTAACCTCGCCCAACGTGAATCAGAACAAAAGTCGGCTTAAAGGACAAGAAGGCTTACACGCGCCCATGAGTGGGATCCGGGATAGCTTCAAAGCGGAAGGCCTTCAGGAATCCGCTACCCGTGTGGCTATCGGTTTGCCAATAGGTTGCGGCGAAAGCTAAGCTGACTGTATGCGCCAACAAGAGGGCCTTGAAGAAAGCAGTCATCGTGGTACGAGGGAGATGATGAAAGAAGTGAAAGATCGAGAAGAGGGAGTCCCTTGACCTCGATCTGCTGCACCATACCGTAGCTTATATACTTGACCACAAAGCCCACAAACGCCTTCCCATCTCCTGCGATTTGCTTGGACTTGCACTGAAAGAGAGCCGTCCACAGATAGATTCGATGGGATAACGTTGAGGTCAAGCCTGTGTTTCCATGTGGATGCACAGAACAAGTAACGTTGGCGTCCGATAATTCGTCCTACGGCAGCCTCCTCTTTTGGGCCGCACCAGAAGCGACACCTTCAGGAAAATGGCGGTTAAAAGTCTATTCGCATCCACGCCGTCCCGATGTCCAACAGGTACACGTCTGTTTACCGTGCCCAAGATGCCCCAAGGCATGGTGCCAAGAAAACGAGTATACGCCGAACTCCCGTCGATCGTTTATGAACCGGCGAAGGGTAAAAATAACAAGAGGGGTCGTGACCTGAACAGGTGGAGACGGGGCTCGTGTGGTAACGCCTGCGTCCCGAACGGAGAGATATATGGAAAGACACTCTCCAGGCATTCATTCTCTTCAACTGACATGAAGGAAAACACATGTATGGCATACAATGGATGCACGCCACTATCATGAGTTGGTTTGAAGTATCAGTAAAACGAACACGATTCGGATTTATTGCTCTCGAATATTCAATGGAAAGCTCTAGTGCGCCGCTCGAGATCAGCGGTCCTATCGGATGAAGGCGAACAGATCGCAATATGAGGTTGGGGTGGTGATGCAGCTACTGACCGCATTTCGTAGAGGTGTGCCGTGAAAGCGAGCCACCGCAGGCGCATGACGTCCAGTGCAATTGCCGCCGCCATCTTGCTGTTGTCTTCAGTGGGTCACTTTCACGATTGTAGGCGTCTACCAAGGACTTCAAGAGCCTGCCGTGTCATTGTGTCCATGTGCCAGTGCGTACGTGGCAAATGTAGCAGCTTTCTCCGATCTCCGAGTGTGAGCCAAATCCACTAGTAAGTCCACGCCCAATTGGCCGCTGGGAGCCACTTGAACCCAGTAAAACCAGCCATTTCGGAGGACAGTAGCGGGTCCGCTGGTGGACGCGGTCCGACCAAAGCTTGATACGAAGGCCAAGGCTTTGCTACCTTCACAAGGGGATACAGAAGTTTTAGAGAAGTAGAAGAGTAAGTCGCCACCAGTGTATTTGCAGTCAAGTCGGATACCGGAGGATGCGTGAAAAAAGCAAGGCACACGAGGCGCTTGTTTGTGCTTCTTTTGTCTCTTTTCGCTCTGGAGGCACCAAGGTCAGACATGTGCGAGATAACATGATCATCCGGCTTCGGACCAGTGAATGATCGTTTCGCAACGTTTATTCTCAGGTTCAACCCCAAATAATCGCAGGGACGCCTCAGGAGATCAAGTTTAGAGGAGCAAGGTTGGTTGTATTGTCTAATGCGACACAGATAATAAATACGAATGGGATCTCGAAAGTAAGCGAGTAACAGAGACGAAGACAGCAAATGCAAAGTGATATCTAAATGCTAGGATATGCTACAGGAGTCAGGATGGATGATGGATCGATAGAGATAAATATGAATAGATATTGAATGTCCATGGGTGCGTTGTGGTAACACAGGGTTGATGCTGAGATTGCTACAAATGAGGAGTCGTCTATGTGGAAATGTGAGAGGCCAATTTGTTTGAGGAAATATTAGTCGATGTTACGGCCACATTGTAGGAGGAGCGCCGCAGACACTATGGCATGCAGCAAGTTGAGCTGATATGCGTCTTGGGTCATCTCAAGGGTGATGGTGCCGTTGCCGCGCATGATCCTGGCAAGGAAAGTCTTGTTCTTGGGACCGCCGGCATATAACTGAAATTGATTTTGGTTAGCATGAAATGGCAATTTTCTTAATGGCATGTACTCACATTAATGGATTTATCACTTGGAGCCCAGAAATACTGCATTCCACGGACAGTCATGCCTCGGGCGCTAGATAACGGAGCAAGTGGTTAGCGCCTTGAAAATGATCCGCTACGCGAGAAACGTCATCTGCTCACCTCCTATCGCCCGTTAAACCGAGCCAAGTCTTCACTTGCTGCTTCGCCAGAACTCCGCGTATCTCGATGAACGGATGCGCCTGCCACTCGATGAGGGAAACGTTCTCGTTCTTGGCGTTCTTTATGACCGTGTAGCCGGGCATCTGGTTGTCGGTCACAATCCGGTAGTACACCTCCGACTTGGGGCCGATGACGGTGCAATTGAAAATGGTCGGATTGAAGGAAGTGAAGTAGAACGTGAGGAGAGAGGAAGAGGGGTAAGGAAGGGCTCCGAAGACGGAAGGAGCAGGACCGCTGCCTCCGACCCAGACATTATTCACAGATTGACCTTGACCAGCCTCAGCCCAGCTATCGAAGGGGTTGCCGTAGAACATTGCGAACGGGATGAAAGGGGGAAAGGTGGAATCTGCTGAGCTGCCCAATAAAAAGGTAATTAGGCGGAGCACCCTGAAGGAATGGAGATCTTCTGTGGATTGCAGGATATGCAGAATGCATCCGCTCATATATACTGCAAGCCCTCCTCTGTAGCTGATCGCCTCACGGGCCACGCGACGGTATGGTCACTGCAGAATATAGGCATCAAGGTGTTTCGTACGTGTTATGCAAGCCTCTTACCCTCGAGATCGCGTTAAACGAGATCTCTACCATCATATTAGCGTAGTTTGCGAACCGTGTTTCCGGTGGGACCTGTCCCGCTGCAAACGCGAAGATATTGTTGGAGCCGGTCGGGTTGGCTCACAGGTGTTAGGCTCATAGCCAACGTCGCGTACACGAGAGTGAGAGAACCAAAGCTGTGCACGTTTAACAGTTTCACTGCAGTTGGGTCTCCAAGCACGTCCTCGATCAAGATTCCGGCCAAATTGACGTCTTTGAATTTGCGTCGGGTGAATTGCCTCCCTGGTGAGACGACGACGTACATAGGCACAGATCAGGGCCATACCCAACATATTTTACCGGATGCATCTCTCACAAGCAATCAGGAGGCATAAACGCATTGGTTGATGGCTCGTTAAAGTTGCACAGCACAGCCGCCGACGCCAAGGAACCAGACTGACAGGACCCTATCGCACACAAGAGGAGAACCTCTCGAGCATTCCGTGTTTTGGGGCGAGATTCAAGCAAATGAGTGGGAGAAAGCAAGCTTTGCAGGTGCAGAGCGACATCGGCGACGCGTTAGACCGTGAAGACCGAGTTCAAGTTGAGGTTGATGGACAAACACGGCTCGTTTGATCTTGCTGACAAAATGTTCCCACGCATTGCTAGAAGCGCCCACCGCCCATGTCACTTCATCACACTATGAAGGTTACTAACTTACATGAATGGTTTTGGGTTCGAAAAGAGACAGGGGCGGGAAGAACGGGAATAGTACACAAGTCATGGAGGAAGAATTAGACCATTTTGGATTCCGTACTACAGTAATGGTGACTAGAAGCGGTCAACAGAGGTCCTCAGTCGCCTTTCTAACCGGACTGACCTGTCAGATGAGTATGTATGTAGGTCGGAGATCGGATCCCGACGTTGACCTTCCACATGGCAATTGCAATAATTATCATTTCAACAATTCAAGTGTATCGGTACGATAGTCAGCAGGATCTACTGTCACAAGATCGTAAAAGAGAAAAGATTGGCATAGATTGGCATCCACGCGAGTTCCCTCAAGGAAAGCCGAAAGAACAGGCACAAATCTTCGGCGAATCATGCCGCGGAATGTTACGTTGGAATGCTATTGGATTGCCCGAAGGGATTATTAAGACAAGTAGAGGAATTGCGGGGAAAAGAACATGATAGTACACTAGCCCCATCTCGACGCCCCATCAGTGTAAAGACAGGTTCAGAAACGAGTGTCCTTCTACATGGCATACCTTGTAAAGCAGGCGTGTTAATTTTATTCTCGACGGAGGCCGAATGCTGGTGACTCACTTCCTCGTCCATTCCCTAGCTGTCGCTTCGTAACGGGTGCGATCAGTCTTGTAGAGATGTGCGATATCCGGGACCAATGGGTCATCGGGATTGGGGTCCGTCAGCATCGAGCAGATGGATAACAAGACTGCGAAAAGCACAATTAGGTCAGTCCGTGCCGAAAAGTTGAGAATGACGTCAAACAGCCACCTTTAGAAATGGTCAGAGCAGGCGACCATTGGTCTCGCAGAATGTCCAAACAGATCGATCCGTTGGCGTTGATGTTCGGGTGATAAATCTTGGTCGTAAAGCTGACCTTGGGGGGTTTGAAGGGGTAATCGGTCGGGAAGCTGATGGAGAGGAAAAAGACGCCGCCGGCGTAGGGCGAGTCACCCTAAATGCACACGCGTTAGGACGAGTCAGAGGCGCAGGTGAGAAATGGTTAAATCTCACGGGTCCCATAATCGTAGCCTGCCATTGAAACATGTTATCGCCCGTCGGACCAGCGCTGCATGATGAGGGAGGATCACGGCCAAGATCAATCAATTCCTAAGAAAGAACAAGGTCAGCCCCTGTCATGCTCCCACCCTTGGGAGAGCGCAAGTAAAGAGAACGACGGACCTTGTTAATGCGCTTGAGGGCCATCTAGGAGTTAAGCTTGAAGGATTGAAAAAGTAAAACTAGAGGGTCGAATTGGATCGCACAAGATCAAGACGATTAAGGAAGCGATTGTGCCACGGTGCGGTGAAGTAGACATATACGATGTGAGGCGATAGGGAGGATGGTGGGCGCTGATCAGTAACGGAAATCGGTGTGAGGTTTGGGAAGACTTACGGGAAGAACGGGGACGACAGCGAGGAGGGGTTGACCTGGTGGTGGTCAAGGGAGAAGGTGCAGTGCCTTTGTTTGGCTCTTGTTTTGTAAGCACTGCATGCACACCAATATGCTTAGTCAGCTCCGCTCGTTCCCTCTGTCCACACACAGCCTTATTGGGCCATCTCTTCTGGCAAGTTCTAGTGCTTGGAAAGCGCCATAAAGCAAGGTAAATGTACTCTACAGCTGTGGTATAAGGCTTGCATTGCCCATTTCTGATTATCTTTATCTTCAGAATTGCATCTAAGTACTTTGCAGATACTTAAATGGAAGAATATTCGAAAGAAGATTTCACCATTCGTCGAGTACGTTTGAAACAAGGATGTTACTAATTTCTTACTCATTAATCAACGAATTAGGGACTAGTCTGAGTCCAACTCTACATGAGCGCCTACATTTGTCATCTTCTTGACGAAAGCTAAGCACAGCCTGTGTGCGGCGCTAGACGGACTCGAAGGCAGAGTCATGTGCCTTTTGGCAACCAGCTCCTGGAGGCCAGACATTCTTGTGTTCGATCCTCTCCCGCCGTCGGCGGGCAAAGCGATTTCGAGGTGAACGGCGACGATGTCTACCACTTTGATGCGCCTGTTCCGTTGATGACGATGATACTTGACTTCCAACCGGATCCGCACTCCATGAATTGAGGAAACACCGCTTTCATCATCTAAGCTTGACGATGACTCCGAATTGAGATTCGGAGGAGTGTTCGACTGCAGAGATGTCGAATTCATCTATTCTGGCGGGGCGCGGCGGTTCACGCGCTCCGTGAACGTTAAGCCACACATTGGAAATGCACCTGTTCCTCAACTCCTGAATGTCGAAGTCTATCTCGTCTGCTCTACGAACGCAGTACGCTCTCCTGCAGGTAATTAACAGGCTGCCCCGCAAGCGATTTGATAAATTAAACACTGGCAATCTCCATCCGCTCACATTCTATCGCCCCATCCCTCACCGTGAAGCACCATCAACATGGATCCTCTGACACTCGTACGCGTGGTCTGCAAATCTGAAATATCAACTCAATTACTAGCTAACTCACTCAAGCCTCGCTCTATCTCAGCACCGATGATCACACAAGAAGCGCACTCCGAATCAAAGTAAATATCATTCCAAAAGCTATCGCACTAGGACTGGAAGAATAACCAACTTTCACATGAGACCCAAACCAGCTCTGTTGAATTCGAGAACGAGACAACGTAGCCAGGTATGCGATCTCTTGGAAAGCTGGAAAGGGTGGACGGCACGAAAGGAACGGATACGGAGAAACAACGCCGTCTGATACTGGCCTTTCCCCCTTCCCAAGCTCTCACTCGGCGCCCATCATCCACACCGCCTACTTACAAATGGCTTAGTGCTTGGGCGCTTGAAGAGTATCACAAGCTTCGTTCGCAAGTCGTCATCCACGTCACGGCAAGAGGGGACGCGTTTTGTTCCTGCAACTCTGAGCCCACAGGGACGACTGCGGTTTTACCACCGAGATCTGTCAAGCCAAAACGGAAATCAGCTCTGCGCACGTTCATTTAGAACCCCCAACGTCTCGAACGTGAACACGTCAACGCGCAGCCTGCATTGCACAGACGAGCCGTAGGCGCAGCAGGATCGCATACGAGGAAGATTAAATCAAAGAAATATAACCAGAAAAGAAAAGAAAAGGCGAAGACGACTCACCTCGGACGAAAAGCATGAAGGTGCCCAAAAGGCGACCTCCCTAAACTGCATTTTCAGACAAAACAGACAGCGAATCCCAAAATGAAATGGTACAACAGGTTTCTCCTTCTCGATAAAGCGATGGAAAAGCATCGAATCACCGGAGGTGACCGAACCTGATTTCCATGCTGACCCACACCCATAAGCCCGCTACCACCTCCACTCCGTGGTCCGCAAGTCCAAATGAAACGTGCAGTGACCATCTCGCTAAAAAGTTCCTGTAATCATGAATAACACACCTGAATGAGACCAAGAAATTCCGCGTAGGCAGGTCGATTATGTGTGTCGCTGTCATGTAGGGTTGGTATCCAGTTTCGAAAGGTCTTCTCAGCCTTCATCATCTTCCATGTCGTCGTCGTCCGAGTCATCGCTGAGGATCAAGATACCTGCGTCATGCTGGTTTCCGCAGAGGCGGGAGAACTGGAAGCTCGTCGATTGAAGCTTTCCGATAGTCGCGCCTGTTACTGAAGTCGTTGTGGCCTTCGCGGTGATACCAGCTGGAACGGTCGAAGTCGGCCTCGACGGAGGCTGCTGATGCGCGTCCACGTTGCGATTCTCCTCGAACAATCTAATCAAAGAGCACCAATACCAGCAGGAAAAGGAATAGGGGTGGAAAGAAACATTCCTCAGCCAGCGTCCATCATCAACACACCACGGAGTAAAGGAAACAAAGACGAAAGACGAAAAATTAGGCACCGAAGTGTATCAGGTCCAACGAATATCAGAAAAGTAACGGAGAAACAAAAATAAGAGGACGGATCGAGAGGAAGGAAGAATGCTAAAAAAAACAAAACAAAGGAGGATGACCAAGGAATAGGACGCACCGGCTCTTCTCTCGCATGACTCTCAAAATGCTGTCCTTTTCCTCCTTATTCCGTGCTTGACTGAGCCTTGCCATAAGGGCCTTGCTCTCCGAGATGTGCATCTCTAATCGTCTCTGCTTCGCTGCGAGTTCTTGTCGCTCGCGGTCGTTGCCATTATTAGATGTCGGTACCGCTTTGGCAGTGACACCTGGGGCCGACTCCAAAGGGGCTGAGGTTGCTGTTGATCCTGTATTCGTTGTCGGTGTGGGCGTTGAGGACGGAGACGAAGTCGGAGGTAAGGCCAGAGCTGGAGGGTTAGGTGCACTCGGCACCGAGGGCGGTTGTGCCTTGATTGTTTCGATTGTCTGTGTGATGAACGAGATGGCCATATCTTCCAAAGAAAAACTAGACATCGTAACGATCGAATCGTCCTGGGCGGCATTGCTATGCGGCATCTCATCGATAGGAGACGGTGTGACAGGCGTCGGAGAAAGAGACGGTGCCGAGCTAACCCCCGTAGAGCTCGCAGTGGAGGGCGGTGTTGGCTTGCCTCTCGCTTTCTGACTCTGCAAGACAAGCTTTCGCAGGCGGTCCTCCATGGCTTGCTTATCTCCCAGATCCATTGCAGGTTTAGTGAACTGCTGCGGTTGCTGAGACAGAGGAGCAGGAGATTGAGGGCGAGGTGTTATAGGCATCGTGACAGGAGCAGTGCCTGTCTTACTCGCAGCAGCCGCTGCCAACTCCATCTTGCTCTTCGCAATCCTCTCCTCCAACTCCTTCTGCCTCGCCAACAGAGCCCGCTTCGTAAAGCTCGGCTGTGTGGGAGCATTCTTCATGGCCTTCGGCTCAGACGGAATGGTTGGGCTCGAAGCACCCGACGAAGGCGAAGAGAGTGCAGCGATTGCAGAAGCGGGCGATGCTATTGCAGTAGACGAGACATGCGGTGGCCGCTGAGCTGCAGGAGGCTGCACGGACTTATTTTGGGGAACATGGGGTTTAGAGGGTAGCGGCTTCGGAGGTGGTTGTTGTAACGACAAGCGAGCAGTCAAATTGTTCGGTGCTGAATCAGGAGGTTGACGATGTGCTAATGGAAGTTTCTGGACAGCACCTCTCTGCTTAGCAGCCCGAATCAGAGGAGTAGGCCGAGGGGGCAAACTATGAACCAATGGTGGAATCAGTGGAAGAGAAGAAGTGGGAGGAGGCAGCGGTGCATCGTCGACTTCAACGTCCATGTCTGCCTCCTCGTAGTCGTCCAAATCGTCTCCTTGTCCAGACGTCGAAGCAACGAAGAATTTCGAGGCCGGTACCGGCACGGAGGGGCCGGCAGAAGGCGAAGGGGAACGACGGCCAGTGGACGAGGCGATCGAGTCGTTATCGTCGTGCCCATTGTGTGCTTCAAGCAGTAACGATGACCCAAACGCCGTCCTGTAAACCCCAAGCTCTGATTGGCCTGATGGCTGAGACGAACCAGATACCAACGGTCGACGTGATGGAAGAGGTAGCATAGACACCGGCGCAGGAGGAGGAACAGCGGGCGGCAGAGGTAGTGACGGAGCGGCTGGAAGAGGATGTCCATTCACGGTGTTGCCCTGAGTTGCAGAAGGGTTGAAGTCATTTGTGGGGAGTGGATGAACAAGTGAGTCGTTGCGTAAGCCCTCATGCGACGCAACCAATTTCTGCTCAAACGCTTGCCTCTCCTCCTGAAGAAGTCTCAACTTGTGTTCTTTCCGGAGCTTCTTTTCCTCTCGTTCCTTCGCCAGTCGAGCCTTTTTCTCTCGTTTGGTCTCCACATGTAGCTGGAGTAGTGGTGGCGGAAGAGGAGGCGGAAGTTCATGTTCTCCTTCCTCCTGCGGAGTATCTGCAACATCATCTTCGATCTCGCCCTCCTCAATCTCGCCAACACCAGCTCCAGCACCGATACCGTCTACACGATACCACCACACTCTGATCAAATCTTCTCTGGGTTGACCTTTGACGAAGTTCTTCACTCCGGCCACATTCGATCCCAACCTTGGGCTATTCCAGGCCTTCCTGGCCAATTCGGCGGTTGAAAATTCAATCAACGTCTTGGCCCCAGACGTATCAATGAAAACATGAACAGGGAGTGCACCACAGGCCTTGCGACTCCAATTATTGACAAAATCGGAAGTGCGATGGGTCTTAGGCAAGTTCTCCATGACGAGCGTACGTGCCGGGTTGGGCATATAGTTGCGCCTCCGCTTGTGCCTGTCGGTCCCAGCTTCTTTCATCGTGTTGTTAATGACGAAGGTGCCCCGTTTGCTCTTTGGATCTGGGTCAGGCACCATCCCAATAGGCATTGGAGGGGTAGGATGGTGCTCCATGGGCTTGTTGATCGGTGCATCCGTCACATGCAACGGCGCCCGCGGGGAAGGAGGTCGCGCAAGTGGCGGCGGCAGTGGCGGTGGCGGAGTCGGCGGGGGTAATGGTGGGAGAAGTGCTTCCTCGCCGGCTTCGTCGACTGGATCTACGGCCATAGCCATCGAAGAAACCCACTTCGAGGCTGATCCCTCGAGAGGAGGTGAGGGAATAGGATAGTTGTAGTAACCAGCATCTTCTTCGCCCACAAAGTTGTAGAAGTCCCCCGGGTCCATTGAGGGATAGGCGTGGTTGGTCATGACAGGGTATGACGGAATGTATACGCTCTGGATAGGAAATTGAGTGGGCCATTGCGGAAGACCCGGCGCAAAGGGTATGGGATTGTTCAACCAGCCAAGTCCTTGCAGTCGGGCCTCTTCCGCTGCTTGACGCTCGAGCTTCCGTCTCCGTTTCCTCGCCTTCTTGCTCTCGGGTTGTGAAAGACGATTCTCCATGGGCGGAACATGGCTCGGCCCTGCAACGGGTGCTAGCTGTTCAATGAAGCTGCTCGTCCTCTTTCGCTTCTTCTGAACTGGTGGGTCTAAACCGCATTTCAGAAAAAAGCGTCGAGTTAAGATTTATTCTCACCTTCGTGAGTTTGCTTGAATACTCTGCCCAAATACTGGACGTCGCCGTCAGGAGAGGAACGGGTTCCTTCAAGTTCTTGGACTACTTCATCCTCGGAGTCGTCAATTGCGATAGGAGAGTCCTGCGTGCCTGTTCCAGTGTACGCCATTCCGTGACGGTTGTACAGAAGGTCCAGAATTCAGATGGCGTCCAAATGCAGCAGAGTGTCTAGAGGAAAATGATTCTGAAAGAAGGCAGGCAGAAAGTGGTGAAGTGGTTATGGTGCTAAAGGATCATTAGTTTAAACCGGCAGACGACGGCAGAAATTGAAGTCCGACACATCTCCGACAGTTCTATTTCTGTAACTGAAGCCTGGATCTCTTGCGACTCGTATATGTAATGCTACCTCCAGGCGCCATCTTCGTCCTTGTCGTTTCTGCTATCATCGGTGCCCTTATACACCCTCTTGACTCGAATGGTCTTTTTCTGACTCAAAAACGCGAGGAATGGCCCGTCCAAGCAAAGAACATCTTGCTCGTGACGGCGCACCCAGACGATGAAGTTATGTTCTTCGCGCCAACTATCTTGTCGTTGTCCCAAAAGGCTGCCAATGGGTCGGCGACATTCTACCACCTTTGCTTGTCGTACGGAAATGCAGAGGGCTTGGGAGAGACCCGGAAGCGAGAGCTTGGCTATAGTCTAGACATCTTAGGAGTCCCCTTGCAGAAGCGATGGGCCGTCAATCATCCGTGCGCTCACTTTGCTGAGCTTTTGTTCTCTTTACTGACAGGACGTCTCTCTTCATCCCAGGGAACTGCAAGACAGCACGACGGCTGAATGGGACCCCAACGTTGTCGCTAGAGTTATGAAACCCTATGTTACAGAACTTAAGATCGACACGGTAAAACTATATCTTCTGCAAGCCAAATTATTCATCTGATTTCGAACCAGATCCTCACATTCGACTCCAGTGGCATCTCCTCGCATCCGAACCACAAATCCGTTTTTACAGGTGCTCGCACTCTCACCAAAACTCTCGACGAAACATCGTCGAAACTCCCTCCGCGGTTATTTACTCTCGTCTCGGCGCCGCTTGTGACGAAATACGTCTCCATCGTTGCCCTCGTCCTAGGCAAGGCAGACATCTTCGCCTACCGGGCGATGCAGCGACTCGAAAACCTCATCATTCTCGTCCTGAGCAACTGGTATCCCGAGATCCTGACACCGGCCATACCTCGTAGCCCAGACGCCGACGCCATGCCGGTTTTCATCTCAGGGTACAAGGAATATTTGACGTCCCTCCTGGCAATGCAGGCCCATTCAAGCCAGCTTGTATGGTACCGGTGGCTCTACCTCCTGTTCTCGAGGTATCTGTGGGCGAATGCATGGGTCGAGGTGCAACCACAGGTGTAAATTCAGGATGGGAGTAGCTGGCATTTTAAGGAGAACAATTGGGACGGAAAGGACTGGGGCTTCAAAAATATGGATTGTATAATGTATAATCGCTATCTGGATGCTCTCGACGCTTGTACAGTGGTATTACTGCCCACTCTGAGATTTCGCACCCAACTTCGGAGCCAGACGACTCCGAGGCCCTCTTTTGTGGGCATATGGCTGTGTACAAACGCCCCCATCCTCGAGCCGATGCCTATCGAGTAGGGAGTCAGGAAATGGCTGGCCAATGCCCTGCAATTCGCGTGAATAACTTGCTAGAGCAGACGCTTTGAGAAGGTAAATGTAGCACGTACCACAATGCACCTTGCACCAATGGGCTAATGACCTGATCACGCATAGTGGCCCAGAAAACCTTCCCCCACTGCACCGTAATGACTTCCCTCGGAGCCTGCACAACCGCGGCCTGCCCTTGCACACTCCCGGCATCCTTCTCATCCATCCCGAGCGATGTATCGAGCGCCTCGTATCCTTGATCCAGAAGAGCCTTGTCAATAAGCTCAATCTCCGTTGAACGACTCTGTTTCGTTTCTTGGGGGCTGGATGAGACCCGCTGGACCTCTATGAACGGCTGGATGCTTCGAAGGTAGCTGTACTCAAAGCGCAGGTCGGGAATCACGGGCAGTCGGGGCCGCGCATGGTGATGTCTGTGAGCATCGTCATTGTCTGTGCGGACGTGGTTGGGGTGGTGGAATGCCACTTGCGCTGCTGAGGCCATTTGAGCGTGTAATCCAGGCTCGACCATGAGAGCCCGGTGTTCGGTCAACCGGTCACTTATTTGGCTCTATGCTAAATGCCAATCGTCTCGGCCAAATCGTCTCGGCCATCATTCGGCCGCGCTGATGTCGTCTGACAAATGGCCAAACAACAGGACGCCTGCGCGCTTATCTGGACGCATGGCAGTTCAAGGATCGATGTGTGTAGAGAAATACGGTCAAGTTTGATATTCTTGAATACGGAAGTTATAATAACGTGCTGTTGAGGGCAAGTCCATCATTTATGCCAGTCTGTAGGTCTTTGTTGTTCTCGGTAGGAAACCTCCCACAAGTCCCCGGACGGCGATGTGTCTAGATAAAGCTTGGTAACATCAGCAAACCCTGATTTTTTGAGGCCAAAAACATCGAAATTGGGCATCTATGCAGAGCTGCACGATGCTACACAGCACTCCATAGAGTCATAGTAAGGGTTCTCTTCTGCATAGCAACAGCGGTCGATTACATCAACCTATGGAGCACCGTGTAGCATCATGTAGCACCCACGGGAAAATCAGGTTTTGCTGATGAACTGCAGAGCTTGCCACTCTGCATGTAGAGGCCACAGCAATGAGAAAGGAATGGGCTCGTGGTACGTGCTGCCGCTGGACACAGGATGCACTTCCTTAGTTCGCATTGTAACCACCACCGCATACTTTATACCAGATTTGTGATTGAACAAGCCATACATAACTTACTTACAACGGTCAGGATCCGGCCACATCTCGAGCGCTTTATTTATCCTCAAGAAGGGATCTATTTTCCTTGGAAATCGTCCCCACCATCGACTTCAAATTTGCAAATTCTTCCAATCCAGATGCCTTGCAGAGTTGGTGAAATCTTGAGTGCTGGTCTTGAAGGAGCACTTCTGGTCTATCCGACGAATCAAGATACACAACTCCAGGTAGACGCAGTAGTTAACAAACCTATCGAATTCGACGATGTTGCCTTCTTCCATGACCATAATCTGCATGAAATGGATGAGAATCGAGAAGTGCCGTTTGTACAGGGGGCCCACTTTGTCATAATCAACCACGGTACGCAGTCGATGAGCTATTGTGATGATGGTACTGTCGCTGAACTCTCTGTGAGAAAGGATATCAGAACTGATGGACTAAAGATCAAAACGAAAGTCGTTGACGTACTCTCGGATCGTCTTGCTGATGATTTCGTCTGTCACATAATCAACACTGCTGGTACGTCAGTTTCGCTTCATCTCTTTCTAGAGTGGGGGAGTAGAACCTTGCTGTGGCCTGCAACATTGTCACGGTAGATGAGCGAGGCCACCTGGGCACATGACGAGACGGGACGAACCTCATCCATGATCAACACTTTCGACCGGCGAAGCAGTGCTCTTGCTAAGCAAAGAAGTTGTTTTTCTCTGTAACCGCTGTCAACACAACCGCCAATGTTGAACAGATATTCTAAGACATACCCTGTGGAGAAGTTGTCCCCTAATTCCGAGACAGGACCATCCAAGTTGGCAAAGACATTGCTGTCCCGAGAACCAAGCCTTGAGGAAGCCTGAGTTTCGTGGGGGCCAATCAGGTTTACACGTCGAAGGGCGTCGTACTGAAGATGGGGGACAAATGTGAGAAGTAATATCAAAAGATCAACATCAACTTACTATATCAGCGTCGTCGTACTCCCCGAAAACGTCAAGCGTCGTGCGAAGGGTACCACTCAGCAGAACTGGGTCCTCTGTAACACCATCATGGTCAACTGAGATATCTTTTACAATTTTGAGACGAGAAAACCACGCACGGGGTACAACGGTCAATCGTCTCCTAAGATCCGTCACGCCGATGTGTGAGATGTCAACCCCGTCTATCAGTACTCGGCCTTCTCTTGCCTCCACGAATCGCATCAAGGAAAGCCCAACAGTGCTCTTCCCTGAACCCGTGCGACCTACGAGGCCGATTTTCTCTCCAGGTTGAATTGAAAAGGTCAAGTGATGAAGAACGTCCGGCAACTCGGGCTGGAGGAGAGTGTACAATCAGGATCTGAATCCAACACAATTTCGTACTAGCCACTCACGGCGTATCTAACTGTTAGATTCTCGCATTGGATGAATCCACTCATTGGCCAGACAGCTGCCGGTCGTGGCTCAATGAATTCAGCAGGTTCAGCTGGCAAGTCTGAGTATTCTTTGATGCGCTCCAACGAAATCTGCAGGTGTCGGTAAGAGGAACATCATGGCTATTTTGGCTATTTGCTGACCATGTGCTGCTGAACTTCAACGGAGCGCCGGACCTAGCAGGTGCTCAACAAGTGAGAGACACCGAGGTGATGGTATACTCACAAACCAATATAACTATGACAGAAGGTCAATAGTGTCAGTACAGCAATGCAGGCATTCGCAACCTCTCTTACCTCGAGGCTCAGCGTGGACGCAAACGCCAGTGCCAGACCGGCCAAAGATGCATCGACTGAAGGCGTTACAAGAGAGATTGCTGCAATAAGACCGATCAAGACCGCCGTTCCGAGTTGGAAGCGGACAGTAAGCCAGCGGTGTACTGGCACTTTATTATTCAGTGCTCTAGATACTTGGAGAGGTCGCACATACACCCAGCAGACCAGTAGTATGGGTTCATATTCTAGATGTCGGTCCTGAAATTCAGTTCTGCGTATTGTAAATGATGAAATCCCCTACCGTATCCGCACAAATAATCATATCTCTCAGGAATTTTGTAGACATACCAAAGGCACGGATGACGGTCAGCCCCGAAATGCTTTCTCCGTACAATGCAAAGAGAGGAGAGCTGGTAATAGATGCTGTCAAAGAAATGAATATTTCGTGGACATGTAAAACCTGGAACTTTAGACGCACAGAGTCTTCTGAGGTCCCGTGCTACATGTCCAAAGATCTTGTCGCAGTCGGTAGAGTTTCTTGTGCTTGATATTTTTGCAACTTACCTGACCAACTAGAAGACGTGGTTGTCAATAGCGTTTCAGATACGGAAATTTTTAATAGAGCATTACCGAAATATGCCACACCGAACAATGCAGAGGCAGTAGCCAGAAACGGCCATCCACCAACAAATGTCAGACTTGACATCGTCACCATCAGGGACAACCCAATAATGAGCACTCGGCCAAGTTCCTTTGGGAGGTCGTTATCAACAGCTGTCGTCTAAGGTGTCACCACTAGATGAGTGCGACTGTGATAGGAATCTGACCGACCTTCGAAATCTTTTCCGACGCGATTTAGGAGCCATCCCCGAGAAGTAGTATCGTGAAATCGGAGACTTGCGAAAAGCACAACTTCTAGCAGCCCTGGTAAAACGTGAATATATTTCCAATTGCGTGTTAATGAATAATATTTTACTCTCGTACAAAGATTTTGAGGCACGAATGGCACCGCTGACTGAAGAACTTTGAGGACAGGGAAGGAGCTGATGAGACAAGACTCACATATGAGTAACCAGCCAAGAACCCGGATGAATATTTCTGTCAGCCTGCTGAATACAAAATGAATAAGAGGATCTCCGAGAAACGTACCCAAGAAAACAAGCTAGGGCCATAGAGTCAGATCGAGATCGGATGAGGCGAAAGAAACTCACTGCAGCGTAGATGCCCACATAGAAACCAGGCTTCCGCGACGTCTCTGGTGCTGATGACCAAATCCTAGGAGAGGGCGGGGAATCTGCAGATCAGAAAGGATGGACCAGAATATTACTCACCTCAGCCAGCCATTCTCCCAAACAGGCGACAGCGAGCCAAGAATCAACACGATCCAGAAGGACAACCAAAACAACAAACCCCCGTTTGATCGGGCATAGAGCAACCACACAGTCTTGGATACATGGCCCTCAAACCGATTTTCCTCCTTCCTGGGCTTTCGTGTCTTTATTTCCGAGCCATTCTCAGAATTTGGATGCGGAGGATCGATGAGTTTGTCCCTTGCAAGGGATATTGCGCCATCTTCCATACTGTCGGTCAAGGTTGTATCCTGGGTTTGAGTATAATTGACAACTGTTTTCATTATGCTAGACCCTTTGAAGCCATTCCAGGAGCCGGAATATTGCACTCGCCCATTCTCGAGAGCTAAAATGTGCTTCGTATCTGGGCCACATAGCTGGATGTGATGTGAAACGAGGATGACAGTGCGGCCACGGATGAGGTTGCCTTTGAAGCATTCGTTCCAGAGATGCCCGGCAGTGTGGGTGTCGACTAGCACCTCATAAGTCGCACCAAGTTGAGATATGTTTAAGAGCCACATACCTGCGGAAAGAACATCGTCGAGTAGTAAGATTGAAGCCCTGGAATAAACGGCACGTGCGAGAGACACTGCTTGACATTCAGTGTAGATAGGAATGTTGACAAACAACCTGACGAACCTCGAGCCTTTTGACCACCAGACAAGTTGACCTGTTGGTCGAAAAAGGTTGACCATACATTGCGAGTAGAAGAGACTAGATTCTTACCCCTTGCTCGCCAATGTCCGTCTCGTCGCCTGCTTCCAACATTTCAATATCTTGAATTAATGCACAGGCCTATCCATGAACACGTCAATACTTCGATACACAGTGCATGAAAGGAACGACTGACCCGAAGCACGGCCGAATAGCGCTCAGCATCATATGGAAGAGAAAACAGGATGTTCTCTGATAAGGTGTTAGTACCTCGTGGTCTGGTTGGTGTTGGGCGACCCTTCACCTTTCAGACTTCGATTTCTGAGCCAGGGTGTCTGGAAAGCACTCATTGAGCAACGGAATACTAAAAATGCTGGCGAAATTTGCCACCTGTGGGACATATGCACACGCCCCATCCAGGATCCAATTATCCATCTTGTCTACTTGCGCTAGGATGTCATGCGAATTGGGTGCTGAACGTGGGCAAGAGACTTCGCCGGACATAACATCAGCCTCTCCCAGGAGACCTAACGAACAATATGAGCCTCTGATAGAAAGACCCTTCGGAAGATAACCCGTCGTACCTAAGAGGAGAAGGGTCTTGCCTGAACCAATCTTTCCGCAAATCAAAGAGATCTCATCTCGAGGGAAGGTTGTGGTGACATCGACGAGAGAAAACAGCCCTCTTCGTGAAGAATACGATTGCTCTTCGCCATCAGCAGTTGAGCAAATTTGTGGCCAGGAAATCGTGGCATTACGTAAAGAGACGCGGGAGTCATCTCTTGGGTTGACAGGTTTTCGGAGAGGTTGAACATCGGCCAGGTTGAGATAACCCTCAATTCGGCGCAAGGAAACGAAAGCCTACAAACGTCAGCTCGTTCGCAGTAAAAGAAGTGTCGATTCTCTTACCTGCACGGCCTCAATGAAGAACTCCGGAAGCTCAGTAAGAGGATACCTCAATTCCGCAAAAACTATGTAGACACTTCGTTAGAGGCAGATATTTGAGGCACTTACTCTGGACTTTGACTTACTAACGATCTAAAGCGAGACGATTCATCAGTATACCTTAACGCGGGAAATGCCTTACAGACGTAAAAGCAATTGCCGGGGTCAGTTCTTCACCTCGAACGATTGAAAAATGGGCAAAACACGCCACCCCAATTAATAATGAAATTGCGTTCCTGTTCATTGCGGTCAACGCCATTGATCATCTTCCTTGATAAACACCAACCCCAGAGACGTCCACAATGTCTGGAACCATAAACATCAGAACACTTAGTCGGAAAAAAAGTGTTCTTCCGCAAACCGTAAGCCAGAAGATACGCTTCTGAAACGTCAGCTCGCGAGATCTGACGTCAAGAACTCTTTTCTCAAAGCTTCGTTCCCGGGCCATAAACTACGTAGAAAACGATCAAAAACCCATATTCAGGAATTGAGATGAACATCCATACCTTGATCATTCGAATAGCACCAAGAAGCTTCAAAGAATTGTCAACTATCTTGTAATCTCTAAGTAGAGAGAGGTACCTCATTTGTGAGTCCGACACGCTCATCTCGGCATTTCATAACGCTCTCTTGATATACAAACACCAACCGGCCTGCGATGTGGTTCATTGGAGCCAACAACGAGGCGACACCCAAGGCAACGAAGGCAGAAGACCCTGGTTCATCAAGAGCTTCAGTCTGGCAGCGAGGAACGTGATGACAGTGAAATGGCACCCATTAAGTCATAGAGCATGTATGTTGCGATTCCGATGCCAATGAAAGCGTCTGTTGGCACAAAGACATGAGCAAAGACGAAAATCGTTGAAACTAGTGAGAGCAATCGTACCTGTTAGTGAAAATGAGAGCCTCGCAATCTCACGAACGCGATTGACGTCTGCTGTCATCAACGTCATCACCTCTGCCTTGCTTGAAAAGTTGCCGGGAGATGAATTGCCCAAAGCTATCCCATTCGAGTTGGAAGGTACATCCTTTCTAACCAAAGTCTTAGCGTAAAGGATTGTGTTGAGCTGGAGGCTGATGCTTGTCTTGAGATTGTTGGAAGATATCGACCATAACTGGGCATTAGCTGACAACTTCGTCAGTCCTCGAACGTTACCAGCACATGAGGGTAAGTCCTCACCAAGTATCAGTGCAAAATACGCAATAAAGATCCCAGCAACGTAGAACCAGCCCCACGAGCTATCTGCACGCTGAGGATCCCGTTCAAGATATCGAAGAAATTCTTGAATAAAAACAATCGGCCCGTAATACAAAGCAGATGTGAGAACTGCGAGAAACTGCAGAAGCGCCAAAAGCTTGAAGTTAATGATGATAAGGCGATATCCTAGCTGATAGCCGGTCCCTGGTCGTCGAAATCTAGCAAAGGGCAGTTGAACCAGTCGCATCGCTTGCTTCATTTCCGAGAAATTCACTACAGCTCGAAGGCTGGCAGGGAGGATTGGGAGTTTGTCGAAGGTGAGCAACTGATTTGACCGTCCGAGCATAAACACATCGGTGGCATACGTAAAAAAGAGGGTGCCCAGGAATGAAGTAACTGCAAGAAAAATGAGCAACCTGTTGAAAATAAGACACGCCTCATACCAGTTTCGCCCGACACGTTGTTTTCCGGAAATTTCGACGCTGAGGCGAGAAACTCTGGCGAGTAGATCTTTTCCTCGGGGTAATGAAGGGCAGGAGCGCGAGGACTGGTGGTGACAATCAACCACGATATCATAGCCAATGCGAGATCCACATTCCAGGCGTCGGCGTTCCCCATCGTCCATGCCGACTGATCTCCGTGGTGAGAGGATGGCAAAATGCCAAGGACGCCTGCAGTCAGGACCTTGATTGTCAGTACAAAAGATAGCTGAGTTATACACGTTGAATGATGCTTTGGACCATCAAGGGTCGAGTACACGCTGACGGAAAGGAAGCAGGCCGCAGCAAAGAGTTGTAGCACATTCACACAAAGGGTTTTCTGGCCGCATGTCTGCAAAATGCACCCGTTCAGGATGCTATAGCACCAGACGCCAGCAGCGGTCGTCTGAAGCGAGATAAAGGCCCAGTTTCTGCGGTACATCTGGCATCAGGGTAAGTCCAAATTACAGAGGAGCTTTCGAGACGAGTCCTGTACATACCTGTGCCCAAAAACTCGTCGTTCGGTGCACTGGAAATCCGTCAACAAAGTCATCCCTGTCTGTGATATCGAAGGGGTCTTTGTCTGCTTGAGGTTCGTCTCGCTCTTCGAGAGAAAAACCTGTTGGCAGATAAACCTTCCGGGAAAGCGACACCCGCAGGGTTAGAACTGCGAGAAGGGCTAACGAAGCGTTAGAAATCGCGATGTAGAGCTGGAAGCGCTCGCTAGTGGTGGTCCTCATTCCGAACTTGTGATGGTGCTGTATGCACGCTCAAAGGCCAGGAGGCCTCTTATCATGCCAAAACGCTACTGCGCAGATGGTAGCGGTACACGAGAACTTTGATAATCATCGAAACGGGGAAAGTTAGAGCTTGATGCTTAGTGCACCGTGGAGGACGGCGATGAAGCCGCGCAGCCAAACATTGAACAAATAAAAATAAATATGATGGCCAATTGGGCCAAACGATGAAGCGCCAGCACCATCACCGCTCATTCACCTACCATATTCGCCATTCACGACCCATTTTGTTCGCAAAACAAAGCTGTATCATTAGGCTTTCACTCAAACGGCACAATGTGTTCGTTGATGTTCGAAGAAATGGAGGCCGGAGCTCGATACGGCTTGACTCGTCACTCATCGTCAACGACCTGCGGGACTCGTCAAGAGCACATTTTCAGTTGTCGGGGGTATGATTATCGGGCGCTGCTGTGAATTGTCAGCTTGAAATACCTAGCATGTTCACCGCCGGCGGTCTTATTCTCAACTATGCCATAGCTGACGATTGCCGTCTATTTTTCGCAGCGGCGGCCTCGAATTTTAGGTTCTGTCAGTAACCCAATGCCTCGCCATCGTTGCACGTGTATTGTTCATAGCACGGCCGTTCAGGGCGCTTGTTTTGGTTGCGGGGATATCGACATCGGAGCGGAGAGGCGGTGCACCGGAAATCCCAAAAGGTGAGCCCGCAACGCAACGTTGCGTCATACGCTGCCACAATCCTATCCAGCCTGCTCACTTGTTCACAATTCTCTGCCCTTTCCAGAGCTCCATACCCTTGCCCTAGCAGATGAAGAGAAGTCTGTCGTGTATTTCACGCAATCTCCATGGTGGTACACCGCCAGCCAGGCGATTTCTTTCCCCCCGAAGGGAATGCCGACGCATCTGACAAGTGCCATTGGCTTTCCAGAATCGTTATTAAGAATCGCCGTCCGACAGGTGCAGCCTTCGAACCCAGCCCATATAACACGGCCATCCGTATAAACTCGCTTAAACTTCACGATGGCTTCCTTCCAGTCTTTCACGATGCAGCACGAGCTTTATCTTCACCCCCTCCTCGGTTATTCCCAACACAATATCACCCCCGGCCACTGCTGTCCCATACTGTGGGATCTGCATGAACCACCCGAAGCCGCACGACGCGTCCTCCAGCTCGACAAGCCACTCGCACCCTCCGAACTGAATCAACTCGCTACTTCACCCCCCGTCGTCGAGCTTACCATCACATGCGACCTCTTTCCAGGCGATTGGCCGATCGTGGTCCGTCGTCTGCAGGGCGTCACCGTCCTTGACGCTTTCGAAGCCGTCCATACCGCCCTCATGCGACAGATTCGACAGGAGGAATGGGAGCAACTATGTCCAAAACAACAGGCACGAGTCGAGATTGTGTTCAACAATCGCTGCAAGTTATCTCTCGATCGCGACGCGTGTCGTTCGCGTGGTGTCCTGCGAATTGACTGCCTGCTATACCACGTCTGGTTCGGTGGGCTTTCAATTTCGCCGGGTTTGGAAAACACCCTCATCCTCACCTTGCGCCGCCCACAATAACCATTCACGACCCAAGACCAACACGCAATATCTCGACTTTCTAGTATCGATACCCTCAGTGCCCGGTGCATCAATGATACCCTGCATGCTTGATGCATTCACCCACTGCATACCCTTTCCCCCTATTTAAAGACCGCTGCCACGACACCTCTTCTTTCCAAAATCATCCATCTCGGACGCACTTCCAGTATGATGAACGCGAGCTCATTATGTGCTATAGTATATGTTACATGTCCCATGGGCATTTGTACAGTCCGATGGCGTAGTCGGTAATCTCATTCCTTCCTCGTTTCCCCAATTCCTTCTCGTCCACTTCCTCATCTCTCGCGCTTCCAACATACACCGGGTAGTCTGGCGACGGCATGAGGATTGCAACCTCGACACACAGCGTTGCTTGTCGTGGTGGCTGCTGCGTTGGATCGTCAGTTTTCTCGGATGGCGGTCTTGTTGGGCGATTCCGTCGCCACAGGTGTTCGATCCTCCTGGATATCGGCTCGAAAACGACGGCTCCTACTGCCCGTAATCCTAGTGCTAGAGACGTTGGAGGAGGTCGGGGTGGTGGTTCCGCCGTGCCTTTCGCAATCGAATTTTCGGCGTCCTCGTCATCGACTGACACCGCTTTCGCAGATAGAGGCTGTATAATATTCGAGTTAATATTATTTATTTATTGAACAAGCGCCCATTGCAAGCCACTGGTGCCTGACACCTGTAGGCTGTAGGGCTGTGAAATAACGCACCATGATCATGACCCACCCTGCAGACTGAATCGCCACACCTTTCTCCTTCTCCGTCCAACTGCCCTGCGCTTCTGTATCCGCGGTCCATAGATCCCATAACTTCGGCTTGCGTGCAAGCAGCTCCTTCTGCGCCAGAGCCTCTGCGCTTAGGTTTTGCACATTGTTCAGGTTCCATGAGCGACCGAGCTGGATCCGGCGCCACCCAAACACGACGATCATCGCGACGGAGAAGAGCCCGATGGCCAGGAAGGCGAGGATGAGCGGGGGTGAGCCGGCAGGGGTGAATGAATTGCTGTTCGGCGTCCGACCAGGGGGCGGGGGTCCTGGAGGTCTCGACGGCGGTGGAGGGTAGCCGTCCGTCACCGTCACTGTCGGCTCGTTCTCTGTGGGGTGCGTCAAGGTCTGCAGTGCCATGGTCGCGATGATTTAGGGGTTGGCGAGGTCCGGATGAAGCTGTGTTTGAGCAATCGATGTCCGAGTTTTCAGCAGTGCGTCGCCATCTACGCTGCCCGTGGTGGACGTCCGGGTCCTGGAGGTTCGCAGAACCCTACAGAACCCAGTGAGAATATATGGCCTTTTTTCATAGAGGACGACGGTCGATAGCCTAAAATAAGCGATCTCCGTGTGAGCCTTGCTGCGATGATGGACATCACAGGACCTGCTCTGTAAGCTCTAAGCTCTACCTCCCAACTTCGAGCGCAGTATCGGAGTAAGGACATCTGCAGGATTAGAACGAGAAGATTGATACATTGGAAAACTATATACATTCGTGGGCATCGTCGTACTGTACAGAAGTACACCGGAAATGTGAGCAAACGCAGAGGAGACCAGCTGCAAGCCAGTGTCATAAGACATAAGGTCCGGAAGAGCTAGATCACAGGCAATCCCTCCGCTTGATGCCAATTTTACATCCGAGGGGTTTCCGAAGGAAGCCTTCGCGGGTCTCAAGCTAGAACAAGAGAGGTCGGTGTCAGTGGTGCGTTCTCACTTCCCTGAGAAAGCTGGCATACCTTCTGGTCAGGACTCTCAAGCACGATGTCGTACCGGCGCATGATAGACGCGATGATGAGCTGCAACTCGAGGTAGGCGAGGTTACGCCCCACGCAAGCTCTGGACCATACGTCAGAAAGTCATCCGGCTATAAATAACTCTCGCAGTACATACCGAGGACCGATTGAGAATGGATTGAATGTTTTCTGGATATCGGCCTGATTCTGCTCGAACCAACGCTCCGGCCTGAAATCATCGACGTCGTCGCCCCAAATGCGCTTGTCACGGTGGATTGAGAAACTTGGAACGCTGAGGACAGTTCCGGGCGGGAAATAGTGATCATCAATCGTCAAGCCGCCTTCGGGAACGACGCGGGGAAGACCGAGTGCAGAAGTCGAGTGAAGGCGCAAAGACTCGTTGATGCAGGCATCCATGTAGGGAAGATTCTTCACTTGAGGTCCTGTCGCGACAGTCAGGTCCTCAGCACTGAGCTGCTCGTCGAGCTCCTTGTGCAGCTTGTCCTGGGCGCGACGGTCACGGGCGAGGTAGTAGAGGATGGCACACGTGGAACTATCAAAGCGATAATGGGAAAGATGGGGTTTTTCATCAGTCTTTGTTTGACTGAATTCAAGATGTCGTCACTCACTTGGAGGTCGTATCGGATCCTGCAATCAGGAGAGTGAGGGCCTCAGCAGTAAGCTCCTCACGTCCCATAGGGTTGCCGTCGTTGTCGCGCCCATCCTGGAGCTTGCTGAGAAGGTCAACGCGGTCGGTCGGCAGGCTGAGACGGCGCGCGACGGCCATGATTGCTATTCCAGCCAGGGTCTTTACATCCTTTTGGCCTTTGCTGTACCAGGGTAGGTGTTTCACGAAAGGACGCCACCACAACGGAAGCACGCCCATTGACATCGAGTACTCTCCACGTCCGTTTAGGATCTTGACCGCAGGTATCTCCACTACGTCCACGGAAGTTTTGCCACCGTAGCTGTTCATCGCGGCTTGTTGGTTGACCGGCACTAGTGCGGAGTCCTTAGCATTCTGAAGCATGCCAAAAGGCCCACCGAAGGCCAGGTCTCCAACGATGTCGAACGCGAGATAGTTTGCCCCTGCCAACGAAGGTTCATTAGATTCCCGTTATCGTAGTGCAGCTGGTAAAGCGGAGACGAAGAGAACATACAAGGGAGGCAGTCTAACCATAGCCTTCCACCTTCACCCTTCCAACCGCCCTCGCCGTCCGACCCTGACATGCCCTTCGCAGCCAATCCACACAGGCGGTCCCATTGCTCTATCAGGAGGCCAACATACACACGAATCTGAGGCTCGAATTCGACGACGCTCTTCTGCGAGAATATGTGCGAGACGATCTTGCGCTTGCGGGCGTGCTCGTTCCTGTCGCGGGTGTTGAAGACGCCGCGCCTAATTGACACGAACGCATCGTAGAAGTCGGACTTGAGCGCGCCATTGCCGTGTGCGTAGACGATCCCCAACGCGTCGGGTTCGGCAATTGAGACATGGTTAGGGGCGATCCGGACGAAGGTGCCTGCGGGGTGGACAATAGATTAGCGCGCTTGTGGGGTTTGAGATTTAGTTCCGGTCCAATGGCACGCACCGTATTTTTGATGCATCTGGTGGACGACCTCTGAGCGATGCCCATTCTTAGAGACTATACCCAACCAGATGTCTGAGAACTTTGCGATGAGTGGGCCGGGAATCTTGCGGATGCCGTGCGGATCGATAAGCCATGAGAGGAAGTGCACTAGGACGACGATGGCTGGCACACCAATCGCGACGGTCCGCCAGTCGAGCGTTTGGTAGGCAAGGGACAAAACACCGAGCATGATGGTGGAGGAGGAAGAGGGGAGTAATTGTATATCTCCAAGACCCGAGGAGGACGCTTTATATGAATCCGCGTCAGGTTTGGTGAGATTCAGAACTAACCCCAAAGTGTATACCAGGTAAGGAGGAGGGGCAGCGGGCGGTTGCCGAGCGATCGAATGGGAGGTACGGTAATTCGTAAATGGGGCAAGATGAGAAGGTCCTTTGCACTCACGAGATCCGTCCTGGCTCCTAATTCGTCCCAACTGACCTCATCACCATTTCTTACACATGCTCCGCCCACGCTTTTGCCAATAGAAAGGGCACTGCATGATAGTAACGTTAGAGCGGGTTTACATCCGTCGCCCAAATTAAGGAAGCTGATAGGCTCAAACAAGCAATTCGTGACAAGCCAAGTCGAAAGGTGTGCTGAGCAGGGTACTGCTGAGACGAAGAAGCCATACGACGGCGCCGGACGACTGGGTTGGAGTGATATGGCGCCGGTGGGTTGTATGTCCTAAGATTGATTGGCATCGGGAAGCTCCCTTGCGAAGCATGACCACGTTTAAACAAGTCCCGGCGATGAGGACTGTTTTGCACGAGAAATCTGGCGAAGTGGGAAAACAGGTAAGCATTTAGAGGCTCGAGAAAAGAGCGAGAATCGGGAAAACAAAACGACCTGAGAGGCTTTACCTCATGAAGTCAAGCATGTTGTGATCAAGGAAGAGTTCGTGCGCGAGGATGGTCGATCCGTGTCTGCAGATGTCGTCCGAAGCAACATTTAATTCTTCGTTGCAAGCCTGAAGGGTTGTACCATCGACAATTGCGAGGAAAATAATTTCCCTCCTCAGAGAGGCTCAAAGCTGCTCTCGTGACCACATTGTCTGGATATGGTGCTGTTCCTGTGTACGACGGGGTCGGATGGTAGTCGCAATAGTGTCCGGTATCACGGCTTGGCCGGCCACAAAAATATATGTAAGCGTCGGCGAGCTGTTTTGGTCGTCGTGGTCGATTGCAGGCACCGACCAGGGCGAACACTCGCGGGGAAGATGCCGTGGGAATTTACAGTAGATCTCTTTATTTCTAGCACGGCATCTCGGCATGCTCTTGTCGGTTCCTCTCCCCCACGCTCTCTTCCTGAAACCCGTGGATGAAGGCCAAACATACCCGCAGGCCATTCTAATCTTAGGACGAGGCAAGAAAAAGAGCGACGCAAAAATGCTTCATCACGACATTCCCCCCCCGCCTCCCACCGCCATATTTCCTGAACCCCTCTGCTAATTGTCGAACGGGCCTACGTTGTGCCCCTTTTATGAAAATGCCTCGAGTTGCCGCGTTTTCTGTCCTCGCTGTGGTGCTTCTTCCCAAATTTATCAGTGCACAGACTTATAGCGCCACGTACCTTCCCTCCAACGTACCTCCGACAACAGAAGAAGGCCAAACAGGGACCAATCAGTGTGGGACGGGGCTGAACCAGACCTCGGATTGCCAGAACCTCTATAGTCTGTTGACTTCCTTCTGTCTCCTGGCCAACTTGCGCTTAAGCTTTCACCATCCCCAGTTAACTCCGTAACCGACTTTTGTCTTTTCGCACCTCCCAATCCTGGAGCCGACTCTGTCATTGGAAATACGGAAGTATGAGGACCCACACACACATCCTCTAGCGTGCCAGACCTCACTCCCTTGTTTTCCTTATTTATCTAGCGCATTGAGGTTGCATGGTGTACCAAGGTAACTTCTTGAAAAAAATTCTTGTGAAGTCCACCATGACCCACCCCTTCGCAGAATGGCACTGGCGCCCGCTTAATTCCCGATGGCGCAATCAAAGGTGCTCATTTCGTCCAAACTCCAGACTTCGTCCAAGTTACTGGTAAGAAACTCGGGCTCAGCTCTCCCAACCCATCGCATTCTCACATTCATTAATTATTTGCAGGGATCGGCGACTTGACGCTCCTCAATATTCCTGTAGGCGACGAAGGGGTGAGTTCTCCCGCTGAAATCGAGAACATTTTGGTAGAAACCAACCTTGTGCTCGGACGTATGTAGGGCGAGGTGTGTTTTAATTTCGGCGGAATCGTCCAGAGTTTTAATTTTGGGAAACCATAGTTGGATCCTCACGGAGCGGATGGCAATGGTATTGTGGCTCTACATTTTTTCCAGTGGAGGGCCCACAATTCTAACATAGCCCAGGTAACCCCATTGGAGGCCTTGTATTTTCGTCTGCATTCGGCCAACTCAAGCAAATTCACGAATGGACAGTAAGATCTAATCGCGGACTTCGACATATTACGTCCACTCTTAACTCTCCGAATATTCAGAACTTTATGGCTGCAGATCAGTTCTGCATTCGGGCGTGCAAGCCTGGTCCGATGGCCCCGATTTTCTGCCAACACATCTACGACGTGATGGGATGTGCATGGAATATGCCTGCCAACTACGATTCTGGTTTCGAAACATGTGTAGGCGACAGTGGCGAGGCGAGTGACATTCTTCTTTTGATTATCGTACCCTTGCTTCTGTCCGACCCTAATTTTCCTCGACCTTCTTCGACCTTCTGCAGCCTATGGGAGTGTACGGCACGTCGACGTTCTTCCAAGGCCAGCCTGTGATGCCCCCGGCACACCCGCGTCCCTCCTTGTCCTCATGCACGACGCTGAGCACCATCGGCAACGGCTTCCTCATCTCCGGCACCACCGTCCTTCCTCCCGGGGTGACTCTCAGCCCCAGCAGTGGTCCCCTATCAGCAGTAAGCGCTCCCACGCCGTCTTCACCGACCAGTGCGGTCTTACCAGGCTCCCCCTCCATCGCTGCCTCGTCCCCCTTAAACGCCTCCCTTGGCTCCTTGGCCTCCTCACAGGCCTCCTCCGGTGGATCTGGTGCCCTTACACCTACTGCCACGAATACAATCTCCTCTGCGACCGGGCGCTTCAGCGCCATGGACGGGTGGGAGTGTTCCGTTCTCACCGTCGGGTTGTCATTCATTGGTTCCGTGCTGGGTACATTTTTATTTCTTTAATCCTCTTCATTTCCCTGTTGAAAGGACTCCTCTCGGACGTATGCGCAGACGGACATGTAAACGCCGATGATTTTTTTGCCACATAAATTTTGGGTTGCCTCATCTAATAACCGTTTCTTTCTTCTGTTTTATATTTCGTCATCTTCTCAACCTTTTACATAATTGTCCTCCTCTTCTCCCTTCCGGAAAATCCCTGAATTGTTGCGTCTACGGATATGGCATTCTAGGGACATTATGATCTAGCCAACGGACATTTTTACGATTACTCCAACAGTCCAATTATCTCGTGTTTTTCTAACCTACTTCTGGGTGTTTGTTGTCCTTCAAGTAGCCTCGCTTCTTTCTCATAGGCTGTATCTTTTTGTGTCGGCACAAACCTTGTACCTGCTTTATCTACCAATCCTTTAAAGCCTCCATGGTTCTGCTCTTCGCAATACCGAAGGGGGTTTGCGGCCATTGAGAAGAAAGCCTCGAGCTCTTGTTCCTCGATTGATTGCTGCTGACCAACCCACTCCAAGTTCTGGCCCTCGTCAGTTACACCCCATGTTGCAATGTTGCACCACAATCTGGAGAATGAACTGCCGTCTTCTGCCCGTTCACTCGCCCTCTCCAAGACATATCTATGAACAGGCCCTCAACGATCAGCTTCGTGAGCCAAACCTCTGGAGAAAGACGATCCTGGTACGGTTACTTAGAATGTTCTCCGAAACGCTAATCCCCCACCACTGAAGACCCCGCTCCAGCCCCATCCTTCGTGGTATAAATCTCAGAATCGAATATCCTTCAATCTAAAATATACGGAAACGATAGGCAAAGATAACGAAGCACGGTTGACCAGTCTTCGAACGCGCTGCAGATGCGTCGGAATCAGTGGAACCGAGGGCGTTGGCCGCACTCCCAGCGCCGGCACCGGCTATTCCACGCGCACTTGTCCAAAGCGCGGACATATAATTATGTCAGAAAGAAGGTATTATATCCGTCCGCATGCGGACCTCAGCGATAGAATACCTTTGCTCGGTGATTGTGCCAGTCTAGTTCGACCTCCTCGCCCTCGATGGCCTTAAACGTGGCTCGACGAGCAAAATCACCGCTCTTCCGACACCAGCGCTGATAGAGGCCTCGAGGATTATATGTCAGAAGACGATAGAATACGATAGTACTGGGCATGTGAGGCCGAGAAAAAGGCATTTGCTCGGGGCGGAGGAGGGCTCGGGATGAGGAGGGGCATTAGTCGCCCCCGACGATGCCGGCTCGTTGCCGCGTAGTGGTATATAAGACCAAGAGAATAGGCTGTGTGTCTTAGGGACGAGCTAAGCTTACCACGGATCGCCACAATGCAAAAGCTTCTTTTCATCCTCTGCTCTGCTGCCGCCGTCTTGAGTGTGGCGCTCCCCCAAGAAAACGACCCCAGTGCACCGGCGTACTCTCAGGTGAACTTGAGTATGACGATAATCCGTCCTGACTTACTAATCATTTAATCCAGTGTGCTGGCTATGGCCTGACGGGCACTAAGCGCTGTGTCGCTGGCTACACTTGCACCAAAGTCAACGATTTCTTTTCGCTCTGCCTCCCACTCCCAGATAACATCAGCACACGCAACCCACAACCCACGCTTCCACCCATTATTCAAGATTAAGCGATCGTGATGTACGTTGAATTCCACTGTGACTTGAGGACAATAAGTCACTAATAACAACACGGCCGCTCACATAGGCTGTCGTCCCAAGAGCCACCCATAAGCGAGAAAACCGCCGACGGACGAGAGAGAAGTGTCTATGCCTATTTGTTTCTATGCGGAAGAGAATAATGCAATCACGTTTGTGCCTCGTATCTCGGCCCCTGTTGAGAAAGGCTCGTCCGGTCCGAAAGGAGAATGTGGCGCACTCGGCCGCATCAGGCCGACAGGCCTAACACATGATATGCCGCTGCGCTTCCGTCGCAGCGCTTCTCTGCTCCTGATCAGCGCTGCGTGCACACTAGGTAATAGATGTGGCATATTTATTAAAAGCTGTAAGGGACGTTCAGCCGAATACACGTTCAATAGACTTTGACCTTGTGACGATGATCTTGAAATATGAAACGAGAAATGTGGGCGAAGCATTTGGCCCGGCATGATTATTTAATTTTCATCTTCCACTAATCTAGAAATCGTGGTTGTCTACACCTCCACTGACGTCCTAGAACTGCAAGCACCTGCCTGGTAATTTGAATTCCAACGCCCTTAAGCAAAGTCGTTCACTGATCGAGCACACTCGTCACATTACTGGAGAGTGAGCAAAGTTCAGCATGAGCATGCTTAAAATGCGGATCGGCTCAGGAACATCGATTACATTGCTGGCTTATCAGCTTTGGTCGATAGCATATCACTTGCGCAACGGCTACTGTTGCTGCTGATTATCGCCGGATTTCTGGAGGCTAGCCTTAATGACGTTCATGAGAGTCTAAAGCTTCCATATGCTCCTTCACCCGGCTTGTTCATGGTTCGGGCCGTCTTCTCGTCACATCTGCGAGATAGGATGAGGACGAAAAGGCTTATTTTCCATCACTCAAGCATGAACGAGGTGACACGACTAAAAATACAAATAATCATACAGCATCATTTACGGCACTCTTACTTCGGGTCTTCCGATATTCGCCTTCTTCGCTGGCCACACATCCACGCGTTTGACTCTGGTGGATTTACAGAGGCTCTATGAGAGGTACGGGTCCAACAGGGACGATCCTGGTGGGGTTGATCTAGGGGAGACCAAATCAGCGATTCAGGATCTAGCGAGCTCACGAAGACCATACAAACCGAGGTATGGGACCAGTAGTAGTGGATTTTGATGTGCTCAAAGTTGGTCGAGTCCTTGAATGCGGCGTTATTCCAATATAGCTGGCGCATCCATCTACAGAGAGCCAATCATCAGCACCACGTTCTGAATACATCGAAGACGCAAGAGATTGTATGCTGACGAGTTGATCGCAGGATAACCATCGCGAATGGTCCGATTGTTGCACTTGAAGTGGCCGACATACACGGGATCGAAGCGGACCTAGGTAAGGGTGAGAGATAAAGGGAACAACGGAGACCGCAAAGTCAAAACGAGAAGCCGCAGACCCGAGGTGAAGACGTACGATAGTGACCCAAAGCCTCACGTCTGCCTCTGTAAGTCTGTCCCCAATGAGGTAGTCTTTCCCAGTAAGGAGCTTCTCCACCTTGTCGAGGGCTCCGAAGACCTCGACGACGGCCTTATCGTACGCGGCTTGCGTAGTCGCAAAACCTGCTCTGTAAACACCATCTATAACCGCTTCAGCTCGGAGAAAGGGAAAGAAAACATATAAGAAACGTACTGTTAATATTGGGGTAGATCCATTCATTCACAGCATCGATCTCAGCCCGCAAATCGGCAGGGTAGAAATCCAAAGCCGCCTTCTCCGCCGGTAAAAACTCGTTAAAAGCGGTATTAAACATCCGGATGATTTCAGAGCTCTCGTTGTTCACGATCGTGTGCAATTTCTTGTCCCATAGGACAGGAACGGTAAACCTGCATGACAGCCTTTTGGTGAGCTACCGTAACGAACCCGACGGCATCTTGGGGAGGGCGGGCAGAGCGTGAGGTAGAACTCGGACGAACCTGCCGGCGTAGTTGGGATCAGCCTTGACGTAGAGATCCTTCACATGTTCGGACTGGTACAGAGGGTCTTCGTCTGCTGCTGGGAAAGCATCGACCTGGGCGAATGGCCATCCGTTCGCACCCATGCGAGGTGAAACGACGGTGACGGCTGTCCAGGACGTGGGTAATCTGCCCGGTATATCCATCTAGATAAAGACGCACGAATGAATGCCTCCAGTCCCTTAAGCCTTCGCACGATGAGGGTTCTAGTGGCCCAAGCTAGAAAAAAAACTCAGCGAAACTGGAATAATTTCCTGGAAAATGGCCGAACTTACGACAAGCGTAGGAGACGTAGAGGTGGTATCGATCTGGGGACACGCTTTTGCTTAGATAGCTCCCACCAAGTTCCAGGACGGAATACACACCTTTCTCCGGCTCGAATTCACCACCTTTCTGGATAGAGTTGCGAAATGAGGCGTCAAGGCGCTTGAAGGTACCATCGGGCTCGGTTTTCATCTTCGAGATGTCGGATTGCAAAGATAGGTCTCTGGTCGACATGGTTCTAGTGGATGAAAGTCCAAAGTTGCTGGCGCAGAAACTCGCTGGAGTTGTGGGTGCGGATGACTTGGAATATGTGGAGAACTTGGAGGAGAGAACTCCCCACTTTATAGGCAACGATCTACATTGCGCTATCGCACGTGGAGGTGACATGAATAATCCATTGCTGGATGTGAGACCAATGAACGCGACTCGGACGTTATCAGCTGAGCGCACCTTGTCAGACATGTTCGTGGTGGCATCCTTCCTATCGTCGTGGTGCTTTATAAATCATTAAATAAATGCTGTCGCTGCCGCTGGCCGTCATCGATTCATTGCCCGCGCTTCGTCAGTCGCCTCTGACATCAGAAATGCTATCGTAAGCGAAACTTCGTAAATCACGACAGATCACGACTCCACAACAGTTTGCAGCCCCTTTCCTGAGCTTTGCGCATAACAAGTCTCCGTATTTTACTTCTCCAATGAACATTCGTATCACTATCTGAATCACAAAAATCGCTATTCCAGAATTGTAGGTAAGTCGTTCCCCGTCACGTCCTTCGCTGGTCATCTCAACAGCAATCACTTCAGAATGCTATCGTTCTTGAACACCCATCGGACGCCGTTTGTATACGTCTCCCTGTAACCCAGGACGCCTTCGATGAATGCCAACAGGACCGAAGGATTAATCGGTTCCTTGTTCCTCGACAACGACCAAGTCGGTTCAATCGATATCGAGTCGATGACTCCGAAATAAAAGGGCGACTCTGCCAGGCTCACTTTCAGTACTGGCCTCTATCAAAGGGTGTACTATCAACGATCTGCAGTAAATGATGCTGCAAGATAGGAGCGCACCTTAAGACTGTCGTTAGAGTCAATTTTGGCCCATTTCTTGAGGTAGTTGGCCAGGAGCTCTAAGCTGGGTTGATGGCTGCCTTGGACGGTCAGCGGGCTTGTACTTGCATCGACGATCAAGGTGTGGGGTGGCGTTACTCTGAACAGTTCCGTCGGCCGGGCAAGGGTCTCGATCGTTGGAAGGCGTTGGACAGTTGACGCCATGGGGATAGGTTGAGGCGAACCTGGCATCTTGGAAGGCAAAAGACGAGCTCCTGGAGGCGCTGTTCGCGTCTCAACCGTCGTGACCTCCGCCCACTCTTCACGGTCGTCGTCATCGAGAGGAGTTGTTGCAATCGATCCTGGCGCAAGGAAGAGACCGTCGAGGTCTTGGTCGAAGCCAGCATCTATCGTTGCATGCATCGGTGGTTCATGGTTGGGAATCTCCAGATAGAACGCCCCAACATCTGCCTTCCAGGTTACACGAGGACGACGTGCCGAGCTATTTGCGCCGGATGGCTGAACCGAAGGGAAAAGTGAGAGTTTGCATCTCCGGAATATTCACTTGTCCTGACCTCCACTTGCAGCATCCACTCCGGGCCAGGCGGTTTCTTCGCAAGCACGTCGAGCAATTCGTCGGTCCAATTTGTATGCGCCTCGTTCTCGATTCTGGACAAGAGCCTCCCGTACAACGCAATCACGACCCGAGAAACCGTGGGCACGAAAGTGGCCTTGTCCGGGAAGGTCTCCTTCACCGCATTGTAGAGCAAAGCCCACTGCACTTGTGGAACGACCTTATGTCCGAGGGTCTGCGCAAGTGACTCGACAGAGCTGTGGATGGCAGCCTTCGGAGAGTCCCACTGGTCGCGGATGTCAGCACGTACTTTGAGAGGGCTGAAGGAGGGACGTCAATTTTGGTCCCAGTTAACACGTTCGGTGTGACTTACAGGTCTGACATTGTTCCAGGTTAGCCTCATCTGCGGAGACCTTTGGTCTCTTATGTATCTTCCGATTCTCGCTCGAACCCTTGGAAACAACCTGCGATCAGCCAAGTTCGAGCGTACTCTGGCGGAATTGACCCAATATCTCGGTGCTTTCCCTGGACGCCGCACTCGATGTTGTCCAACAAGTCTCTTAGAAACTTCGACGTGCTGATGCGCTGGCTGGTGTCGTCGGTTGACCTATCTAACAGCGAATCCTTGTCAACTTAAGGCTACCACGACAAATGAGTCATGAACCTATGAACGTCGAGAAGACGCGACGACCCCTTTGTCAGAAGAGTCTCATCAGTCTCCTCATGTTCGTCCATTTCGCCTTGGAACCTCGTTATTTTCCCTCCCTCCTCTCCGCTTGCCACTACTTTTAGGTGACCCTACAGTTCATCAAGCGCATCCGCCCCTCCCACCCTCGATCAGGCTTCGATCGTTCAGAATGTCAGTGCATTATAGGCCAGCAATGGGCCATCAGCGAGCAAACGTCACGTTCGCGCTGGAAACCATCGCAAATCTGTCCCGCCCGTGGCTGTCATTTGGTGCTAAACCCTGGGGCGTTGGCTTCGTTTATTAAAATATTCTTGGCTTTTCAGGGGATTGAGTTGTACGAAGGGGTATAAAATATAGGCGCAAGGTTGGTTCGAAAATAAAAGAGGTTTTCAAGTGCTCTTTCACTCACCCACCAACCTCTACTTTCCCACTTTCCCTCATAACTTCATCATGCCGAAGAACACCTTCACCCCTAAGCCTGCCCTCGAGAAGCTTCCCCTCGCTGTGCGCAAAGACTGTACGCCTCTTCTTCTATCATCACGCTTTCGTTGATTGACCAGATGTCTAGTACGCGACAACTTCGAGTCGAAGAAGGAAGAATTTGAGAGCCAGATCAACGAGACCCTCGGCGTGCCCGTGAAAATCAACATCGAGCCTAACGCAGTGTGGGCCTACGCCGAGGCCTCTGGCGCAAGTTCGGCTGGATCGACGATTGCAGGGTGAGGGCCTTCACTTTCTTTTCACGAGCACGCCTTACTAATACCGTCGTCTTGATTAGGTACATTGAAGGCTTCGTCGATGCTGCGAAGAGCTACGTGTCGAAGTTCGGTGACCTTGGAAAGGAGTATTTCAAAAATGCTGTGTCGAAGGCTGAGCTTACGCTTGTCGTGAACGAAAAAGGGGCCGACGTTAGTTTATGCTTGCTTTTAATTTCCGTAATGGGGTGCATAGACGTTTACTGACGTACCCAGGCCGACTCGATCCATGCAGACGTGAAAGACGGCGTTTTCCGCATTCTCTTCCACCAGGAGCGGCTGGGCTACAACCAGTCGTGGCTCTCGGATCCGTTCGTCAAGGCTATCGACACTGCTCCCCAGGAAGGCTTTGATCTCCTTGCGAAGCACTCGATCGAAACAGAGTACAACGCGGAGATCGAGACGGTCCAGGAGGAGATCGGGAAGACGCTGAACCTGTCTGACGTTGTTCTCGACCCAAACTTCGAGGAAAACTATAGCAAGTTGCTGAAGAAGGTGGACAAGGACTGGCAGCGCACCTTTGGCAGGGCAACGTTTGAATACTTCAAGTGTGTATTCTGCTTAGTCGACGACGTATGGCCGATTTTTGACGTTCTATTTAGTGATGGTTTGAAGAGTCAGCTTGAACGTCAAGGATTCAAAGGCGATGAGATGCTTCAGGAAGGCTTTGCTGAAGGCGTTCCTTCCAAGACCTTCAAACTTCGCATCGTTGACAAGACGAAGAGTGGGAGCACCAACGAGACTATACTCGAGGATGGTGTTATCTTCATTCAGGTGGGGGTTTCTCTTGCTCGTTGTTGATGCTGTCCAATCGTTTGATTTTTCATGCAGACAACGATTGATAACTGGTGGTATAATGTTTATGAAGCTGGCAGCAATGTTGTTGATCTGTTGTAAAATAAGTAGGGCAAATTTTTGACGAGGCGTATATACCAGTCGCGTACTTTAAATTCGCCCAGTCATACGACTGAAGTGTATTTCACTTTCCTGATGAATGATGATCCACAGTTTACGGCCTTTATCGACATGTTCACGAAATCGATGTTGAATTGAGGAATCCAGCCACTTAGTAGGCGGGTTCCCACGAGCTGCCCTGGTTCTGGTGTTCGACTGCCTCATCTGACATCGATGCATCGACATCATTGTTTGTAAATCTTTCTCTTCATCAGTCATGTCTACATTCGGGAAGGGAATTAGACATGTCGTTGCAAGTGCATGGCGAAGAACGCAACCAAAAGTTGTCCGTCTTCCAACTGGGAACTCCGTCAAGATATTTGAGCAAAAGCCTCCAGCCTGGGCACGATGGGCTCTTGCTTTAGTTGCGGTGGATATCATGGTCTCGTTCGTCTTCAAATTCCCTTGATTTCTTCAAGTCCTGACGATATTTAGAACGTCTGCTGTTGATATTGTCTGGAATACCTGGGGCACGCCTGCTCCTCCTTCAGATGACGACCCCAGACCTACAAACCCAGAAAACGGGGATGAAGTCGTGCCCCCGAAGATGGTGCTTAGACCCGCATGGCAGCGGGCGTCAACAGGCGTGCTCTTCTTCATCTCTGGCTTTGCAGTGGCCGGTTTCGTCCTTGCGGCGCGTTCTCGGCTCGTGAACTCCTTAACCTATGTTCGTGGACCACGACCACAAATCTTCCTCCAGACTCCCAACCACCACCCGAACTATGGGCTGCAGTTCGCCTTGAAGGACTGCTCTCTCATCCCAGGAAATTCAGAGCAGATGGTGCTTGATACGCGCACACAAGGACGATGGGTGCTCAACGTCCGCGGTGCGATATTGAATGGCCGACCAGGGCCTATGGAGAAGGAGCGAGCACGAAGCAAACTGATCTCAACGTGGAAAAGCATTCAGGGCTCCACAACACCATTTACGAGACGGAAAACGGTGTCATAGATGCTATTAATATTATTCAAGATTTCTTGCTTTAAAGCCTGGAGGTGTCTGCGAGGAATTAGATTTGCAGGTTTGATGATAAGGAAATCATTTGGACAACAGTGTATATGTGAGTGGTCATCCTTTTTTGCTGCTTCAATTTTTCTTACATCCATCCGCCTGTTTAGCTACACATCCTCCCCAGGCCTCGAGGCAAATGTTTCGATTAATAGTGCTACAGGAAAACCCTCTGGCAAGGTTTCGCATTATTTCCTCCACGATGAGAATGCGGATGCAGGAAACTTCCGAAAGAATCATTACAAATTATTTTCTTCATCTTCTATTCTTGAGAGATACTTATTCACGGTTCCAGCTTGAGCAATACCCTAACTCTACTACTTCTAGGACAACCTCGGACAATTCCGTTGACATGAACTCGTGGTGAACATGCATGTTATATGTTCTATTATGCTTCACCACATCGATTTGGGCACTCGATTCTCTCTTTCCATCTGCCCAGAACCAGCAAAACGATGGCGCTTCTTTTTACTAGTGCAGATAACACCACCATGACCCAGTCCACACTCAATGTCAACGTCAAGCAAACCAATGTCCAGCAAACGACTGCCCCAGCTTCTAGTTTCTTGACAGGTTCGACTCTCCTCCATTCCGGGCTCCGTCCCACTTATGGATACCCAAGCTTAGAGCGTATTCGCGAACGTAGCGGCCCAACCGCCTTCTGGATTGCGAAAGAACCTGCATACACCCCAACATGCGATCCTAACACGCGGCTCGCAGTCATCGAGGATATCGTGAATTGGATTACCGCAGGCAGCACAAAAAATGCTTCAATGCTTTGGCTTCATGTAGTGGCAGGGGCGGGGAAGATTGCTCTTGGGTCGACTATTGCGGAGCGTTGTCAAGAAGAAAACTCATCATTGCCGGCATTTGTTTTCTCGGGGACGAGGGGGAATGGTGCTATCGACGGGCTCAAGCTTACTTTTACCATTGCACTTCAACTGGCGCTAGCAATTCCCGGCGTGAGATCTTCGATCGAATCTGTTGCTAAACATGATCCAACCGTCTGCGACGAGAATATGAATATGGCAAGCCAAATGACGAAGGAAGCTCAGTCGAAGACTCTCATACCATCTCAGTGACCTTACAGGGACTCCTCAACCTCGATTTATCCTAGTCGGCGGCCTTGACAAACGCTCTAGCCCGGTCATCCAATGCGAAATTATTTGTATCTTAGCCACCTTGGTCAGGAAATTTCCACTGCCGTTCCGAATCCCCATCGCAAGTCGGCCCGAGTTTCATATTGGCACTGCCTTCAGCGAGGACGCATCCCTCTGTAGTTCAATTAGTCGCATCGATTTATCAACAGTGCACACCGAGACGCAGAGAAGGACGTTCGCAGTTTTTTAATCAAAAAAATTCGCAGAAATGTGGGAATACCACCAAAACACATGGGTAATCCGATTCTCTGTAGCCTAAATAAGACGATGCGCCACAGCTCGTCCAAAAGTCCTCCGGACAATTTATCTATGCCGTTCTGGCGATCAAAATTGTCAATATAGAAGACGAACATCCCGACGCCCGTCTCCAGATTGTCCTCAATCTGACATGTTCGGCAACCCAAGACGCCCCATTTGCCGATCTCGATAAACTTTGCAGCTACGTCCTTCATTCAGTCCACAACGTCGCTGAAACTATGAATGCCATATCCCTCCTAGTTCCTCCACGTCCATTGCAAGAATATGCGGAACATTATGCAACTCCTGCGATACTTGAAGAACTGCTCTCCTTGCCGGTTGGTAGCATCCATCGACGTCTCCGCCGCGTCGCGTCGTTATTTTCTCTTCGCGGACACGATGGCCCCATCAAAACCAAGCTCTTAGAGAGGCTGAAGGTAGACTTGTGGTAGAGAAGCCTCGGATTGATGCATCGAAAGGACCATTGCTTACTTTGAAAGGTTCTCTGTACAGTTTGTCTCCGTACGAATATTTGGAACATTGTAACTTGGTTGTATACCCACTTCAGTTGTTCCCGTGCGGTAGGTAGTCGATGATGTAGAGGTTGTTGTCATCCAAATGTAGGCACAATCGTCCTGTTGCCGGGCAAATCTCTGAATGAATGACATTATAGTCTTCTCTTTCGAGACCGGGGTCCATCCATATCTTGCCAGGGTAATTGTCGCTTCCGAGGTCAATAATGTAATGGGCAAGGACGGATTCTCCATGATGCTCCAGAAATATACCATGGTCTGTGTCCAAGGGCCGGATATCACTGAACTTGCCCGGGTTTTGGTCGATTTCCAGTTTTTCGAACATCATTAGGTGACCCAGGGATACATCAGTTGTAACAGTGCCTGGGTAGAGACCCGGCGTCTTGTGGGTACGAAGTTGGTAGAGTCCAAATCTTGGGGGATAGAAAACTCCTACGAAGTTCCTAGTCGGGGCGCCATGGAATGAAGACCATGCGGAGTTAGGGAGGAAAGTAAGTTTTGTGTCGTCGAATCCGCTTTCAATAAAGTCATCGTTATCCTCGTCGAAAAGCAGGTGAGAGTGAATAGCGCCTGGTCGATATCTTGACATGATGCGGGACACTTGGAAGTCTCTCGCGAAATTACTTTCCCAAGAAAAGTCCCATAGGAAAACTTTGCCGCGATATCCGATGGCGATCGCATCCCCGAAGAGTTTAAAGGAAGTAGGAGAGCCAATGGGTTCAGGTCCAAGATATGTGCGCCAGCTCGTGTACCTGTCGTCCTTCAAATCCCATACTACAATTCTCCACGAAGCAAGGAGACACGCAAGGCGATTGTCAGAGAACGAGAGCGACACAACGACGGCTCCATCTCCCAGGTCGAAAACGATATGCGGGATGTGACGAGAGCAGGGAAAAACTTGATGAACGTGGACTGTACTGTCATGAAGTTTTGTATGCTGCCCTTACATAATACAAAAACAAAAATACTGACCTCTGGCTTTCTATCGAAATAAGAGACAGTCCCCGCCCGTCAGCGGTAGGCACCAGCAATTTTGGGAAGAATTCGTCGCCCTGTCCTAACACCCAAGTTTCGAGAAGTTTATTACTGCCTCTATGCTTCGGTATTCCAAGGTCCCAGACCTGAGCGAGCGTTCCATTTCCACCACTTGACATCATAGCAATAGACGATGTTACCAGGTATCTGCCACCTGGTGCAAGAAAAGTGGCAGTATATCCAGGAATCTGATATCGAATTGACAGTTTTCTGAGCTGGCTGGGTCCCATGTGGTTAACGAGTACCTGAACGGAATGGGGATGCGCAAACTCTTCGTCCGAATGTACAATGGCTTGATAAAAGAGGCTAGGAGATAACACCAGACGCTCGAGGGCAGGCCGGTCCATTGATTCGAGGGTAAACGTAAAGCTTGGAATGCAGTTGTCCTTCATCATCCTTTGAGCAGCAGATATCCAAATGGACAGCTGTGTTGAAGCTTTGTGGGCAATCTTGCACGTCTTGAAAGGAAACGACCAAGATCTGTGAGATTTCCCTTTCATCATGCATTGAGATGGCGTCGTACACACCTTTCGTAGACTAAACACATCCGACGAGGGCAGAAAAGCTATAATGTTGAGAAGAACGTCAATCCCTAGTTCATGGAATGGAAGTCGAGATTCAGAACGCATCCTAGTCTTGAACTCTTCGACGAAGCATATATAGAAAGGTGGAGGAGGAGGTTCAAGCTGAAGTCAGCGAGAGTTGAACTTGGCGGGTGAACGGCCCGGCTCCGAAATGATACCTACTTCAACAGGTTTACAGGTTTACTCAATACTACCTTCTACTACCTTCCACTGCCGTCGTCGTTCCTGGGCACAACATCGACTCACGTTTCTACAAACGTAGGCTTGCTCCTCAAGCTAGTGGATGTGTTACACATCATCAGAAGACCTACATTACGCCCGAAGAAACGAACTAGTCTCAAACTACATTCTCTTTGTTCTGCCAATTTTCCGCGCCCAAGATCACCTTCGGAGCTTATGCATCCTCAATCTCGAGTTGCGTCTGAGGACTCTTTCAAAGCTAGTGCAATCTTCACAATAACCATCCCGAAAAGCTCATCCTTAACTCTCGGCAACAAGTTCCTATGCGTTGGGCGAAAACTGGAGAAGCCGGATCATCTATCAAGTGCCGAAAAAAGGAGAAACAAGGGAAAGAGAACGCTTGGGTGGCCTTCTGAATTTTCCGTCGCAATAACTTGGGTACCCATTGGAGGAAGCACGGGGAATTTGACTCCTTGGGCGGTGCGAGTATAAATGGGTGGCTATGTGTAGAGGTTTGCTTCATGAGGGCATATGCTGGAGCGTGCCCGCGTGCGTGACAATTTATCCATTGTCAAGAGGACGTCCGGGGGATCTCTGGACGTGTGCTGCGACACAAGAAACTACTGGGCTGGGCTTCTGACTCCCCTCGCGGATCGATGGGGTAGAGGAACTTGAAGGCAAGAGGGCGAATAGGATTAATCCACTGCCCTCCGGAGTTTTGGTGTGGTGTGCTATATAACAAATGTCGGCGAGGCATTTTCCCTCTCAATAGTACAGACTTTGAAGCCTCGAATACTCTCAAAATATGCGTTTCGACACACTCGCCTCGGTCGCGACCTTGATCGTGTCAGCATCAGCCCATTCGACGTTCCAGCAGCTATGGATTAATGGCGTCGATGCCGGGTCGTCGTGCCTGCGCACGGCAGCAAACAACAACCCCATCGGCACAAGTGGCGGGGTGCGTGCGAGTGCAATTCACACTGGCTCCTTATACATACGCGTCCCAAAAATATCAGGACCTCGCTTGCAATGTACACTCCAGGAGCCCCAACGTATGCACGATCAAACGTGAGTATCCGCTAGCCCTTACTCGCATTCTACGTCCTTACCGACATGAGCTTCCCAGCCGGAGATAAGGTTACCGTTGAGATGCATCAACAGCCAGGACAGCGCTCCTGCGCAAATGAGGGGATTGGAGGGAATCACTTCGGTCCCGTGCTTGTGTACATGGCGTCGGTCTCAGACGCGACGACGGCAGACGCGCGCAGCGCCGGCTGGTTCAAGGTCTCTGAACTTGGTCTTGTGTCAAGGAACCCGCAGTACTTCGGGTCGCAGGTGCTTAACGTGAGTGCGATTTCGGGCGCATAAGGATCAAATCAAATCAAGGTGGTTAACTAATGTCTTATTCGCAACAGGACAACTGTGGACATTATACTTTCACTGTGCCAGACATCGCTCCAGGCAACTACCTCATCCGCGCAGAAGTGATTGGTAGGTTTTCGTGAACGAATTGCTTGGAGGCGGACAATAATCAGGACCCTCTCAGCCCTCCATGTCGCTAGTGGCTCTGGAGGCGCTCAGTGAGTTGCTAGTATGCCTGCTATATTCGGCGACTATGCTCAATAATTCCTCTAGGCACTACCCCGCATGCTTCCAAGTCAATGTCGCTGGATCAGGAACAGCCAGGCCACCCACCGTTAGATTCCCAGGTAAGATTCTCTCCATTTGGGCTGTGTGGCGGGTTCCACTCCAGCTGATCACTCGTCATAGGCGCCTACAGTAACAGCGACCCTGGAATTCTCATTAACATCTACCAATCTCTCTCGACCTATAGGGGTGCGCGCTATCTTATTTCCTGTGTTGCTTTTGACGACTAATACTTTTGGTAACAGTTCCTGGACCCACACCTTACGGCTACGTGGCGCCTACGATCGCCAACACCGCGTACCCTAGGACCCCGACTTGGAACACGGCGCTTCAACCTGCAGCTGTGCCGATGACTACCCCCGCACCTGGTGCGACAGGGATCGCCGGCGGCGCTTAAGCTGTGCTACGCTTCCAACTTCGTCGTTCATCTGATGTCCTCATCGCGCGTTCACCTCCGTTATACCACTTCTGTATTCTGTCATCCGTTGGACGGCAGCCGAATTTTTAAGTCCGTTGTTATTAATGCATTGCAATAGACTTGTATACACGGCTGTCATCAAGCTGCCATCCGACCGGCGCCTGAGCCAAGTACTAAGTATACATCCATTACGTCACGTAGCTGCTTTGTCAGTAGTGTGTTCCTTTTTCCGCACCGACAAGGCCTTGGCGGGGAACCTTCGTCAGTCCGGAACCAACTACGACATTCTCGCAGCAGGCATGGGAATCTCTTGACAGGCAAAACTTGCAGATCGAGTTTTTGTCTCATGCGAGAGCCTCGATCCTACGGAACAAACCCTCTGCGGAACAGTCTGCTTTCGGTGCAGTCTCGTCTAGCTTCTGAACCTCCCACTTTATCAACGACATCGACGAGCTAGGGATCGGTCTCTTCGATCGCAGCAACGACCGTTCACGTTCACGACGGCGAAATACGACAATCACGATTCGCCAGCGGGCCCAGCAAAACAATGGCCCCCAATCCCGACTTTGGTGGGAGGCGCCATGGAACATCCAGCTTCACCGGCACACCCGTCTTCAACACCGTCGCCGAGGTAGCGACTATCACAGCTGGGACCGCCACCTCCGCCCCCTCCAGCGACTCCTCTGGGGATTCCGGGGGAAGCGGCAGCGGAGGGGACAGCAGTCGCGGGGCAAACTACTTCTTCGGCTTCCTCATCACGTTCGTCCTCCTCCTGCTCATATTCGCCGGGTGTGGACTCGGTTCACGCAGGCGGATGTTCTTCTCTCGTCGGTTCCAGAATGCGGATGCGTTTGGGCCATGGACGACCTATGGAGAAGACGGAATCGGGAGAGGTGAGGTCGTTGAACCAGTGGTTTACGAGAAGACGTTCGAAAAGGCTGAGGAAACGGGAGACAAGTGGGGAGATTTAAAGGTGGGTCATATTTCCATCCATTTCCCTTGGGTTGTCTCTGAGAGTGTTTTGTCTTGCCATAGCCGTTGTCAGCGACGCTCGTACGACGACCAAGAGACCAGTCAGATGCATCCTCAGCCCAAAAGCCTTCACTACCTGAAGACCCACCATCAGATCCTGCCCACCCCAACCCTACCGCTGTCTCCGCTACGCCCGCGGAACCTCACAGGAGCCTACCTGCTTGGTTCCCGGGTAGAAAGAGAAAGCATCCTCCTGGACCTCCCACCGCTGAGCCCGAGGATGTACCTGAAGCAATACAGGTCGCCTTTCTCATCGTCATGCCCTCGGTGGCTTCTTCATCTCTATATGCACCAAAAACGCCGATAGACGAAGAGAAGGCGGCGGCACTAAGGGAGCGAGAGAGAGACTTCGAAATGCCCGAGTATCAGATTGGGATGGCTACGGTGCCATGGGAGACGGAAATTCGGTCAAGGACAATGGCCTCGCCGCCGTCAACTTCATCGTCATCATAGGCATCGGATCCGTCTTACTGCCCGCATTTACTTTACCTGCTATTCTGGTCTCGCTTTTTCTGTCTGCTTGCTCACAGTGTGACCCACACACATCATTTTACCATCTCACATACCTCTCTGCATAAGTGTAAATTATTTGTACGTTTAGGTCGCTGCGATTCCTTCGATTTTTGACGGTGCACACGACGCCGGACATTTCCAACTGGCCGCAAACGACACGTTGTCGGTGGGAGATTTTTTACGCTTTGCAGCTCCCAGTCAGAACTGCGGCGAGAATCCTAGCCAGTGGGATGTGTCTTGGTCTAACTAGGGGGTCATGAGAGCGATCGTTGAGGGTGAGTCTGAATTCGATGATCGAGCCTGGCATTCGATTATGTACAGCGTGCATAACTCCACCAGCGACATTAAATTTCTTCCAACGTGGCTTGTCTAAATGGAAGCCTTGTCTGTTTTTAGTTTTAGGGGTGCTGCACCAAGTGTTATTGGAGACCTGTGGTTAAACGGCCAGGAATTGGGCGCGGGACATCCCAGAGGTCAATGTAACTCGGGTATTTCCAATGATGTTGTTGGCAGAGTGCCCCAAGGGCGGCGACTTGGACGCACGGTCATTTGCAAGGAGAACTAGGAAGTCTTTGTTTCCTCCAACGCAACAGAACAGGGAATATACCGTGATATTACTTCGCCTCCTCCTCCTTTCCTTTCTGTATCAGACCAACACCAGCGACAGCTCCTCCGGAAGCGAGATGTGAGGCTTTCGCCTGCTCTTTGTGATGTTTCTCAACCTGGCGGTCGAGTTCTTCCCGAATGGCTTCAGCACGCTTAATCTGTGGTCGGAACGCAATGAAGGAGAATGAAAGGAGAGAGCAGAGGGAAATTAGGGGAAAGAATGCAGAAAAGGCGTGCAGAACGAACCTCCTTGTGGTGGTGCAGGCATTCTAGGTAGTCATTGCTATGAGGACGGCACTCTTGCGGGTTGTCCGTTTGGGCGTAACACTGGAAATTCCAGCCATTCAATACAAAATTTCGGCCACCAAGGATACATTCACGCACTTTCTGGAATTCCTGCCAGTAAGTGAAGCACCTAGAACGTCCTGAAAATCGAGGCGTCCGTCACCAGTCCTGACTCAAAATGTGCGTAGAATCAGAGCATACCTCCACCCCAGCTGAATCCTGACTGGGGGAACGTCAATAATACGCCTCGATAGATGTTAAAACGAAACAACATACCGACATGGCTTGTGTTGAGGTTGAATTCGGAGGCGAGGTCGAGTGACATGACCCGACACTGTCGTGACAGAGACCGACGGACCGTGGCGGACCTGGATGTCGGGGAGCAGCGGGGAGCACAGCCATCGTGGCGATCTTGTCCTCTTCGTCATCGTTTCGCCCAGGCAACCCAGCCCAGTACGCGGTCTCGAATGATCTAACACAGTTTCACGGATCTCATATCGACTTGTAGCAACAGTAATCATGGCGGAACAAGCAGAAAGAGCTTTTGCGCGAACGTTCTTGAACACGCTATCGACACAGCCGATCACGTACGAGGACGATTATCAGCAGCCTCTCCAGTATTCCCTCAAGAGGGTTCCTGTTCTGCCCGTACGTCCTTTTATTCTGCTCATCACCACCCGGAAATTTTCGTCTCTTCTTTTTCGTCTCCGAGAGAACCAAGCTGATCGTCGTTGTCACCGTCGCTCGTAACGCACATATAATTACGCCTGTCTGTTAAACGCACAGATAGCCGTACCCCCTCCTCCTAAACGTAAACCCCTCGAGGCATCCGGTTCTTCATCCGGTAAGCCCTGATCTCTCCAACTCATTCAGACGCGTGTTCACCCAGGCTAACTTACGCGTTTCAACCCCTCTAGCTGCCCTCTCACTCGTGTTCAAGTCCCTGAAACCATCTGCTAGCTTCACCCTTTCCGTGCAGCCCACCGACACCATCGCGACTATTAAAGCGCAGCTCTCATCCACACACCCATCCGCACCACCCCCTGACGCCCAGCGACTCCTTTTGAAAGGAAAGGCACTCGCAGACGCGAAGCTCCTCAAGGAATACAGCATCAAAGACGGCGATACGCTCAATCTTGTTGTGAAATCAGGATTTAATTGGAATCCAAACGCACCTGCCCCATCGGCTTCGACAGAAACCATGTCCTCCGCTGCACCTCCTAACCCCTTCGGCTCTGCCAAACTTGAACCCAATCCAAAGCCTTCCCGAGGAAAGCACCAGCGCATACCATCCGTCGTGCTGTCGCCTTCGCCGTCATCTGATAGTCCGGGAGCGGTGGAGAAGGATATTATGTTGACTCTGGACACAACGGACATACAGAGCCAGGCTGTTCCGTCGGAAACGCTCTCGACGTATCACCAAACGGTTTCGCAGCCCGAATTCTGGGAACGACTATTTGCTTTCTTGAAGTGTGTACACATTTCGTTTTCGCCCCATTTTCCCAATCTTGCTTCCATGTTCACCTTTCATGTTTACTAATCCGCAACTTTATTTAGGACCGAGTTCACGACAGAAGGAGATGCAATTCTTGCATTCGAAGATTTCCTATGTGCAACGAAAGGCTCGCTTACGGCCAGTGAAATTGCGAAAATTCGTGATACAACAGGCGTGGTTGGGATGGCTGGGATATGAACACTATTCGAATGCGGGTGTTTGTAGACGTGCGATTTTTTCCTCTTGGCCTTTTTACTCTGTCTTTATTCTCTCTGCGGTTGAAATTACTTACTTACGAACAAGCAACAATGGAATCCTTTGCAAACGAGAAATTTTAATTGGCCCGAATATGCCTCACCCCCGCTTGCAGGTCCAATAGATCTCGGACCACTCGGACCGGTGCTCGACCTCATCTGCGCCGACAATCTTGCTCTATTCATCGCCATCTTTGACTTCTCGGATTATTGAGGAAGACCATCAGCAAAACAACAATGACGACGGAACACCTTTCAATCGACGTTCTGGTTAATATCATGGCCTTCCTAGAGCCCTCTGATATATTTGCTCTGCGAAAGGTATCTGTTACGCCATGTCCGAAAGTGTCATGAAAGGGAGGTCTCACAGATTTCGGTTTTTCACTTTTAAAGACGTGCAAGACTACAAATGAAGCTACAATGCAACGATCTGTGTGGTTATTCGCGGTTCAGACGATGATGAAGGAGAACGCCATCCCGAAGTGCGCCTTCTCGCTCAAATGGATGGACAACTCGGCGCTCGAGTGCATAGCCCTTTCTCCTCGCCTCTTCTATAATTGCATTGTGCGCACGAGGACTGATCTCGCCGAGCCACGCAGCGTGCAGTTACTCCTTGATCATATGAGCAAGACGGCCTGGAACCACGAACACCAACGCACGCCGGGATACACTGCCGTTTTCCTTGTTCCAGGAGGAAGATATCTGGTCACATCGGGGCGTGTTACTTCAGAGCATGAGACTTTGCGTACAGTTATCGACTTGTGGGACCTTGGGCTACCCGGAAATAGAGGAAGGAACAAATTGTTAGCGAGTTCTGTCATAGGCGACGCGGACTTGCAACCTCGATTAGTCGTACCCACTCCAGACGGGAACGGATTGCGGCTCATTTCAGCGACTGCAGATAGGTTAGTGTCCTTTTTTGTCGGCCGAATGCTTTGCTGAACTACGGCGCTATATTCCTCTTAGGATCTACGTCCATGAACTTCTGCCAGATCCATTTCATGCAGAATGTATGCTACCAGCGTGTAGCTCTGGACCACCGGGCGATTCGATTCTGTCCCTCTCTTTCTCGAACAATAGATTGGCGTACCTTCTTCGATCCTGGACCATCATAATAAGTGACATAGAAGATGGCTCATTTTGCACCCTGAAGACTCCGCTGGGACGGGAACCGATGACCTCCACGACCTCGCTCAAGCTATTCGGAGACTCCATCGTCCTGGCTTATCAAGGGAAGATCTTTCATTGGAACGTCCATCATTTGCAAAGGCATAGGTGCTCCGACGTTCGAAATGGGGTCCATATCCGAAGCATGCGGCCAGACGCGATCTACTCGAACTTACTCCATAACAACTTGAAACGCGTCGGCTCGTTTATCAACGACGGATTTGACGACACTGGCCTCACCTTCCTTCCGCACAGTGCTTGGTCTTCGTTTCAATGGCGCCCCAGTTCACAACTATCTTGGAATCATTTGTGGCGGCAGGTTCGAATTTTACAAGCTTCAATCCCTTGGAGACTCCAAGGCAAGAATTCAGGGTGTACCGAACGCTTTCCCCGTCCACCAGCCGATGTCCGATGGATTGGACGTGCACCAAGAGGTCGGAGAGCTCCGTGATATGCAGCCATTAGACAAAAATACCTTCGTATTCCTGGGATATGACGAGGGGGCATTGATTGCGAATGTCATCAGCGATCTTGGTGGAGACAATTCCCCTTGCGCTGTATCACTGGAGTTCGGGTTCGACAGAGAGAATCACATTGTGCATGCCCAATTGTGTCCTGCAACTGGCCGGGTGTGTTGCATTTGAATGACCACAGGATCTACATCATTGACTATTTGGCTCCTGGTGGCGATTGTCAGTGATATCGAAGTCAAGTTGAAGGCGAGGAGCATCTATTTCTAATTCGACAATTCACCCTGCTTCATTGCATAGCAAAAGGAGGATCCTCTTCGAAAGGGCAAATTGAGTAGTACCCCCCTGAACTATTTCCAGTATGCCAGAGGTAAACGAATATGTGTTTTTGAACCAACAAGATACTAAGGGACTAGGCGCGCAGACCAGGTATCATACTTGGACATTGCGAAATACGAGCTACTGTAGGTTCTCTAGCCTTGTGCAAACATCGCAACTGGCGTCCGGACGACTTGGTGGTAACCATCTCGTTGGATGGATGCAGAAATCACCTTCACTGTCTAGATACGGGACATCCTCGACGAACCTATTGATTAGATTCCACGCACTGGACCCACGTATGGATTTGAGGAATATCTCGGCTTCTACAGGGTTACCTTCATCGTCCCAACCAGATTTACGTTGAGGCAACTGCCTCAGTTTCGTGAAGCTGAGCAGTTCAGCAATATCTTCCATTGGTAGGGTAGACAGTGGCATTCTTTTGTAGAAGATTCTGCCTTCCAGAAAGAAGGCTACGTATTCGTAGAATCTAATCTGTGGATCTGTGCTGCAAGGTGTGGTGTCAGCGACACACTTCTAAGGTCAAAATGAATAAATAGCCTACTGTTGATCAAACCACTATGAAAGCTCAGCCGCTGCTCGACTCTCATCCCCGCCCGCAACAACATCCATTATCAGCAGCGGCGGGTCTAGTCCTAATCTTCTCTCGTCTCCGCTCGGGTAAAATATCCTTATGTGTGCCTGTGGCTTGCAAGCAGCGTCGATCGGAAGCCATCCAAAGGCACCACGTAGGAACTGTTGAAGAGGTTGAGAAAGAGAGGTTTTCTGATGGGTTATATACACTGACAGCATTCTTTAAGTCGTCGTCTCCCAAGGTGCTAGATAGACAGAGCCCTTAGTACACGATCTACATCCGCGAGGGCGACGTACAATATTAGGATTTCACAACCAGCCCAAGGATCGCCGAGCTGTGCTTTCTTAAAACCTTGAAAAGAATGCCACTCCAGTGGGAAATATGTCGGAACAGTTCTCCATACAGCTGCAATGCCAGATTGGAAGGACTTGTGCATATCTGAAGCAGTGCTTTGATCCTATTATTCAAGCAAGATTTCACTCGCTCTTGGAGACGAATAATTCGTACCACATCTTCCAACAGGCTAAAGAATTTCATCATCGCTGGTTCCAGAGAATGCTCGTCCCACGGAAATGCAGCCAGGAAGACCTTGAAGTAAGATAGGATGACGGTGATGATATCAACATCTAAGAATGCCTGCACCAACTTGTTTTCGATACCAGCTTTTTTGCAAGGGGGAAAAGAGGGGAAAAGAAGATTTTCCATCAAGGTGGTGTAGGTCCATATTTCACTCCCTGCACGTTGAGGTCCAATTAGCAGGAAGATGACGAAGGAAAGGGCGATACACCCACCTAGTTTCAAATTCAAAATTATGCGAAGGATGCCCAGTCCGAGGTTCTCCTCCGCTTGTCGGACATCTACAAAGAAGTCGCCAGATCTTGAACGATCCACGAAAAAATCTGGAAGCGATGCATGCATAACCTTGATGGGCCTTTCACAACCGGCCACAGTGAAAAGAGAGGAGACATCCCTGAGGTGCCTTTCTACGTCCCCAGGTCGTAGAGAAAGCATCTGTTCAAGCATAGCTGGGCTGGTGAAAGCGTCGGACGGGCCATTAACTTGTTGTATGATGAGAAGCTCGATAATTTGCATTGCAGCTCGGATATCAAAGGCAGACGAAAGGATATGATGGTAAAGCGCGTCCAGCTGCAACAATGGGTTTTCATTCTCGTCATGCGGTAGCAGTCCGAGAATGACTTGAAGGCGATCGTCCGGACGGTGATGGGGGTCATTTATGAATTTCATCGCGACAGACGCATAGATGAAATGTCGCGAGGACTTCTGGACCATCTTTTCGACGTCTTGCTCTTCGGGCCACGACCTCGGCACCATGTGAGGATGAGTACGTCGTACTTCTGCGAATTGATTGACAAGGAACCTCCGAATGTCTTTATCAGCTCGATGATCGTCTGACAGGTTAATGCAAGGGACAAGGGTGCTCTTGAGAAAATCACCATCGAATGTACCAATGATATGGGACTCTGGACGGCTGGCAATGAGGATTCTAACAGGTATCCTAAGGCTCTGAATCATGAGCGCCATCACCCGGAGTATTTCACACTGGGTTTCAAAGTCAGAATGGCCGTCCTGGGTGGTGCATTCGTCGAACCCGTCGATTAAGATGAGGCATGGACAGCTTCGTCCGACGAGTCTCCATAAGTGGGTTGTGACCACCTGGTAGAGTGTATTGAGTGGTCCTAGTAGGAGCCCCTCCATCTGCCTTTTCATATCTCTGTCGAGCAGCGCCGGATCCTGGTTGAGAATACTTTCGAGGTGGGACTGGCTACCGGGTATGGAAACGGCGAGTTGATATGCGATGGTGGGGATGAGCTTTCTGCCGTCGCTCCGCCCAGCCATGATTCGCGAAAAGAATACTGCAGCAATCAGTCGGTGCTCTTGATGACAGCGCTCTGCAATCGTGTACCCCAGAGCTGTTTTGCCAGCACCGGCACCTCCGCGGAGCCAGAGCATAGAGGGGTTCCTGGAGCCGCCATTAATCCAGCCCATTATCGTGTCCATGACTTTGAGGTGGGTTTCAGGGCTGCATTTAGGTTTGTATGTCGGCTCTTTGGCATCCCAGAAGGTCACAGATGCAGCGTATTCGCGAAGGTGCTCGAGACCTGCAACGACGGTAAGTGAGGCACGCCGAACAGAGATTAATGCATGCCTTTCAAGGACCTCTTATCAAAGGCACTGGTTTGGTATGTTGCGATGTTAATTGTCGATTGTACGATGCTAGTATTCTGCGCGGTTGAGAAGATTTGCGCCATTCTTGCTGGGGTGTGAGAGGTGATTCCGAAACGTGAGAGCCCGTGGTCACTGGAAGGTAAGAGAATAATATCATTATTGCTGTCTAGCACTGCTATGGGATGCGATTGTCTGTCGACGACTCGAATGGTGAAGCCAAGGTCTAGTTCAAGTTCAAGTTACGCCTAGGCTAACAGGGGTGGAAACTGACGGACGATCCGGGCCGACGCAGCAAGTCTTCTCTCCCTCCTTTCGTTTCTGATTAAGCAATCCAGAAACAAAAAATGCAATGTAAACTTCTTGTAAACGGACATACTATTTATCTCATTTTCTCCCATTGATAAAGGAAGAAAAAGCCTCAGCCTTTCGAGTGATTTCATATCTTAAATCCAATACAGAGCATACATATTACTCAGAAAAGCCAATCAATTGGACTTCCGAAATGCTTTAACTGGCACATGTCTGGCTACGTGTGGAAACTAGAGAGTCCATGTAAGTAAGCCCCAGTACGGAAGCCCCTTATACGCCGGTTACCGAACGACTCACTAGGGGTCCTTTAAGTTCAATGACAACTTGAAGCTAGAAATGTTTGACGGGGGCACACGCATGCTTGTCGCTTTCCGTTCCATGGGTGGCCGCGCGGCCGGTGGTATTACACATGGACCCACACTGCTTATTGAGTCCTGAATCAAGTGGCGCTCATGGAAGAAGGCACAAAGTGTCCTGAACATGATGGCACTGCACGCTTCGGTTCGAACCCTAAGCTCAATATTGGCGCTCGGCATTGAAAGGTATGGCATAAGTCACATTCTTGCCTTTCTGCGTGATTTTGTTGCTGACCTCCTGACCAGTGTCCGTCGTAGAATAATTGCATTATTCGGCCGGCAAGTAAGCATGGAAGAAGACTTGGACAAAAAATCCAAGAACTCTCGGCGCTGCAATCCCAGCTCAAGCGCGACATCGACATCGGCGATCCTAAGACTATTGGTCGGTAAACCGATCCGGAATCTGTAGCGTTCCTGCCGAAGTTGTTCTTTTCCCCCTGGCAAGCAAAGAACGGCGTAGAGCGGGCCGCTATGAAAATAAGCGCCACATCACATCAGCGTGATATGATCCTAAGCGCTCGGGAAGAGAGATGAAGTGGGAATCGAGATCTTGACTCATTATTATCGCAACGACTTCGACATGGGCGTGGCCCAAGTTGCGCTCAGCGTTTCGTACATGCGTATGCACACCATCACCACGAGACACTGCGACAAGACACGTAGCTCATCAAGGACTCTCGTATAAAGCTCTTACAATTCTTGGAGCGACAGAACAGAGTATCGAAATACCAGGGCTATATTTCCTTCTGGGATGATGGATGCAGGCTTCGGTCTCGTCTCCGGAGTCCGGACCGCGCTCTCCCAATCTCTTGCTCTCCATATCTCAGGCACGGCGCCAACCCCACCGGAGTCGGACCATGCTGTACACAAGGAGAAATGCAAACTGCTGTCGTGTGCTGTTGGTGGACGATTACATTTGACGGAAGGGAGCCATATGGTGCGTCTGTGCAGATAAGGCTTGGCGTGTGAAGGCACTGTGGAGAAATACGCACAAATAACGCCTTTGTGGGTAGTGAGAGGCTTGGCGCTGCTCCCTGCAGTCTATTCTTTAGCTGGTAAACTCCCGGCTTCTCGATACTGATATGCTAACGGGCACCGGGGTGCGCTGAACTTCCGGATTGTCTATTCTGATTCATCATGTTCTGGCGCTAGCTGGTTTCTAAGAATCGAATGGGATCATGGGATCATGAATCCTGCCGATAGAGTCAAATCTCCGGAAGACCCTGCTGGAAACTTGGCACAGTTCTATGTATAGCGAGCTGATCTATTGGACGCTGGGGTTTTCGGCCTTCTCTTCTATGAAAGACTTCGACAACCTGCTGCCTGCGATAAGCTTAGGAAAGCTCGCGGTCATTCTGGATTCTGGACGCAAAACTCCAGTAGACGCTCTCCTGTATATGACGGGTCGTCTAGACGAAATGCTGAATGGCACCGCACGCGGGATTTCAATGGAATAATGCGAGTCCGTAATCGTAATCACTTCAGAGAAGTGTGGACCCATAGTGTGTAAACCCCGCATAATAATGCCTGGTCTCGGCTCACCAGGCGATTGTGCGGTCTTGTTTTTCACCTACGTATCTGGAGACTTTGGATCCGAGTGTCGAATGATAGAGCCCATCTCCACATATCTTGCACATGTCGAAGGAGCATTTATTGATTAGACAACCATCTCCTCGTCTTGTTCCAGGCAGATGGATGGATTTTGTAGTGCTGGCTGAACGGCAGCTAGAGTCGACCTGTGATCTCCCCCGTCTCTACCTTTGTGAAAGCTTCTCTGGGTCCATCCGCCCCCTTCTTGACACTAGCGGCAATAATTAAGCCGGAGGGTGGGATGCATCCGACGAAGGGCTCCGGCGGACAGATCACCACCTCATCGGGTGCGTCCATGCGGTACAAGACATGGTATGACTTTCGTTCCTGAGTGATTATGGATCCCCATGGGTTGTGCAACGCACAATGAAGTCAGCAGTGCTCTATCGCTGAATAGCCGAATACGTGAATGGGAATTGGATTCTGGACAAAAGGTATCGCGTATTGGTACAGAAACTTCAAACCTCAGACTTCGACAGTCACAGAAGGGTGTATTGATTTTTCTGGGATGCGTCTAGGTTCCACCATGCGAACTCATGGATCACGAGTAGCAAGAGAGCCCAGACACCGAATTCCATATGCGTACCAGGTTGCTCACATTTCTTGTCGAGCGCCACCATTTTTGCTAGAATGTGGTCACACCGTTGACCCGCGAGTCAGAATATCATGCTCTGTTGAATGTTCTCCACCGAAGCTTAAGGTAAGAATGTGATGAGGATGGTGTTGATGTTGATGTTGCATGCGGAGACCGGGGACAATTGGCGTCGTGACGGGTTCGCCTAAGTGTCAAAAGTGTTTCGCCCTTATCTTCCACCACGAAAACCTACGAAAATGCCTTTCCCGGGGATTCCAATGGAATTTGCAACCCAGCGACGGTGGGGTCTCCTGGATCGGTGTATAGATGGTGCACTCTTATTCGGGCAGAGATCAGGCTGTTGGCGTGGAGTCCCATGTGTACGCCGTTGGGGGCTGTCCCTTGTCGTATGGATGGGGACGGGGAAGCACGATAGCCAGATTCTTAGTTCTCTGGGAAGGCCAGATTCAGACAGAAGCACCATGCTCTACACCCGCCTCGAGATCCATTCAAATACCGCACCACGTCGTATGGTTTTCCCTTACATCCCCCGATTGTCCAGAGGTCTTGTCCAGTCTCCCCATCGCCCCGCGGGTTGAGCAGCCAACATGAGTACCGCCCTCGAGTCGTCGCCTGTCCTCCACAAGGTGTCTAGCAACACCAAGGAGGAGTACCCCAGCGAGAAGAACCCCAGCTCGCTGGAGGGTGGTCACCAGGAGAAGGAGGAGTCATACGATGACCACGATGTGTGAGTTTCATCCCCATCCCCAGCTCGCTGAGTCTAACATGAACGTTTTCCAGTACGAAGCCCTTTCCCGTTGATCCTGATGAGGTGGAAGAGACGCATCAGCTCACTGTCCGGTGTGTTGCCTTTGTCTCTCAGTATTGTGTATATCCTGACGGCTCCATCTAGTGCTGTTGTCGTCGGTTGCGTGTTGGGTGCTATCGTCGGTGCATCTAATATCTATCTCGGTCTCAAGACTGGATTCACATTCGGCCCCCAGTTATTCGGAGTAAGACGGATTCCTATCAACTCGTCTAGGAAATTGTTGACGAATATCCCATTAGGCCATCTTCGGTTTCGCCATCCTCAAATTCATCTCGAAAGCCGTTCCCGACTCGGGTCTTTTGGGTCGCTTTTTGGGAGGATCGTTCGGACCCAAGGAGAATTGTACAGTACAAAGGTCAGTTGTCCCCTAAAGCTTTTCCGCTGTGATATGTACTCACCGCAATCTAGTGCGGCTACCGCTTCCGGTGGATTGGGTATCCTTTTCGTGTCAGCTATCCCTGCTATGTACCGCCTCGAGCTTTTGTCTACCGACCCATCAAAGGATATTGGCAAGCTTATCGCTCTGACCACATGCGCTGGTTTCTTCGGTGTCTTCTTCGTCATTCCCTTGAGGAAATACTACATTGTCCACCAAAAGCTCACATTTCCGACGCCTGCTGCCACTGTAAGTTTCCCTTGTCGTAATTAAGTTGCATGATTCTGATTGAGTGTCTTAGGCCTACACAATCCGTTCTCTGCACCGAGGAACATCCGGGGCTATCGCTGCCAAGAAAAAGTCGCTCGCCCTTCTGTATGCCTTCATCGCCGTCTTCTGCTTCAAGGTGATGACCGGCTATGCCCCTGGTGTCATCTATGACTGGCACATCGGTTGGACTCTCTACCGATTGGGATTCACTGGCATGATCCAAGTTGAGAATTATGGCTGGATTATCGAGTTTACCCCAGCTTTCTTCGGTGCTGGTATGCTTTCCGGTCTCAATGCCTCGTGGAGCTTCTGTACGTCTTCTCTAAGTCAACTATACCGCCTTTTCTGACTGTCCCACAGTCGGTGGATCTATCTTGGCTTGGGGTATCAGTAGGCGTCATTTACTTTCCTTTTCATGACTAGAGATTGACTTTCTCTTCCTCAGTCGCTCCCTCTCTTGTCAAGAATGGTCTTGCTTTCGGTCGCGTTGCAAGCGAGGAATACCCTCTCGTCAACTACCTCGGAATGTCCTTCACAGACCCTTCATTGTACCTCGAACGCCCCTCCCCCCGTTACTGGCTGCTATGGCCCGGTGTCCTCATCATGTTGATGTACTCCTTCGCCGACGTCGTCCTCACTCTCGCTCCCCTTCTCCGTGGTAAGTTTCTTATCATGAGCTGAGTAGCTTTGAAAAGCTGACCCGAATTGTAGGAATGTCTGGACCTGCTCTTAACCCCGCCAACTGGTTCAGGAAGCGCACCGAGCTCGATCCTGAGGACGAGGACCAGACCCCTCTCGAGGATCGCATCCCCTTGCCCTGGTGGACCATCGGTCTCCTTCTCAGCACCATCATGTCCTGTGCCATCCTTGCTACCCAATTCAACATGAACGTCGGCGAGGCCATCCTTTCCCTCCTCCTTGGCTTCATCTTTTCCTTCATCGGTGTGCAATCGACTGGTCACACTGATGTCAACCCCGTCTCGACCGTCGCCAAAGCCTCTCAGCTCATCTTCGGTGGTATCTCCAAGGGTGTCGGCCTCGAGCCCAAGCCCGCCCAGATGGTCAACTTAACTGCTGGTGTTATCGCTGCTGGCTCCGCTGCCCAAGCTGCTGATATGACTGGCGACTTGAAGACCGGCTACCTCCTCCGCGCAAAACCCAAGAACCAGTTTATTGCTCAGCTTTGCGGTTCCGTTGTTGCTGTCTTCCTGACCTCCGGTCTCTTCATTCTCTTCACCAAGGCCTCACCTTGCATTGTGTAGGTTTTGCATTTCTTCGTCGAGATCAGACAGGTGCTTACGTTCCTCTCAGCGACCCCAACGATGATGGTACTTGCACATACGGTGTGCCTTCCGTCACCGCCTGGGCTGCGGTTGCGGTTGCTGTCACCAGCCCTAGACTCCGTAAGGCCACCCTTTATTGCTCCTTTAGAATACGTCGAACTGACGATAAAATCCAATAGCCATCCCGCCCTCGTCTGGCTACACGGCCATCGCCCTTGGAATCTTCTCCATGGTCACCCTCGTCTTCCGTGTATGTGCTTTGCTGTGTTTCCTTTGCAATGATTTAATTCCTAACCTTCCTCGTCTACAGAACTACTTCCTCCCTAAGAAGTACTGGCACTGGGTCCCCAACTGGAACGCCGTTGGTCTTGCCTTCGTCGTGCCCCAGGTGTATTACTCCATTGCTATGGCTGCCGGCTCCATTTTCAACTATCTCTGGATGCTTCGCAACCCCGTCGGATACGACATGTACATGTTCGCTGTCTCGGCTGGTATGCTCGCTGGCGAGGGTCTTGGTGGTGTCTTCCAAGCACTCCTCGCCATCGCTGGCGTTGATGGCGGCAGTAAGTCTCCTGTCCGTTTTATTTACTTTTCGTTCGCTCACGGTTTCTTCGCAGAATATGGAACCGCCGTCGGCTGCCCCGGTATCGAGTACTGCGGTTGAGAAGACATTTTCTCGCTGTCGTTGCTTTCTGTTATTACCCTCCTATATGATGGGCTCATGGAGATCTGTACTTTTGTTATAATATTAGAGACCTGTGCCACGAATATGTTTTAATAACGATATTTTTTCACGCCCCTCTTGCTTCTTGACAGTGAGACGCTGGTTTAAAGCATCCCGTTCATCAAACGATAGTAAGTATATAGAATGCTGACTCGTGCAGGCGAACTAGGACTCAGCTCCACAAAGTTACGCATGATGCATGCTGGCTGATAGATGCCTTCAGGATCGAAGTTGAAGACTTCCTCGAGCACGGAACACGCTGTGGAAACTTCCACATTCCTTGATCCTTCCAGAATAGGCCGCGTTAAGATAATTCGGACCACGAAAGACCCAGTCAGTAATATTCACCCTATAAGCTGAAGCATAGGCAGGACGAACATCTAATTAAGAACTAACCACCAGCCACATGGGCGTCGCGTAACATCATTGCCCCACTAACATGTTTGTACAAAAAAGAGCGACGCTGTACAGAAATAGATTACTGAGCATACGTTTTGCAAGGAAGAAAGAGAAAGAGAAGGGGAAACATATGGTTTTACTCGCCCGTGCGCATGGAAGGGCCATGCAGTTGGGAACGCTGCGATTTCTTCAGCTGCTGCTCTTCTTTCGCGACCTCATCACTTTGTTGCGTAAAGCTTTTTCTTTCAGTTCGTTCTCGCGTTTCTCCAGTTGTACCTTATTCGCGTCCTGCTAGATGAGAAGAATAAAGTCAAAAAATTGCTCTATCTTGCAACAACGGGATGACCCACATCGTCATCAGCGTCCCACTTACTTTTCCTACGTTCTATTTCTGCTTGGCCCTTGATTTTCAATTCTCCAAGTACACCTCCGCCACCAGAACCCTCAGGAGGAGAGTCAACGTCCATCCTGGTATCCTCTTCACGACTGGAAGCGCGAGGAGAGCGAGAGCGAGATCTACTATCTCGGCTGCTGCTATCGCGCCTGGGATTCTTGCCTAATGTTCTGTGACCTCGACTGTGGCTTCTCCGGCGCGGAGGAGGCGAACGAGACCTTGAACCCGACGGGCTGCGTCTACGACGTCGAGGACTCATGCTTCTCTTCCTTCCTACGGGTGTGCCACTATGTCTACGCGCGTACTTGCGAGGAGGGGACCTTGAACGACTGCGAGAAGCCGAAGTCGATCGAGGAGACGTGCGACGGCGCCTGGAGGGGGGTCTACGACTGTCCCGCTCTTTTCCACGGCGGGCTCGCTCGCGCGGAGGACTTATAGGTGATCTTGGTCTCCGTCTGTTTGGCAGAGGAGACCGAGATACAGAACGAGAAGGAGACCGACGCAGAGGGGTTGGTCTGCGGCCTGGAGATGCCCTTCTCTTGCCGGGAGGAGACCGTGGTCTCGAGCGCGAGCGTGACCGACAGCTGGCTTCGTAGGAGGGAGACCGGCGACGAGGCGGTGACCTGAATCGGCGCGGTGAACGGCCCCCTTTGGGAGTAATGGAGCGAGAGCGACGACGAGGTGGTGGCGAACGTGAGTTTCGACGTCGAGATCCCTGAACACAACTGTCAATACCCTTGCCTTCTGCTAAAAATCAATGCAACAACTTACACCGGGAGGACCTCCACCTCTGGCACCCCATCCAGCGTCACGCGGCCTGTCCCCTCCACGACTGTCATCAAAGCCACCACGACCTCCGCGACCGCGACCGCGACCTCGACCTCTCATTCCTCCTCTACCCCCTCTCTCGCCGTCACGAATTTCGTCAAGGCGGGCACGACGGTCTCGTTCGTCAATGGCCCGTGTATCGTTCTCGCGAGCTCTTCGCATCTCTTCCTTCTTCTGTTCCACAAACGTCCGTGGCACACCAGTCACGTCGTCTTGCGCCTCAAGAAGCAGCTTCCACAAGGCATTCATGAAAACCGGAGTGTCTTTAGTGAGGAAACCCGTAAGGTTGATTTGCATTTTCCTGGGGTCCGGCATCTATGACAAGGTCAAGACATGGGGATATGAGAGGCATTTTGAGAGCGCACTGGTTGTGATTCGTCTTCGAGAAGACCCATGGCGTATTCTACAACGACTTCATCCTCAAATCCAATGAGTTCCACAATCTTTTTGGCTACCCAAGGTCTGATGACGGTCAGATTGACTTTCCTCATGTCGACCTACCACACATTGTTAAATTAGCCTAGTACGAGGAAGAAGTGGGATTAGAGCACCTTTTTGTCGAACTCAGGAGGAAATTTCATCGTTTTGAGAAGCTTGACCTCCTTGTCCGAAAAGCGTCTGTCCTGGTCCGCAGAGGTTCCTTTGAAGAATCCTGTTATAAGCCGTGGAAGTCAGCACGCGAAAACAGTATATCAGGGAAATTTTCATACCGGCGTCCGCCATGACGAATAGAGAAGTCTGTAGTACTACAAGGTAGATGATGAGAGTTTGACGTCGTGACGTTTGTAACGACAGAGCGTGTGAACAAACTTCCGGAATCGGCTTGCAACCAAAAAAAAAAAAAAAAAAAAAGGGGGAACCACAATAGCTTGACTTCAGATTTCTCAGCGATATATGTACCGTTGCATTTATACTTCAACTCTGTCAAAAATTAGGCATATCTCAATCACTTTCAAGGAGAGGGAGGGGAAACAGAACTGCAAAGCAGTCGCGGATGCTCCCTAAGTACTTGACTTTGAGCATTCGAGTATGGCATCCGCAAAGTAGCACCCTGCAAGTGCGCATAGATTTCAAAGATAAAATTCTATCTACTCTCAGAGTGATATATTTATTGTTCTTGTCAATAACGTATACAGGGGTATCAGGATGAACAGGCTGAACTTTGTCGGCCCAAATTATGATGGAATGGCATGAAAGTCGTTGATGTTGCTGAATGCAATCTCGGATTCTCAGAAGAGAAATTTTACATATGGTTGTGAGGGGCTGGTTTGGAGATACTTATACGTCATTCTGCGTATGGAAATAGTTTCCACATTTGGTCATAATGCAATTGAGGTCTCTTAGCGATTGCTAATGCAATGATAGCAATTGCGCTCATACTAGCCGAAATGGGGCTTCTCTTATCCTGATTAAATTCCTAACTGAGTCTTAAATAATTGGGCGCCAAGTATGTTTTACATACGGAGGCCTACTGGCTAGATATCACGACTTTCGAGTCCTACTGGAGATACGGGATAGTCCTTGACTCCGAAAGACATTGGAATCAATGTAACAGGCTTCTGAGTGATGAAATCAGACTCTGGCAGTCCCGTGCAATGAATAACGGCACTAACAGTTGTGATGGATGGTACTGTTTCAGGAAACAGAATACTCTGAGACTCCGGCGTAATAAGTCCATTGTTCCAGTTTTCCCGATTCTACGCCCGAGAAGATGAGATACAGAGTAGAGGTCAACGGAGAGGAGCCACTTACGTTCAGAGTTGCGAGGATGAAATTCCCATAAAGCTTCATGAGCGTCACATTGAAGACAAACGTTCTATTTTCGGGGAATATCAGAGCAGCCCGAATACCACAGCAGAGGAACCAACATCGAATTTTTAGTCTGCGAGAAGTCGGATCAGTGATGAAGGAAACAATCTTTGGTTTTTCATGTTTACCATGGGTAGGACGATGGCAGTGACGACGGTTGCAATGGCAGAAAGAGATCTGGAGGTCGAAGTTGACGGTGAGCATCTGTCGAATCAGGTCAGCGAGTTATGCTTACAATGTGAGCCCCGTTTGAACCGTGACTAGATCTATTGTGAGCTCGTCCCACGACAAAAGAAAGCTCGTCACTGACACACGACTATTCGAACGATCACGGCATCAGTCGTCCCAAACCCCGTCCTCCTCTTGTACTAGACCGAGAAGTAAACTCATCACATGTTGGCGCCAATTCAAATAAGACGCACCAGGCTCCACGAAAGTGAAAGAGTAATTAAGATATCTGCTACTGTTGCAGAAATCATCCACACGAGGCCGGATTCGTACAAGACAATCGGTACACGAGGGAGAAATATCCTTGTGTTATGCGTTGCAATTGTTACCCAGATTCCGCCCGCTATCAGACTAGTCAGTCCAAACGTCTAGTATACTGCCATCTTCCATACCAAAAGAGATAATGGAAAAGAAACAGATGGCTAGGGCGACCCAGGGAGAGCCTTGAAATATCCTGATGCGCCTAGCTATGAATATTTGAATAGGTGTAGAGATTGCAACCTATGGCACTACATGTCAAAGGAAAGGTAGAATCGGACAACGTCGGGCCAACTTACCACAATCGCTGGTTCTGCACGGAGAATTAATCAGGCAAACAGGATTATAGCTATTTATTAGGGGAAGGGCCAACCAGCGATAAGGCCTACAAAAGTGGTGGTATCAATGGCTCGTTTTCTAGCAAATGCGACTTACCAGCCGGTATTCGTGTAACCGCAATTTCTTGGCCTATATGACATCCCATATTATAGTTCGGTCCTATGTAAGAAAGGCACTACGAACCGAAATATTGGATTAAAGGTTGATAGATCATCCACGTCGTGGTCACGCAGCCGACGGTTTCGAGGAGCACAACGTAGGAAACCTAAGAAAATAAAGCAACGGTGAACGGAGTAAAATTACCCAGTACAATGTGGCCTACAAAATATTTAATTGCGGGCTTGTCACTAGGAGGTTAGATGAGATCCTGACATTGGACATAGGCGCATCGGAAACTCACTTTGGAAACCGAAGGAAGTAGTTGTACGTCTGTATCCGAATGGTCAACCAGGTTTCAAGCCTGGAGCAGAAGAGCGTGATAGAACCTGGCTGAATAGGACCTGTTGACCCTCGATTAAAGAGCTGAAGGAGAACAGAGAAGGACAACGCTAGTCGAAAGTAATTATAATAGTTGAAATCAAAGCTAAAATTAAGTGGTTTACCGGAGGAATTTTTCAACCTGAACACGGAGATCATGAATCGGAGAGAGCGGGGTAACATTGCGAAGTCTTCGCAGTTCTGAGTTATCAGGAAGAGAAAAGTCAAGTGACGTTGTCGGCGCCACATCCTGCCATCGGGATTTGCCGAGGCGAAGACATGGCCACAAGGGCCAAAACCCACATCTTGGTTATATTTCGCTGGATACAGTGTATGGAATAGCGTCGGTATCGACGCATCACGAATCAGAAGGTGTCAAAAGCGTACATATATATTATGCAACGAGTGGTCCGAATCAGCGTGTTGTGGACACGATCGACTCCTTCTGTCCCCACCGGCCGACCTGGCCCCGTAGACGCAGCACTTTGTCATCACAAAAGAAACCTTCCATGCGCAAGTGACACTGGTTTCATCGATATTCGGGAGGTAAATCGAGGACGCAGGATCTGCATTTGATGTCTCAATCGAAATGATGCGAATCGCCCTTATGGTTGAAGTCCAACGAGTCTGGAATGTGGCAGGGCGGTACCGAATCGGAAGCCCTTGAAGGCGGCCTCTGCATAATGTCAAAATCAGTATCAAATAAGTAGACGCAAACAGTGGGGGCAGGGTCTGCACCTCGTGTGGTATCGAAACTGTCGGCGTCACATCAGGGAACAGGATACTTTGGTGTACCGTTTGGCTGAGGTCGTTGCTCCAGCGCGCTCGGTGCTACGGCATAGAATACGCTCAGAGATGAGGAACGAGAACGGCAGCTGTTTAGACTAACTCACATTCAATGTCGCAAAGATGAAGTTCCCGTAAAGCTTCATCAAACCGACGTTGAGTATGAATGTACTTGAAGTGGGACGATGGGTAAGTGAACGACGCCACAAAACCATGTCCGATGAGCGTACGTTGAGTTGGTTGTCTGCATCGTTGGAAGGTCAGCTCAATGTCGGGTTTCTAGTGGTAGGAACCTACTTACCAAGGGTAACAGAATTACTGTAATTACACTTGCTATGGCGGCAAGCGACCTAAAAGATCAACGTGAGTCAAAAAAACTCAGCTCTCGCTCGGATTGAAGGCCACAAACAGTATCGCTCCTGTTTGTACAGTAACTACATGGTAAATTTGTCGAGGTTAGCAAGCCATTCAGTGGGAGCAATGTAGCGGATCTGACACAGAATAATACGCCCAATGACGGCATCAGTTGAACGGAAGCCTGTCCGTCGTGTATACTGTCCCGAGTAAATTGAGTGGGGAATGTGACCCATGAACACGACGACATACCAAACTCCAAGAGAGTGTCGCAGCGATCAGACTATCTGCTATTGCCGCAGATACCATCCAGAGCATAGCGGGCGCGTACATGTCAACTGGGTATCGATCCGAGTATCTTCCGAACCGTCCTGTTGCGACTGAAGCCCAGATACCTCCAGCTGGACGATGGGTAAGCAGGCTGACTGTATGCGCAGGAGGAAGGCGGGGTAACGCACTGAAGGAGATCACAGAGACGATGCAGATGAGGAGCGGGATCCAAATTGATCTCTGGAGTCCCTGGATCCGTTTTGCGACAAAGAAGTGGGTGGGCGTGGCAATTAAGACCTGTCATGGATAGAAGGTGAATTCAAGACGAAAACTTGAAGACTACGAGTTTTACCACGACAGCAGGCTCTAATGGTTGGAGCAAGGTTCAAGACGAATGGATACCAACAGTCGAGTACCCAAAAACGACATACCTGCCACCAGACCTTTCAACGGCAGAACATTAGTACAGAGGGTTGTCTAGCCTTAAGGGGGCACCTACCGACAGGCAATTCTGTCAGCACAGACTCTCGACCTGCAGGCACGTCAGAAAGCTTGCTCTTCATCCGAACGAGCAAAAATCAAACCGAAATCGACTACCAAAGGCTGGTAGATGATAAGGATGGTGATAACCGCACTAATCGTCTCCAGTACCAGAATGTACACGACCTACGGAATGGGAGGGAAATATTAGCAGTTGCTTCGAAACGAGCTGCGAATGGAGCGTACGAAGGACTTGATGGCTGGCCTGTCGCTGTTCGGCCAATGACGGTCAGTCGTCATTTTCGACGATATGGGGCTGTAATGCGTACCTCTGGTACCGAAGGAAGTAGGTGTATGCCTACACGAGGGAAGTTGAAAAGAGAGCAGAAACAAAAAAGTGGAGATGGGCGAACCTGGCTAAAGAGAACCTGTTTTGACATCGTCAGTCGTGCTTCACACTAACGGATCATAGTAAATCATGCGTTACTCCTTGCAATATCATAGATAACAGGGTGCCCACGAGCATGGGCCCATATCTGATAGCCAACAGATTCGAGAGATTCAGCCTCTCGATCAACCGCCCATGAAGAAAGTGGGGAACAAACAGGTTTCTGACGTCGATATCGCCCTCCATCGTCGGACGGCTTCATGCACCAGTTCCCGGAAAAGCGAGGAGCGCAGTGGGTTGGAGTCAGCCAGCAAAGCAAAGTGGATTGAAAAGCGCTGTGCTGAGTAGTGCGATGTCCTATGTACATATACCCGTATCCCGGTCTCCCAAGTTTGCGATACGACCGGACCATTGACCGCTCGTGATCTTGATATGTCAAGGACCCATAACAGAGGACGGTTGATTCTGACAAAAGGTCAGCCTTGTCCTGACGATGGAGGGCCGATGCGGCTTGAATCGGCCTCGATGACCGGGCCAGGGTAGGTCAATTTAACAGATCTTGGGCTTTCCGGAAGGGTGTCTAGGCTATGCATTCCAAGGCACCCAGATGCCCGTCGTCAGAAGAACGGTACGTGAGTTACGCCAAGCGCGCAGTCGTCAGTTGTAGCTTTCAGGACGGCCAGGAGGGCTGGCAGTGGCGCCACACCATTGAGAAGTCATCTTGAGTCATGCACTCGTCGGAATCATTTGCTTCAATTTACCCATAGATATAGCTTATACGCGCTAAGGATCTGCGTTAGAAAAGAATCGAGGAACGCAATGACGAACTTACAAATAACGACCAAAGTTCAAGCAACGCCATAGAGGTTCAAGGCAAAACTCGGGAAACTTGGAACACGACAGCATTCACTCACACAAGCAGGCAAAGTGATACAGAAATAAGATGAATTAGAGGCGAGGAAATAAATATACACAAAATACAGTAAGACCGATAGAAGAAAATCGCCAATTACTTGGCACCTGCTGACGAGAACTCTGCAGTACGCGTCAGAAGGGGAAGACGAGAGCAAGTTCAAACAACTCACTCGTTACTGATTTGGTACCCTCGGAAATGGCGTGCTTGGCAAGTTCACCAGGCAGGATGAGTCGTACTGATGTTTGGATTTCGCGGGAGGAGATGGTGGACTTCTTAGAGTAGGCGGCAAGTTCTAGGGAACTGTCAGAGGCGTCCAAGCATGCTAGATGAATAACAACGTACTGGAAGCCTCGGTGGCAATTCGTTCGAAGATATCGTTCACGAAGGAGTTGAGGATGGCCATCGCCTTGTTGGAGATACCAGTGTCGGGGTGGACCTGCTTGAGGACTGAAATTGGAGCGTCAACAGAGTTTGAAGAACTAAGAAAGAGATAGACAAACCCTTGTAGATGTAGGAGGAATAAGTCTCCTTTCTGACCTTCTTTCTCTTCTTCTTCTCGCCATCGGCAGGCGCTGCAGCCTTGGAGGTCTTCTTAGCTGCCTTCGCGCCTTCGGTAGATTTGGCTGGTGCCTTCGAGGCGGTGGAAGCAGGGGCCTTGCCGGCAGTGGAAGCGGGTTTGGGGGCCATTGGATGCGAGTTGGAGGTGGGCGAAGGTGTCGGCGGGTGATGGTTAGGAGAAGAGCGAGTGGGATGACGGTTGTGAGCAGGTGTCGGTTATATACAGGCGCGTTCGTGTGGCTTTGTTTGTTCGCACGCGTCTTTGTTGATCTCTCCGACCGCGTTTGTGACTCACGTGACTGCGTGAAACCTTATTTCGTTTGTTGACTGGCTCGTGCGGCTCTTTCTTTCCACTATAAATACAGAGCGACCATGACCGTCGACACCTATTGCTCTTCACCCCACCCCATCACTCAGCCACTCACACCCAACCCACCCTAACCCTCCCCAACCCACACCTACATCAACAATGTCTGGCAAAGGCAAAGCTGGCAAGTCCGGAGGCAAGGCTGCTGGTGGTGGTGAATCCAAGTCCCAATCGCGTTCGGCCAAGGCTGGTCTCCAGTTTCCCGTCGGTCGTGTCCACCGTCTCTTGAAGAAGGGCAACTACGCTCAACGTGTTGGCGCTGGTGCACCTGGTAAGCTTGCTTTCTTTGGCACTTCTTTCCAACTGACCTTTGTCGCGCAGTCTACCTCGCTGCCGTCCTTGAATACCTTGCTGCTGAGATTCTCGAACTCGCTGGCAACGCCGCCCGTGATAACAAGAAGCAACGTATTGTCCCTCGTCATCTTCAACTCGCAATCCGCAATGACGAAGAGTGAGTCATTTTAACCAACATTGGTCCTTCGGGGTGCTTATCGATTGTGTCATCAGGTTGCAAAAACTCCTCGGTAACGTCGTCATCTCCCAAGGTGGTGTCGTGCCACACATTGCACCTGTAAGCCATCCTTTATCTGTATCATCAGAGCTGCGCTGACCTGCGACTCTAGGAACTCCTGCCAACGAAGTCGGGCAAGGGCAAGAAAGATGAGGCAATTAGCCAAGAGCTTTAGATTTCTTCCATTGTTTTTTGCTGTGATTGTATATTCATTTTCAGGTTGTATATTCGCATTGTATTATTCCCTTCTATCATAATTATTGCGCATTTCCCCTCGGACATTTTCCTTTGTGTGATCTTCGTTGTTATTGTCCCCACCATGCAGACTACTCTCAGTAAGTTGTTATCTTTTGAGTGGTGCTCTGGCGACTGATCAGGTGGTAGGAATGGTTTTATTCGAGTTGTTGGGCGATTTGCCTCTTCCACAACCTCGGCCATAGTGCCTCCAGCGCGTGAAGGTGTTTCAATGCCATACATACTCGAGAACATTGACATGCTTCCGACTCCCTGCTATTGCAACCTCTTGTTGTCGTCGATAGAGCTCCAATTGATCTCCAGGTGAAGCCTGGCGTATTGGCTTCTTGGTATGACACTGGCAATAGAGCTGTAGGTCCTGGTCCTGGTCATCCCCGTGGCTTACTGAGATTATTCCTTAGGCAAGGCGGACCCTAATTGGGACCTTCCATGTCCGAGCCTCCTCGATGTCTCTGGTCCTGACACCTTTCAAATCAACGACTATGTGTTGTGGTTCAAGCCAACCAGCTCTCAGCCTTTCTCCGCCATCCGCTTTAGAGTGCATCGACCATCGGTCCACCCTTCGTGCCCCATAAGCGCAAGTGCAAGAGTCATGTCAACGATCTAGCATACCTAACTGCAACCTCGGGCCCCGCAGCGGCTGCACCCACCGTCATGGATTCTGAGCAAACATTTTACTTGAATTCTACTCGTGGCCGCTCGCCTCCACCCCTCCATCGTTCGGGGCCCTCCTTAGGGCCAAGCAACTTCTCGAAGCAATTCCTTCTCAGCCTGGTCCTGACGGTATCCAAACGGAATCCCCGTTTAAGTTCTCGCCTTCATGTTGGAAGTATCCAAGCCCTGTGGAGGTTGATTCGTCCGAGCCCTCGTTGACTAGTGGAAGAATTTTTAGGACCCACTACTGAGCGTGGGCCACGGCGATCTCCTTTTGCGCTTCGGACAGCGCATGACCAGTAAAGGATGGAAGAGCTCTAAGATATAAGAGTTTATTGGCCTGATCACTCCGCCATTGTATGATATCAATGCTCGATGAGATTCTTTCCAGTTCTGAAGGATTTATATTATTACCAACCAACCAAATCACTTCGACTACTTGATGTAGTTGAGATAGTAATCCCTTGCCGTCGTCAAATTATCAACATTCATCCAATCGACACCACCGTCCAATAGTTCCTTCCATACTGCCTTCATCGGACCATCGATACCCAAAAATTTGCCCGGAGATCCCCAAAATCTTACTTTAATGCCACGCGCATGCGCATTGGCGACCAAGCTCCTAATAGTAGCCCTCGAGTTGGCGCTAATACTCCCAATACCGAGCCAGCCGACGACGGCCAGGTAATCAGCTGACGCGAGCGGGGAGAGGGTATTGGTATACTGGGTATTGGTGCCGGGTGCAAGGGCAGTGAGGGGCGCGTCGAAGAAAAATGTGCGTGGGTTTTGGGCTTGGACAAGGGCCAGGGGAGTGTTGCCTGTGCCGACGACGGTGATGGCCGATTCGGTGAGGACGCCGTTAGCGTAGGTGGTCAGGTAGCCTGCATCGGCGAGGGGTTTGAGAGCAGCGACAATAGGTGGGAAGGCACTGCGTGTGGGTAGGTTAAGATCGGGAATTGAAAGAGGGTTTGCAGTGTGTGCTTACGCATCGCCGTTAGACTTGGGCTCAATCAAGAGTTGTAAGGCCGTGTTAGGCGACGATGGCCAGAGGCCTCTGTGGGAACTCGTCAGAGTGGTTTAACGTAGCTGATAAGTAGACGGCGTACTTCGGCCTCACGCCGGGCTTGACCCCACCAGGGTTGGCTGCGTTGAGCAACGTCAGGAGTGGCTGCACATACAGCGACTGGAGTGTGCGAGAGGAGTCGCGCTCTATCTCCAGGTGTGCGACCTATGTACGTGCCATTTAACGCTGGATCCAGAAAGCAAAAGGCAGGGTAACACACAAAGAGGGTGTTATCGCGCCACCAGATGTCCGCCTCGATACTCGACGCCGAGTTTGCAAGCGCATCGCACAGTGCAATATTGCGGGTGTCTGTAAGAATGTACACATCCGAGTCAGCCGGGGCAATGTAAATTCAACTCGGTGTACTTACAGTCATTGTGCGAATGGATAGGGAGCGGGTTGATACCTGCAGTCGAGCCACACACCGCACGCTTGGCCAGAGAGAAGAAGTCTTCTGGCGTGGGAGCGGCAGAGATGCCAATGGGCACGGCAAGGACCCAGAAGAAGGAAAGGGCCACCATTATGTCTAATCATCTTCAAGGTATAGCCAGGTCTTTTATACCTGAGCGCGTGTGTAAAGCGATGCATCCATTGTCGGTTTTTACCAACGTTCGCTGCCTTTTCGAGCCCGTGAACAACGAGATCCATATGGCAAAACTACTAATGCAATCATCTTCGCGATTCGCGCGACACGATGTCAGTTCCAAGTCCGAGTCTACACGCTCCCGACGTCATATGCGCACCACATGACAACAAAACTGCTGATGAGCTCTGATGAGCTGAGTTCTAGCTTCTCGCACCAAATTCATGAAAAACGTTTGATCCTTCCTGTACAGCTAATTCGACCTCAAAGCAACAGTTCGGCGTCAATTTTCTCGCTCTCTTGTCGCTGAGGGAACGTGTGGTACTGGTGACGGTATCATCATCCATCCAATTATTGCGCAAAGCCTTTATTCTGCCTTATGACCTCTTGCAGACAACCACCTCTGCATCTTGTTCCTTGATAAGGTCCCCAAAAACGAGTGAAGAACATCTTGTTTCCGTTGGGAGTTGGACGATCGGGAGTAGGAACTGGGCTTTGTTTGAGGTGTACTCGTCTCGGTTGGTCCGAAGAATTCATGGAGGATGCCATGAGTCGGTCTTGAACCTGGGCTCTGGAATGTACCAACAGTGTCAAAATCTTGCCTCGCCAAACTGGACGGATATCGCTGGATCGCTTGCATGGTGTTCTGTCTTCCAATCCTCTCCGAGGTTGATCCTCGATAAATCGTGGGCAGGCACGTCAGTTGGATCATGCAACGGAAGGCTCTTAAAATGCTGGGAATGCGGTGTTTGGGACTGAATTGACTCGCTGTCGGACTGATGCTCGCGCCGGCCTACTAGATATTGTCTGGCTTGCACTTTTAGCTTGTCGAGGCCACTTTGAGCTTCCGGCTGGCCCTGTGGTTGCAATGATGAAACCAGTAAACCGTAGGAGCATTCCAACCCGAGAGTCCTGCACTGGTCGCAAGTTGTTTTCCCATCTCCTGGCGAGGCACACTGAAAAACATTATATTAGTAGGCAACAGAAAGGGAAAGCTGCATCTTACCCTGCGGTGTGATTGCATGCAAGGGTTGCAAAAGATGTCTCGATCTGTTGTGTGAGGTTCAGGTAGGGACAGTAAATTTTCCAATCGCTGTTTGACCGGACGCAGGGCGTGGTCGAAGTCTATGGCCAATTGCTGTTGAAGACATGCGAATAGTGTCGTGACGTCTTGCGGCTGTCCAAGGAGCTGAATGCGTTGGAAGAGAGCAGAACAAAGATGGAGCAAGACATCGAGACGTTGGTACTGGTAGTCAAACTTCAATTTGAGAGCATGCTGATGATACCAAATCGACTCGTCTAGATCGTTTCGCAGTGAAAAGCGCCAATACCGCTTCAGGAGTGAATGAGCAAGTTTGCGCATGGCTTTCGGTCTATCGGCGTGCTCCTGAGGAAGGAGATCCAGCTCCCTGCGAAGGCTGCCAATCGATTCATTCAGGATCACATCCATCTGTAAGTTGCTTCGTAGATCGAGGATCTCGTCGATGGTCAGGAGTCTATTCGAGTGTCCAGCGAGACAAGCAATGTTAGTCTGGTGGGTGGGGTCATGAAACGATAGATGAGGTGAAAATGACGATTTTAAATCGCTAAGCAAACCGAGTAGAAATGGTCGGCGAGCCTGGATAGAACCAAAAAGATATCGTTCAATGTTGGCACTGTCCGCAGCAATGTCCATAAGTATCGATCCCATCTCGTCCAATTCCAGGTCTGAAAGCCAGAATCAATCATAGTAGCCTTCATCAAAGGTTGGAGAGTATTGCTTACTTCCTCCGTATGATCAATAGGTTCCAGAAACACCACCCCTACGAAGAAATCCTCAGCTCCATTGAATTAAAAGCTGGAGAGGAAACAAACCGTTATGTTCGCTTACAACATTGAGGGAACATATTTGGGAAATGAATTCGGCGGGTTCATAAAGCTGCCGTTCCTGCTGAGCAATGGAAATGGACAATTGATGACGGGCTTAGGCAGCAAATATAGTATTTGGACATTCTTACAGACGAGAGAACCCAGTGCCAATCTCTATCGCTTGTGACGGCCATCCTCGCATAAGGAACCTAATTCCACGGAAAATGTAAGGATATGTCAGAAAGTTATAGACAAAGACGGTGCTGACCTCCTGAAGCAAGAATTCGTTGATGATTTTTGACGGATGAACTGTATACTGCACGCATCATGAGGGACATTATATTGATCAGGTATATCTATTCACTTACAGGAGTGGTCGAAGAGTGCTCCACAATCACATTTGGGTTCGACGTTGGCTCTGAGTCATTTGCAAAAGAGCTTGATCCTTTTCTGCCCCCAGATGTCGCGACAGTGTCGAGAGATGGCGTCCCGGAACTACCTCCGCTCTGACCTGTGGAGGGATTTGACGATTGGCAGTCGGTATTTGAAGAGGAAGATGGCCCGGTCTCTGTCTTAAAATTTTCGTTTCTGAGCCTCTTCCAGGTTTCTTCCGCCAACGCGACACTCAATGTTCGCATGAAGAGACACTGGTTGCGCAGTGGCCGCGCTGCCGTGGCTCCCAACTCCTCGTTCTCGCTGGCGTCAGGTCCCACTCTCGCCTCCGCTGACCCAAGGTGCTCCCAGGTGTACATAGGGCCGGATGATTGCGGCCCCCTCCCGCCAAGGGCGCAGAACTGCAGGCGGACGTTTGATTGATCCTCAGCGGTGCTGGAAAAGGTCGCCATTCCCCAGCCAGTGGTCTTGTCGCTGCCGATGACGAGCCGCACATCGCCATTCTGTGCTTCCCGTCCGCGAGGCCCATTGACAAATTTATACCAGTTCTCTGCATGAACAGCAATATATTCGCGGAATTTTGAGACGTTCCCAAGCTCTTCATGGTAGGCCCCTTCAGGCATCGCTAAAATTGCGCCTTCTGATGCCGACGACTCGAACGTATAGCCCCTGTGAATAAATGGAAGGTCAAGGGTGTTCCGGAGGATGGGGAAGGTCAGAGCGTACTTACAAGGAATCCACTCCCGACTGTGCCTTCGACACTGAAGAGCTCGCCAAGTAGCTTCCAGCTGTGAATTCCAAAGATTCCCGAATATCTGTTGGGTTCAACGTTGGTCGGAGAGGTTCAAAACCTTCCGGAAGCTCTTCTGGGTTTATTGGGTGGTCCGCCGGTAGACATATATTGAAGAGGAAGTCGAACGCCCCGTACGCAGTGATGATACCAACATCTCCTATGGATGCTCCTTTGGCCCGGTATGGTATTGGAAGTCGGAGATTTGGTTGCGGTATCCAGAGAGGGTAGCCTCTGCCCTTGCGCATGAGGTGCTGTTCATAGAGGACGTTGCTTCGCTGTATTGGTCGGATTGTGTTCTGCTCAGGTGGCTAGACCTTCTATCAGCGTCTCAGTCGCGATGAGCTTCAGATTACTTACAATCCGACGACCTTCTCGGCCTGATCTTCTGGAATTGGCAGTGTTTTCTGTGTGTAAAGGTCATTTTGGATGGAAGGCAAACGAAGGATCCTCATCATACCACCAAAATGGCGGGGCAATCTCCCTATGGGTGACCTGTCTTCCTCACGAGTGGTCTCCCCTTCTGACGGTCCGCTTTCTATGAAAAGATGTGGCCATATTCATTAATTCGTGACCCGACTTTTTTTATGAGAGAACCACATACGATTGTAATTGTAAACAGTCACATAGCGATTAGAAACTGGACCATGCTGTGCGACGAACTGTCCTCCAGAAATGCCAACGTTGCGAGAAGAATCGAACATGGAGAGCCTGACATATTGCCATTAACTCCTGGTAAAACTGGGGGACAAACATCCTCACTGTCGCGATGCTCTGGGTACATTGGTGGCTCTGGGTACACTGTTAGAGTCATTTGGTGAGGGAGATGGGTCCTGCGCTTGGGTGTTAGTCGCCTGTCTTCGTTGCTGGCCCAGTGGGAGGCTGCTCCCTCGCCCTCTTGATACTGATCGCTCAGGCTATCGAAAACGTCAAAAGTTAAACATTGAACTGCTTGGCCATTGTTATAAACAACGCACCCGTGGCCTTTGGTTCTGAATTGACTCCATAGTCCCGGAAGGAACAGCTGTTCGCGTGGGGGTTGAGTGGGTCTGGACTCTGAACGTTGGGCACAGCCAGCAGTTCAATTGTACCATTGGGGAGATCCTGGGAGTTTCCATGACATCTACGCTCAAACTTCAGGGGCGATGCGAATACCTGGTCACTAGAGCGGCGTGAGTGAGGTGGAGGTTTCGTAGAAGCAGTGTATAGCTAAAAGTCGATATCCGAAGTGACTTATTGCAAACAAATTTCTGAATTTCCGACCCAACAAAATATCGATTTGCAGGTCTACAATTATCATATTACATCAAGCTTCGACATCAACATAAGTTTAGACGATGAGAGGGAAAGAAACTCGGAACAAGAGGAGGGGTATTGTCATATACGATGCATGGAATAAACAGGGTGCTATACAATAAACCAGCAAGATAGACGAAAAACACGGAACTTAGGCAGTAGTAGTGGCAGGAGCGTTGGCAGCAGTGTAGTCCTGACGTCGATTGTTAGATACAACGGAGCTATAGGAAGGAGGGCCAAACGAACCTCCATCTCAGCATCAAGGTCGGCGGCGGTCTTCGGAGGCCGCTCGCTCTTGCGAGCACCGCCCCTACCTTTACGAGGTCTTCCTCCACCTCGAGCACCAGCCCTACAACCATAATCAGGTTCTTGTTCCTAAAAACTGACAGGTCGACCGACCTTGCGGGTTGAGTGGCAGCAGCAGCGGGTGCCGGGGCAACACGCGAGGACAAGGGAACAGGTTTTGCGGGGTCGACCACGATTTCGATCTTCATCGGGCGTTCTACAGAGGCGCGGATCCAGAAAGAATAGTAGGGTTCACATTAGTTGGCTATTCATGAGCGAGAGCAAAGAGCGCGGAAGCATAGTCCAAAACATCCTACTCGTTACCGAGAAACCGCAGCTGTGTCTAAAACCTTCCCGAACCTGTTGTTGAGTCCACACCCACAAGGAGAAGGGGCATTGGGCTGAGGGAGTGAGCAGAGAGTCGAGCTTTCTGCTGTTAACCTTGCCTCCCAGCTCGACATGCTCCGCAAGCCACTTGCCAGCCTTATACCACGTGTAATCTGGTACACGGTTCTCGTCGAGCAAAAACTAAAATGCTCGACGTGCCCCAACTGGCTCGATCTACATCAGGGTGATCAGGCCTGAGATCAAGAGCCTCCGCCTAGCATGAGCCTCGGCGGTAGTTGAGTGGCACAGAACAACGAAGGCCCTTGTTGCTTTGGGCACAACGCGTCCGAGAGTAGGTATCGCCGTCGGTTCGTTGCAGACATGTGGGACAGAGACAGCGAGCCAACGGTTCCACTGCAAGAGGAAGGTTACGAAGCGAGGAACACCTCATTCCGCGGAGAAGAATGGGGGGACGACAAGGAAGAGGTGAGAGTGAGAGGCAATACTAACTGCCATCGATAAGGCGATTGTTGTACTGTTGATAGGCCTTGGTTCCGTCACCCTTCTTCTGGAAGGTGACGGTAGCGATGCCCTTGGAGCGGCCAGCGGCATCGTAGTGAAGGGTGATATCCCGCAAAGGACCGACGGTTTGGTTGAACAATTCCTGCACACAACATGGGTTTTGACTCGGGGCTGGCTGTTTAATGTACCGACCTTGATCTGAGCCTCATTCACGTCCCCTGGAAGGTTCGAAACAATGATTTTCTCTGCTGTGCCCTGAGTGGCGGCCTTAGGGTCAACGGCGGGAGCAGTAGCGCGTGCGCGTTGGGCTGGTGAGGTAGCAGGCTTCCCCAGGACTTGTGTACGAGCAGAAGTGTTGCGACGGCTGGACCCACGACGGGCGTTCTTGGGCTTGGAAGCAATGATCTAGGGAAAAAATCGAGGTGAGACAAAGGCGCGACGTGGCAACTGGGAAGGAGGAATACGAACATCGTCGAGAGACTTGTCCATTATTAAAGCTAAATTCAATATGTTGTTCGCGAAGGAGCGCCTCGAAGGAGGGGAGGGCGATTGTGATGATGAGGGGAGGAAGAAAGAAAGGTTGTTGGCTGTGCCACCAGCGGGTGTCTTATGAACATGTCGGAGCTCAAAATTGCCACGCTCCGCTTCTGGACCTTGTTGTTCATCATCGACCACTGACTCAAGTGTTCTATCTTCATATCATCGTTATATTATCCGAATGTCTCGTGGCGGTGGACGAGGACGCGGTGGAGGAAGAGGTGGAGGCAGAGGTGGCTTCGGCGGTGCCAGCAATCCGCCACCAATGGGCCTAACTTTTGCTGATCTCCAAAATTTATCGAGGGAGGCTACCGCTTTGTATCCCGTGTGTTCCTGTATGATTTTCTTTTGCAACTTTGGCTGATTGACTAGAGCGTGCCACCATAGCCCAGGGACCTTCCAATCTTCACAGAACCCACCCATGAAGAGAAACGGATTGCCGAGCTTCAGTTAGCGTATGCTGCTCGTATGCGCAAGTCAGAATATTATGTCACCGAAAAACCCAAGACGACGGGTAAGCGTGCCTCATCATCCAGCATCCAGAATATCTCTCTTCTCAGCACTTTCTCTCTCAGAACTTGAACGTTACTCGGACAAGTATCGACCATCAGTCGCGGCGCGTCCAGAGCTACAACGAGATAGACTGCACCAGGCTTTTTTTCCGGCAGATGTCTTTAACGACTGCTTCTATCTGAAGGGGAGAAAGAAAAAGAGTTTGCCCTTTTCTCTCTGTTTCTGGTCCTGCTCAATGGCTTACATCTTTTAACAGCTTCCCGGCGGTCGACAGGGAAGTCTAAACTGAACCTAGACGCGCTAGGCGACGATGCCGATGAGGGGGTATGTATTATTGTCTATTGCATGGAATTCATCTGATATGGACCCAGGAAAAATCCGATGGTGAACGATCGGAGGCTGGCTCTCAGGAAGCCCCAGATTACGACGTCGATGAGGAGTACGACAACGACTACGCCGAAAACTACTTCGACAATGGGGAAGGTGACGACTTGGACGACCTAGGGGATAGTAGAGGTGGAGATGATGATGGTGGTGGTAAATATTTTCTTCGAGCAACCGAACACTACTCACTGCTCTTTTATTAGGTGGAGGCTATGACTAGATTGTTTGAGTGTAATACATGGTGGGCCAGTGTTGCAGTCAATTTGTCCTTCACCATAATTACTTGCCCTAACAACCTCAGAATGATTCCCTATGTCCTCCCCACACGCCCCCCTTCGTGTACATGCTGCTCAGGTCTCATTATTACATGAAGCATGTCTAGTGCGCCTCTTGGTTGCTTGGTTTTATCCTATCAAGAAGCATGTTCAACCCCCTCCAAGCAGACCCGTGAGAGTCATTATGGCCAACAACTTCCACTGGGGGGGTTCTCCGGTTGCAGAACCTGACAAGCTGTTCTTGTTGGCTTTGGGCAAACTCCAACGAAGGTGCTGCATCCCACATTGTGGTTACAACTAACCATTGCGCGAGCAACTCGGATTGGCCATTCGCATTCAGAATCATTTCGATGGAGAGCGCATGGCGATTGTCGGTAGTATCGCTGGTATGAATCGGGTGCATGAGAAGGATGCCCATACTAATGGGTTTCTTCTGGTGCCTGCCACGAGAAAAGAGATACAGTCAATAAAGTTAGGCAAATGGTTTCGTGAGAGTGTACATTCTTTTGACCCAGGCCAACATTTGGTTTCCTGCTCCAAGTATATCTGAATATTTGGACGAATCAAACGATGGTCCTTCCACCAGACCCGCTGGGGTGTGGACCCTCCTAGTGGCAGGTCAATTTGTGCATGTTGAATGTTATGGGAAGGAGATGAGCCATGATGAACTGGGAATATAGGTTGATACAGCGCATTGTTCAAAAACTAGACATCACACGATCAGCTGCAGTGCAAGTCGGGGCGAGATGCCGGCTCACGTACAGGACTCTTGCCACTCCCGCTTATGCCCATGACTCTAAAAATGGAAGAGGTAAATCAATGAAGACACACAGAACCGGGCAGCAGCAACGCACAAGATCATGATGTCGTCTGTGCTGAAATCGCTACCAGGCATCCGAGTCCATATAGGGTAATTGCGAAGTGAAGCAAGGCTCCAATATTCGTTAATGATACCTGAAAACTGTGAGTGAAGTTTATCCCCAGCTTTAGGATCCTATGATATGCCATGTGAGACGTGAGTGGCGGCGGTGGCAGTCGAAGCACAAAACTGACCATTTCACGGAGATGTGCGACCAGCTTTTCTACCCCCCGTTCGAGAGAGTGCGCTGTCCATGGAGACCTCTCCAAAATGGATAGATATATAGAACAGATACTGTCATTGAAGTTCAAATCTGCTGTTACTGTTAGCCACTGCTCCCCAAGGCCAGCTCTCTTGCAGCACCAGACAGAGGGAAGAACCAGGCTCTCCATGACGGACCGAATGTGTGATTCCTCGTTTACTGGTGGTAACACGTATACATGAGCGAAGTCAATCTTGCAAAGGCAATAATCATGGAGGGCGTACTTGTACCAGTCTTGAGCCTTGACATGCAATTTAGATAGCCCTCGGCGAGTGATCGAAGTGCAGCCTTGGGATCGACGAAGCATTCTTTGGATCTGAGCGGATCACACAGAAAGTCCGGTAGAGATGCGTGAAACATTACGATGGGGTCGTTGCGACCGTGAACAGAAAAAATGGATCTCACTGCAGACAGATCTCGTTGGACGTCACCATTCCCGAGTGAGAGAAGCCTTTCGAGCATGGCAGGTGTCGCGTAATTCTCGAAGCCTTTCTGTACCTTCCGAGGTATGGCAAGGATAGATACGATTCGCATTGTAGCTGAAAAACGGGGGGATGATATCAAAATATGATGATAAAGTTTGTCGAGCTCGGCAAAGGGTCGTTCGTTGGTGTGTTGAGGAGATAATCCTAAAATCACTTGTAGGCGCTCGTCTGGTCGGTGTTCCCAGGTTTTGATGTAATTCATTGCTGCAGACGCATATATAAATTGCCCCGAAGATTTCTGGACGAGTTTCTCGATGTCCTCTCGACTGGGCCACGAATCCAGGCTGGTATGCGAATGAATGCGTCGAATCTCGGCGAATTCTGCATCGAGAAAGTCGCGAATGTCCTGTGCAGCACCGGGGTCTGCTGATATATCCTTTCTCCTGACCAATGGCAAAACTTGGCGGAGGGCTTCATCGTTATCGAAGACATTCGTGATATGGGGTTCCGGTCGGCTTGTGATCAGAACTCGGATTTGGTAGCCGACTCTTGTAGACAAGTTCGGCCATCACCCGAATGACTTCCTCCTGGACATCGTTGTCAAAGCATTCGTCGAGACCATCGATAAGGATCAGCCGAGGCTGTTGTCGCTGGAAGATACATTTACAGTGGTAGAATACGACGTGCGGAAATGAGTTGAGTGGCTTCAAGAGAATCTCTTCCATTTGTCTCGCCATCTGCAGTGCAAACAAGGTGGGATTTTGGTCGATTCTAATTGTCATGGTTGTTTTCGTGGTTGGAAGGGACACAGCTAGCTGGCTGGCTATGGCTGGTATGAGCTTGGATCCGTCACTTCTTCCACTGATAGTCCAGAAAAGAAAAAAGAAGCGATTAGGCGCCTTTCTTGGTGGCAGAGACCAGCTATCGATTGTCCCAGGGCAGTCTTCCCAGATCCCGCCGCACCGTACATCCAGAACATGCCCGCACCATGGTTCCCACCCCCAGATATCCAATCCATGATGTTCTTGATGATCGCCTTCCTTGTATTGGGATGGCACCGAGGTGACGCTACAGACTCCCGTGCATCGAATAAGGCTGCTGGAGCGATGTGTGCGCGAAGGAGATCGAGGCCTACGTTTTCAAACACTTGAGGGCTGCCATTCATTGGGACACACCTTTTGGAGAACCAGTAGCGTAGTTGGTAACATTTGTAATTATGTTTGCGCCATGAATCTGCGTATTGCGAGTGTTACTGAAAATATCGACCATCGTGGACGGCAGGAAAGGTGTCGGCGGAGAAACAGGCAGGAACACTGTTTTGTATATGCTATGCACATGCAACCTCTATGAAACAACGAAGGAGTCACACACTTCCTGTCAAACTGTCAGTTGTCCGGGGACTGACTTAGGGCGGAGATTGGCAAACCATACAATGATGAACGTTCAAACCTCAACTCAGTGTTGGGTTTCTCTCGATGGAGAAAGAACGGACGAGTCAACCATCCTCAGCCGCTTATTGGTGTGAAGCTTCCAATCTTCCATGAAAGCCTTAGCCATGAGACAAAGGTGAGAGTTGGCGGTAGACTTCGATGAGAAAAGAGGACACCGACAGTTTAGAGTCTAAAGTAGGGGATAGGAGGCTTGTCGGTGATGCTGTTGACTCTGGAAAGAAGTAACCTCCGCTTTACCGGGCCGGTGAATCACAACCCCTGTGACATGCAATTCGTCATTCGTCACATAGGAAATCCAACCAACCTTCTCCACTCTTGTGTCGACACTGCATTCTGACCGGCCCTCTGAATGTTTCTTAACGTCTCTCGTTATCGCAGCCGCCGATTTGTCTCTAAATTTCCGAATTTATATCTTTCTTCCGCATATCAACTGCAATGGTCTCGATCTTTCCAAGAACAATCCACCAAGCAGGCCTTTCGAATCCTCTTCATGGGACGCGATGAGTTCTCATGTCTCGTCCTTGAAGAATTATACAAGGCCAATGGTACGCAGCGTTTACTACCCACAACAGAGAAACCGTGAAATAATTATCCGCTGATCGTGCAGCGTTCCAGACGTATGGAAACAGTTGGTAATCGCCACAACACCAGACAAACGCATCGGACGCCGTGGTTCCGTGTTGTCGATATGTATGTCCTCTTCTTCTTCTGCCTTGGTTCTTGAGACTGATATTCTCTCTAAGCCCCGTTAAAACAGCTTGGAGAGAAGTTCGAACTTCCCGTTTACACCATACCGCAAGTCAAGAAGGAGTTCAGATCATGGGCTGTATGTCTTTCCACTAACCTTTCCTCTGCAATTTAATGACGAATCGTAGCTTCCACCTCCCTTCGAACTTAACCCTGCCGCCCGTAATGACCCACCTCAAGACCATCTCCTCATCACTGCTTCCTTCGGTCGAATATTGTCAGAAAGAATGCTCAGCCTCTTCCAATATGGGCGAAGGCTCAATGTGCACCCTTCTCTGCTTCCCGCCTACCGAGGTCCAGCACCAATACAGCACAGCATTCTTGACGACGAGAAGGAGACGGGTGTGTGCGTCATCGAGATGTTGAAGAAGAAAGAGGGGATCGATGCTGGGTCTTTGTGGGGTTGTGCGAAAATGGTGCGTGTATCTCAGGTTTTCAGTATGCTACGGTCATCCAATACGCCTTTCTTTGCGACAAGGACATGCCTCTTAATCCTACATTCCCTACGTTGCGCGACATGCTGGCAACAGAAGGCGGAAAACTTCTAGTTTCTGTCTTGCGAGACATGATAAACGGCAAGGTACGTACGCTGCCATGATCATCTATTCTTTCCCGAACACTCATACCTCGACTAGGCTGTCGCCCAATCCCAATCTCCGGCAGAAAACGCCCCCAAAGCATCGTTCATCCTTCCGGCGGACGCCATCGTCAACTTCCACACCATGACCGCAGACGAGATCTACAGACGATGGCGTGCAATCTCCCACCAGGTACCTTTCTCCTTCCTATCCCCTCTTCTCGTTCCTTACATAAAGCTTACGCCTTCCCTCAGACCCCTCTCGTGCTCCCCTTGGCTGATGGGAAGCCTCTCCATCTCCTCTCTGTTGACTTGGCCGAGACCTGGGTTCGCAGTGACTACGCAATCGCGACAGCCCACTTGCCTGTAGGGACTGGGACTGCGATATTCGTCAAGAAGCAGAACGCGCTCCTGGTGAGGTGTGCTAAATGGACGATTCTGAGTATCACTGCAGTGAAGCCGGAGAACAAGCCCGCGCGGACTGCGGCCCAGTTCTGGAACGGGCTCCCAGAGGTGAAGGCGGGTGAGAAGGATGTTGTGCTTGGTGAGCTGACAGGACAGGTGGAGCTGGATCCTCGGCCGATCCTTAAACATCTCTTTGTATAGTAGGTCGAAGATATTCGTGGATGCGTGCTTTCTTTTTGTTTAAAAAAAAAAACGATTCTAATCGGCCAATGTCACTGGCCTTTCATAACACTACGCACAAGTGACAAGCGGCTCTTCACCTAAAAACTACTTACTCCCCGCGTAGCCCGTCGTGGTGGATTTCCGGCAAGAGGTTCCGTCATGATGTGCACGCTGGCTCACGTCAGGCCTGCAGCACGTTACCCTTCCTGGGAACCAGGAAAATCTTGCCTAGGACACGCGGCATAATGCCTTTTACTCCTCTTATCTCGAGTGCCAATGATCATGCATATGAATGAGCCTACTTTGCGGGCAACCGCCACCACCACCACTGCGAGAATGCCAACTGGCCACTCGCCTGTAAGTCTTTAAATTTCTGCCTGCGATTCCTTAGCTACGACTTCTGACTGTTTGGGATTGCAATTGTGGCCGAGGAAAAACGAGTGCTGTCCGATTCATGTTTGTTAGAAGATGGGGCCAGCCACTGTTCTGGATCCATTAAGCGCTTGTTCGCCTCAATATAATATTTGCATGTGGTGGTTATGATGCTCGAGAGCTTGTTCGTTCGGTCTTACATTCCGGGTGTCTACGACATGGATTTCTCTTATGTCATAGTACAAGCCCAAGTCATAGGCGAACGTTTAACTCCTATTATATGATTCGATTTCAGGTGGCCATAGCAGGGTTCGTGTAAGCGGCAGTTGGAAACGGCGGCTAGCAACTGATATTGTACTCTAGAGTACAAAAGAATTCAAGATTCAAAGAACTTTGCGGAATACCACGACCCGCCGAGGTCGAATACACATTCGTACCTCTAAATGCACACCAAACTATGACTTGCACCTATATATTCGTAGACCGTTATTTAACCATGCGCCTGCGCCACACTTCCCCGAAATGGTCTACTCACCTCCGTTAAGGAAACCAGACCTCGTCAATTGAAAATGAGCGGATAGTAATACCAGGCTTATTTCTAAAGCAGCGTAAGCGGTACACGACGCGCTGAACTGAATAGTAAGACAATAATCTGTGTATAAACCAACATGTGCACGGGGCTGACTTCCGCTCACTGGCAGCTTCTGCCTTTAGTTAGAAGTTGGTCTGGGCCTGCGAGGGGAGGAGCCGGGTTGTCGTTGGCGTCTGTGACTTCAAGTTGTTCCCGCTCCTCCCATTATACGGCGCACCTTCGTACACCTCTCGTCCGGTCCCATTAGCTATAGGGCTAGAAGCAGACGGGCAGGCCCGTGACCTAACCACGTCCCGCGCTTTCATTATCACAACCTGCATACGCGATGGTGGCTGGAGCGTTTCCTCTTCTCCCTTTCCCTTTCCCCCGGATCTTTCCTCTTGTTTTCCTCCTCCTCTCTGGAGCTCTTCAACCTCCTACTCCTCTTTCCCTGTCCCCTCGCTCGCTCGCGACTCCCTTTCACACCCTTCAAGTCCCTCCATTCACATTCACACTACTTCCCCCTTCGAAGTTGCATCTGGTATGTCTTCAAATGATGCCACCGCCCCAAGCCGGCCTTCGATCTCGCCGATGGCCGTCACAACCCCCTCCTCCGAGTGCAGTTCATAGAGCGGAAACCTATCCAGAACCTCGACTAGAGCCTCGCGTACCGTGACAGTCTGGCCTGTCTCGGAGGAGTTTTGGCTATCCTTAGTTATGATCCTGATCCATTCTGTTCCTGAGAAAATAAGTAAGGGTAAGTCGTTCAATTTACTCTATTGAAATGGATGGAGGGGCTTACGGATGGGTCGCGGGGTACGAAGGCTTAGGGATAACTTCGAATTTATAGTGCGCGGTCGAGCACTGGCATTCTCTGCGAAGCTTATGGGGGATAAGTCCTCGTATAAGGAAAAGAAGCGCTGTGTGCACGGTGTAGATCAGGACTCGCCCAAACGTCGGATTCTCCGCAAGGTACCGCGCCATATCCATATCTCCATCCAATCTCATCCGGAATTCATAAACGCCCCTCGCAGATCCGATGCGCTGTCCAGTGTCGAATTGTCCTCCGAGTCAGACGCCTCGCGAACATGCATCACAAGAAAAGCGGAGAAGAATCCAATACTCACCTCCAGACCACGATACCTCCTCGGATCAGGAGATACCACAAGGGTCCACGCCTTCGAGGGGTGACTGTAACCGGGGGAT